AACGAAATTAAAGCGGAAAGTTATCGCCGGTGTGGCTTTGGTGAGGCGGAAATGCAAAGCAGCGGTGCACACTCACTTGCACGTCCGTCGTCTGCCCGAATCGGCGCGTCGTCTGCGAAGCCTCATCCGGGCTGCTATGGCGTGGCCGCGTGTGGCGGTTGCCAGGGTAACGCTCCCCGCTGCTCCTGCTGCTGCTGCTGCCGTTGATGACGATTTCGCGTTCACGTGACCTGAGGTAAAGGAGTGGAATGGGAAGCGAGCTTTCGAAATGCTCTTCTCTCCGCGTAAAAATAAAATAAATAAAAAAATGTCTGCGCACAGCCGTTGCTTGCGACTCGCTGTTTTAGCGAAACCTTTCACAAATGAGTCGCTTCAGAAACATCTGGATGACAGTGTTGCACGTAATTGTCTCTGTCTCTCTTTTATGTATTCGATGGAGACAACCGCCGCTACACTCTAAGTAAATTGCCGCTCAACTTTCTCCCGTGCCGTGTCGGCCCTTTTCCCCCAGATTAAAAGGCAGAATGAAAAATTTAAAAAAAACCGTGCGTTTTCCCTTTTTTTCTTATGTAGCTGAATATTTTATAACCTTAGGACGTCCTCGCCTGCGTCTTATAACGCGAGGAGACCTCCTGTCTCACCCTCAAGGACAACAGCGAGGATGTCCTATGGTTCCAGACGCTTCCTATTTATCAGGAAAAAAAAGAAAATTCGGGAAAACCCAGTATACTTTCTAACCGGCCGTTTCATTCCGGGGGAGAAAGGCGCCGACACCACCACCTGTAGCCGGGAGAAAGTTGATCCCTAATAACCTGCATTTTACATAGAGCGTACTCGGGGACAGCTGGAGCCAATAGATAAGCTACGCTTCGGAGCAATGACACTGCGGCCATCTTGGTGCTCAACATTATTCTTGCCAGTTATCCAAACCTATACTCCGTTGCAACTCAAGAAGGTAGGGCGAGGTTAAAACGGGCCGGGGAGGAGGAAGCAGACGAAACGCTAAAGAAGAGAGAGGGAAACCTCCCTCTCTCTTTAGCGTTCCGTCTGCTTCCTCCTCTCCGGCCATCCTTACCCTCACTTCTTGAGTTGCGACTTCTTGACTTGTTTCAAAATTACCCAGAGGAAAGAAATCTAGTACGATTAGGCCTAAGAACAGCGAGGCAACTGAAGTTAAACGAGGAGTACCTCGAAACATATACGGAAAGTTTTGTTTTTCTTTTGGCAGTGCTTTGTTTCGTATGTGTTCTATTCTTTCTTTCTTTCTTCCTTGCACTGATTATAATAAGTAGGGTGCAGAGTACAGTTGCACTTCCTCCCGAAACTAATAACACCCTTCCGAGCTATTGTTTGTCAAGTGTCCGTCGTGGTTTGGGAACTCTTCTAGACCGAAGGTAATTGTAGTACGTGTGCTCGTGTAGCTAGTGGTTTCCTTCGCTCGTCAAAAGGGACAAAAGTGTTCCGTTTGTACGCACGTCTGAATAAAATGGGCGTGGTTACCGTATATACCCGAACTCTTTTGTCGCCGGACATGGCAACCTGGTTACCCACTGTAGATGAGAAATTTAGCCAGTGCCAGTGGCGTACCAACTTGCTTTCAAGGGGGGGGGGGGGGGGGGGCTAACCAGCACCCCCCCCCCCCCCCCCCCCCCCGAGGACCGGGGGGCGGTGCCCTTTGTATCACTCGGGCGCCGCCGGTCAGTGTTTGCCCAGCCCAGCGGCGGCTGTTTCAGGGGGGGAGACATGGCTTCCCCCCCCCCCTTACACACACACACACACACACACTCTGAGAACACGGGCCGGGGTTGGGAGTGAACCCAGGATTCATTTGCGAAAACGACCGGCACTCCGTCGTCCCTGCGCAAAATCGAAGAAAAAAAACGGAAAAAAGAAGGCTTCAAGTGTAAATCGCACTGGGAACTCGGCTTTAATCGTTGCTATTATAGTTTAAAGGGCTTGTTTGTATAGCATTGGATTTGTATGTAAGCAGCTAAACGTTGCTTACAAACAATAGTTTGCGTACGGGCCATCCACTTTCTTCGGCTAGTCACCGGATTTTTTTTTTTTTTTTTCTAGAGCGCTTTTTTGAGTTTTTTTTGCCACACACAGCGGCCTCGACTGGTGCCACTAAATAAGCTACGCTTTAGAGTAACGACACTTGGCCGTATTGTGGCTTAAAATCGTGGTTTCCAGTTATCTTAAAGGGATACTACAACGAAATTTCGGCGCTCATTTCTTGGTCTATATGTGTTCAAAGGAGCAGCATCATATTGAACATACCAATATCTTGTTAAAAAAGTCACGAAAAGGAATTTTAAAACGAATTAAACGATTAGCAAAGAGCACCTGGTGGATATCGCTAACGCCTCGCTTGTAATGCCCGTCTAGGAACCTTGACAGCTAGTGACGGAGGTTGTCTCGCCTCCAACCACGACGAGAGAAGAGGGGCAGGAGGAACTCCCCTCTTCCCGAGAATGCCTTTTGTGTGTCGCAGAAGTCGCTATTGTCCCCCTACAAGATTACAGAAGATTAACCCGTCACTCAGAATTCGTACAAAAGCAGCCGATTCGGTGGCTGGAACGACTAGGCCATCCTCTCGACGTCAGCCTCGCCGTAGCTTTGCTCGTCCTGAGACGACCTACGCCACTATTGCGTTGGATGTCACGTGGTCTCCGATGGGCCTTCTCCGAGCGCTTGCCAGAGTGGGCCGTTTATAACGAAAAATACAGCCACTAGGCTCAGTATACAAACGTGCGATTGTCATTTACGGATATTGAGGATCATATTCAACCTATTTTTGAACACGACGGGAATATTTCAAATTTCGTTCAAGTATCCCTTTAAGTTTACCTGGAATCACTGGGAAACGCTATTCCGTGCTCTACAAATGTTTAGACAGTTCTCGACAGAGCAAAGCAATATTACACGAGCTTCCTAACACCGACTAATGCTGAGAAGGTCGCACTTTTGAATCATGACGATCGTCAGTTGCGTATCTGCTTTGCACAAGCACCAAAATGGCGGCGCCCACAACAATGTCGGGGAAGGGAATGCCGATACTCTAAGCGCAGCTCATTGAGTGGCTCTAGCCTCGACCTCCTGATGAACAATGCTGGCGCTCATTTCATTCATCGCCGTTAGTCATGCATGCGCGCACGATATGCACGCGTAAGCGCTGGGACGCGCGCGAGGTAGATGCGGGCCGTCGGCCCGAAGTGCGGCACCGGGGCGCCGATGAGCGCTCCTCGCACCACCGGGCTTTTGCTTTTGAGGGGCCGTGCAACGATATTGGGTCGGAACGTTCTTCACTATATACTATATCTAGCGTTCACCTCAAAAACCTTAGCAAAAAAAAAAAAAAATGTTTTCTTGTGGGACGTGATTGAGTTACTCTTTTATGTTGTGAATTAAAATATGCGAGGCAATTTTAGACTAGCTTTCCGTTATTTTATCAAGGGGTGCACGTTTCAAACGCCCAAAAGCATAGTCTCTACCTCCGAGAACCAAATCTTGCCAGAACTATACTTCCTGCAACACATAAATATTGAATATAAATAGTGAGGGAGTTGCATTGTTGACGTAAGGCCCCAGTGGTGACGACAGTCAAAGGCTACTTACTCATAGATTAAACTCGACACTGCGTAAGAACTTGATCTTGGCTCGTGAGAATCAGCAGAGAGTTTTAGAGTAGAGGGTCCCGACGCTTTGGGTTCTCCAATCTGCTCCGGACAGCCAAAGTGTTGGGAAACCCTATTGTGAAACTCTCCAGTGCGCCTCGACGAGCAATGGGCTCGAGTCCCGTCGCTGCAATGACGGGAATAGTTAACCCCTACCAATATACGGAGCTCGGCACGCGTCCTGGGGCCTAAACTCGTGAATCACAAAGTTAGAGCCGAAAGTTCGCGGAGCGCGCCGATTGGACGTAGGCGAAAAAAAGCGCGAAGTCATCTTCGTGATAGGCCAATCGGTGAGCTCCGTCAACTTGGGTCCCAACTTTGTGTTCGACGAGTTTAGCGACTCTGGGCTTTGCCACCTCCAGTCCGTGGTTATGGTGAACATTGGCGGCTTATCAGCGGCACCAGATTACCTGGCCGCTTGCTCTGGCTTGAGAAGGAAAACTCTGCTCATTTTAACGCGATAGCGTTAAGGAGCCCGTGTCGCAGAAAATCGGGCGTTGGTGGCGTGACGAGAAAATCGCGGACGCGAAAATCCCGATTGGTCGATAGGGTCATGACGTCACAGCCACATGACCTGGCGCGGGAATTTCAAACAACCCACAACGCTCACGTGACGTCATGCATGGAATGAAAGTGGTTAAAAAGCCTGACACATCTAATGCGAATTAAATTTCCCCGCGTGTCTCAAACGATTTCACTCTCTAAAGTAATTCATTTGCCTTAAAGGAAAATTTGAAGAATTTAAGGCGGGATTCGAACCCACGACCCTTCCGTGGCAACCGGACACGCTGGCTTAGGAACGAGCGGGAGTTTATAGGTTTATAAGGAAATTGGGGTAGAGTGAGGGCCAATTGTGTACGCGCGCACAGGGCGCATTTGTCACTGGCTCCCACAACTCGAGTCTCGAGGGAACAAGAATAAACATTGATTCCTTTCCTGACACTCCGATCGGGTGGGAGGTACACCGGTACAAGCACACGGTTGTACAGGGGCGTCCAAGTGTTCGGGAATCAGGAAATGTAGGGGGCGACGGGAGGAGGGAACGGAACGCCACTGCCTGGTAAAAAGAAGCGCTTGTAGGATTTAGTATTTAGTTGCACTAAAACCCTTTCGGATCAGGGTGGTCGCCCCAGCGGGGGCGTCGCAGATGCAGTTTAGTTTAGACATAGCTTCCGAGATCCCGAAGGGCGCGTCTTGGAAACCATGATTTAGAAACGTTAGTTTTCTAATTAATGGCTAGGTGGCGCAAGCTGCCGCCCACCTAAAGCTGCTCAATTATGCGCGTCTATCTACCCATAAAAACAGCATCTCCAACGTGTTTCCATTCATCCACACAATCTGTCCTCAACTTTGCCGATTTCGCCGATCTCACGGTGCGTTTCTCGACGATCTTGGATATCCTGCCGTCTCCAAGGGCGAGCCGCTCGAAATGCTTCCACTGCGTGTAGCGAGCTTCGTGCTAGCGCTCTTCGGGGCAGCAATCGTGAACCGGGGCGTCCACGGTCTGTACGAGGACCAAGCCGGCAAGCTGGACTGGCGACAGCGCTTTGTGGGCCGGCCTCTGTACGTCTACGCCGATCTGAGCCCGTCGGCCGCCGCGGGTCAGCGGCTCGTCGTAGCCACAGAAAAGAACGTGCTGGCGTCTCTGAGCGCACGCACCGGGGACCTCGCCTGGCGACAGCTGCTCGAAGAGAACAGCCGCGTGCACGCCGTCTCATCCAGTGGGGACCTCGTCACCGTGTCCGGAGCTCACGTCCGCGCCTGGGATCTCGCCACCGGCGTTCTCCGCTGGGAAAAAAGCCTTCCTCCGACGTCGACGTCGTGTGTTCGGTACGACGTCGACTCCTCGGCGCGCGCGCTGACCGCCGTTCGCGTGTACGCGGGCTCGCACGTCGCCGCGACCGTGTACGAGCTCGGCGGCACTACCACCAAGACGTCGCCCAATGTTCCGGCACCTTGGATCACGGCGGAAACAGACTGCGAGCTGGTGGGGCACAAGTACCTGGCCTGTCTTGACGCCACGGCGATGTCCCTCCGAGTCATGGCACTTGGGGAATCAGCTTCCTTCCGGGATGTGCCCCTGGCGTCCTTGGGACTCCAGCTCCAGGAGCCGACCTCCGCGCCGACCCTGGAGCGGCTGGACATCGCGGGACCCGCTCAGGAAGAACCTTACCTGGCGCTGCGAATGGCCCGTCGCGGGTTCGCCGTCCTCCGGATGACCAAGTCGGGAGTGCAGCTGGAGAAGCTGCTGCCCGAGGCGACACACCTCGCGTGCGCGCAGCTCAACGGGACTCCGCTTTTGGGCGTCGTGGCACCCGCGCAGGGCGAGGACCGGGCCCACGGGCTCACCATCTACGAGCTGGGGAGCCCCTGGCAGGAGCGCAGCGATCTCGAGGGTCAGTTCACGCTGCCGCCTACGATGGGCGACGTGTGGCGAGTCCACCTGCTGCCCTTCCTGCGCAAGGACCAGAGCCCCGGCTACAAACTGCTAGTGGTGACCCAAGACGAAGCGATGCTCCTGTTCCACCCACAGGGCCGTTTGCTGTGGACCCGCGAGGAGGCGCTCGCCTCGGTGCTGGCGGCACAGTTCATCGATCTGCCCTTGTCCGAGACGGATGCCAAGATCGAGCAGGAGTTTGGGGATGGCAATGCTAACCTGGTGTCCATGTTTGTGACACGCATCACAATGCAGATCTGCCAACTCCAGAGCCTGGTTGTGGGCCTGCTGGCGGGGCTGCAGGGAGGCATGGGCCGGCAGGAGTCGGCCGAAGCCAGCCAGGACTTGACGCGAGACAAGTTTGGCTTTAACAAGGTCATCCTGCTGAGCACAGCGGCCAGGAAGCTGTTTGCGCTGGACAATCGCAATGGACAGATCATCTGGAGCCAGCACTTTGCAGAGCTGGTACCACTGAGCGAGGCCGGCTCGGAGAAACTACCAATCTTCGTTCAGCGAACGACAGCCCACTACCCGCATCCGCCGCGCTGCACGGTTCTGGGCAAGCACCGAGACTCCGGAACTGGCTACCTGGTGTCTGTGAATCCCATCACGGGAGTGGTGTTGGACCAACGCGAGCTCCCCTACCGGGTGTTGCAAGCGACTGCCCTTCCCTTCCTGGACGAAGAGTACACCAGGGGCCTCCTGTTCCTGGATAGTGCCCTGAGAGTGCACACATACCCGTCCAGTGCTTCCGAACTACTGGTAGAGCACAAGGATACACAGTACTTCTTTCTGGCGAACCCCACCACGGGCACATTGACGGGTTACAGCCTAAGGCCTTCAACCAAGTCCCAGCTGGCCGTGGAACGAGTCTGGAGCGTGTCATTGCACCAGGATGGCCAAACCATCAGCCACGTCGTGATGCGAAACCCTCTGGAACATGTCCACTCCCAGGGCCGTGTGATGGGAGATCGCAGCGTCCTTTACAAGTACCTCAACCCGAACCTGGTTGCCGTGGTCACGGAGGGAGTGGACAGTGTGCACAAAGTGGCCAGTATCAACATCCACCTGGTGGACGCGATCACAGGTGCTTTTCTTTACTCGGCCAGTCACAAGCGTGCCCGTGGACCCGTCCACTTAGTACACTCGGAGAACTGGATTGTGTACTGCTACCACAACGAAAAGTCGCGTCGGGCAGAGGTCTCCGTGGTGGAGCTATACGAGGGAGCCACCCAAAGCAACACGTCTGCCTTCTCCTCTTTCACGTCCCCTCCGGCAGCCCTGGTGGAGCACCAGAGCTACGTGTTCCCAAGCTCCATCGAGGCCATGAGTGATACCGTCACCGAGAAGGGCATTACCAGCAAGCATGTCCTGGTGGCCTTGCCCAGTGGTGCCATACTAGAGCTACCCAAGGCACTCCTGGACCCACGAAGACCCATCACACCTACTGCCATGCACCGCGAAGAGGGCCTGATACCCTACATGCCCGAGCTACCCATCAGTGCAGAGCACATCGTCAACTACAACCAGTCCGTGGCCAGGGTGACGGGTTTTGCCACAGCTGCCTCTGGACTGGAGTCCACGTGTCTTGTGGTGGCTTACGGCCTGGACCTGTTCTACACCCGCGTAGCACCCTCCAAGACGTTCGACATCCTCAAAGACGACTTTGACCACGTTCTTATTTCGGTTGTGCTAACCCTCCTCATCCTTGTCTCGTACGTGAGCAAGAGGTTCTCGGCCAGAAAGGCGCTGCGGGCAGTCTGGAAGTAACGAACAAGGTGGACCCTTCTTGTTGATTCAGTAGGGCCCAGTGTTGAGGACTGTCTCTGGGCTCCCATCACCCTATCTTTTGCACCGCCGTCTGCATCACTCCTCAGGTAGTGCCTGGACAAGTGTTTGCCTTTTGTAGCTAAACACTTTTGGCATTTTGTTTGACCAGAGGGTGCAAGGTGAAAACATTTGGCAGGGCATGTGATGTCTTTTTCAAGTTCTTTTTATTTTGAAATATAGCAGTTGGATAGCTTGAGCTGGCCTCTGAAAGAGATAAAAGGGAACAATGTGAGCTGGCTTTGCACTCATTCCAATGAAAATTATTGCTCACAGGCAAGTTTGATGTAGGCAGCATAGCCCAGGATGACCAGTGCTCCAGCCAGCACCAGCAGGGTTACTGTGCTGAAGGAGTAGACTGCCTTGTCCGGGATGATTGGCTCTTGGGCCCACATGTTCCTAAAAAGAAGACAAGTATTACTGCAACCATTGTACATGATCGTAATGAGTGACTGGTCAGTTCTGGCATGAAAGCTTAGGTAACACTCCATAAGGAACAGCATTAATTGCAGAAAAATGATCCTGGGCACACTTTATACTTGTAATAATAATAATACTTTATTTGTACAGAGGGGGAGGGGGGGGGGGGGTTACCCAAGTGTACAGGGCCACAAAGGGCAATGCTGCCCATACTGGAAGGCTTGTGTACCCAACTTGGGGCCCATAAATGCAGGTGATATTCACTTATGGCCATAGCTAGGTTCATTGCCGCTGAGCGAGTGAGCTTCCAGAACATCCCTTGACATTGCAGGATTGACACTCTTGGCTGATCAAAAGTAAAAGCTTGTTCTGAGCATGCGTTCTGAACAACATGCTGCAGATATGGCATCCGGTGATGAGGGCTCTTTTTGAGGTTTATGTGATGATGGGGTTTCTGACCTATAATCCGTTGCAACCTAAGAACGAAGGGCGAGGGTAGGACGGGCAGGGGAGGAGGAAGCAAGCAAAGTGCTAAAGAGAGGAGGAGGTTTCCTCCTCTCTTCTCCAGCGTTCCGTCTGCTTCCTCCTCCCCGGCCCGTCCTACCCTCGCCCTTCGTTCTTAGGTTGCAACGGACTATAGGTTTTTCAAGAATGTAGCCACTTCATGCCATTCATTTTCTGTGATTTCAAAATGCTGAAAATAATTCCACTGCATTGCACCGGTATCCATGGAGAGTAGAAAAATGTGCAAAGTTAGTGAGCATCGCAGCAAAAGCTGCCAAGTCGGAACGCTTTTAAAGAACACCTCCCCAAGTAAGACAAGATTGTGGTTGATGCATTTCAGACAGGCGAACCCAGCATTGTGGGTGTCGGAGTTGGAGATTTTACTGTACATTTTTGTTTGCTCAATGTTTCTTGTAAGCCTCTGTGAAACCTGGAACTGCAGAGTTAACAGTTGTTACTGTTGATTGGTGTGTAAGGTCTGCTTCCTTGTTCAGTACTGGAAAGTTCGATGCATTTTCTTTCTTTATGCAACATGAATTCTGGCTACAGTTTCTGAACCTCTTGAACGCTGAAAGCATCTCTGTAAGACCAGCTGTCCTCAGCTCAGAAGCACAACTTTCAAGTGTGTGCCCTTCTACTTTAAATCTGGTGCAGGTACCTTGGGTTAAAGCCAGGAATCCATCCTTTGTATTCCGTGAGCCGAGCCGTTGATCCTTCGTACATGGTTTCTGGAAGGGTTTGGTTTTCCATTAGTCATTCTGTCTTGTTATGAGTCGTTTTTAGCATTAAAGGGGAGGAGATCAGGAAGGTATTGCAGTAGTTATGAGTAAAGGGTTAGAAAAAGAGAAGCTGGGAAAGGAAGGATGAGAGCTGAACAGTGAGGTTCAGGTTCCTGTTGGATGAGGTCTTCGAAGTTTGGGCCACACAGGAAATCGAAAAAATCTGCAAGCGTTGGGTTTATCTGGACTTACCTGTCCAATCCTGCGACGCTTGCGAAACCAAGGTCCTAGACCGCGGAACGAGATCACGCGACTGGTGGAACTGGGCTCTTTGTCTTTGTACAGCTTTCTTTTTCCTTTTTCTCGTGATGAAAAGCAATGACACTGTCGTCCTCGTTTGCTTCACTTTTTTATATATAGTGGTTTTTCTTATGGGATGTTTCGTGAATGATTAAACCTATTTCGTCCTCTACAGCCTATTTCTTTATATGTGAGTATATATATATATTTTTTTAACGTAAACTCGATTGTTACACATTGTTATTAAAACTTTTGTTTCAGATGAATCCCTTCAGTGATTGAGCGGCCTTTTTACTGCTCGCGCTTGCGATGACGAAAACGAAACTGGAACCTTCTCACTGGCAACGTCTCAATCGACCTAAAATGAAATTAACGTCTTCGCATTGCGTAGAACATATTTCACATTAATACAGTTTCGCAAAATAACGTTGCATGTTTGAGTTCACGAGAAGAAAAAAAAAAAACACTTTATACCAACGTTGAGAGATTTGTCGCGCCATCTAGGCAGGTACCAGGTAGTCGCGGTAGTTACCGGGTTGGCGCAGTCTGTTCATCCATCTGTGGGCTCTCCCGGTCCGTCTCCGTTTACCGCCGTCGTACGCGATTATAACGGAAATCTGTTCTGTTTATTGAGTGGCGACTTAAAATCACAGGATTGGTAGCTTCTCACGATGAACAGGGTCTACAAGAGTGCGGGCAAGCTAAGGCAGTTGCGAGGCACCCAAGCTGGAGTGAACAGGTTCAGGGCCTCGTTGTTCGTGGTCGGCTATGCTATCGTCGTCGGGGGCGGCTGGATGTAAGTCAATCGACGTCCCGGTCTTTCCTCGGCGAAATTCGCACATTAGAACAGTAAACTGACTCACCGTTGTCGCTCGGACTTATAACTGTCTACACGGCGTGTTTAGATCACGCGAGTGGACCTGCTACTCCGAATCTACGTCGTAGAAATAAATGGTCCAGGCTGTTCACTTTCCTCAACCACCGCCACTTTTAACAACATTTAAACAGCTATACTTGTGTTAGGTTTTATTAGTGACAGCCGTTTTTAGTCGTGTTTCCAGTGTGAGATGGCGTCACGGGCTGTCTAAAGCTGGCTCAAGCTGGCTCAAGCCAGTTTTATGTGCGGGACGGACCTAGCTGCACTTTTACGGTTTGTCCGAAGCCAAAAGAGATCTGTAGCAGTCCCGTGTCAGCGTTGTCTGGCACGCGCCGTGCAAAGGGACTGTCGCGTCCCCACGTATGTTCGGGTTCCCACAAGGGACTCGAATGTGGGCCGGACAGCCGGCTGCATATGGTATCGAGGGCAAGGTTCACGTCACGGTCTCATAATACAGAAAACAAACAAAAAACAACGATAGTACGAGAAGGATTAAACTCAACTACAAGAGGCGCAGCGCATGAGGTGGATCCCTAGATAAACAAGTTCCCTTTCTGTCACCCTTTTTTGAAGGTCAAGAAGTGTGTTGGCAGGAGCTGCCAAACAATTGTGTGCAGCTGTTGCTTAGGAGTTGCCACAGAAGCAGGGCAGGTGGCACTTGTAACTGTGCTGGGTCAGGAAACTGTCTGAATGCCTGTCAGCTTGGCAGGCGATGGAGGCCAGCACCTGGGCTGCCTGTTGTCTCTGTGCAGTGTGACTGGTGGTACCCTCACCGGGACGTTCAGTGATCTGCTGCAGGGAACTGGAAATTGTGTCTTCTTTAGTTTTTGCACTCAGGACGGAAGTTGAACTCCTCAGCTGACTTTGAATTTGAGAGTGTCAGAGGCGCTAAGGGAAGAAACAGCCCTTGTATCTCTGTCCCTGAAAGGAGGAGCCCCCTTTCCGTGGGACCTGGCAACACCACCTTGTTAGAAAGCTGTAGCACTAAATTCTCTATGTCACCTTGTGAGGGCCGGTGCAGGTATCATATTGGACATGAGTGCCTTATCAGCCTTCAGCTGAGATTTGTGTTCTTACAGATTTAAAGTGATTTCCTGTCAAATGCTGACGTAGCAGTCGTGTCCCATGTGTGTTCCACACTGATCCCCAGTAGGTGACATCAAATTCAGCACTACGATATTCCATCTTGGTGATGTCGGCTCTGGAGACTACTCCAATTGGGTCAGGAGGAGGGATGGAAAGGAAAAAACTGTGGCAGGATTTTAAGACAAAAAGATAATGACTTTGCACCTCTAGCTTTTAAAGGGGCACTGAAAAGGATTTTTGGTTGCCCTTTAGCAAAAGTCTGTCTTGTGCGGGCATCTCGAAGGATTGCCATCTGGCTCGTGTTTCGGAGTACCACTTTAGGTTGTCGGAAATGCAAAAGCAACCATAGCAGCAGATCTGGAACAGCTGTAGTGGTGACTCAGTCCGGCTTGCACGCAGCTTTGCCACCGATGCTGCCGAATGGACATCTGCAGTCATATAGTTTTGACGAATGTTTCTGATCAGTTTCCTAGAACACAGGCTACCTTGGATGAACTGCTGCTACACAATGTGCTGCTACACAAGCTGAGCACTCACGTAATCCTTCCGATTTCCGGAAGAGTAGGGAAAATGTTCTTGTTTTGATTAAGGTACACAGCCCGACACAGTTGGTGCAAACACGATATTGATACTCTACTCATACAGGTAATTTGAAAACTGCACTTTAACTGCTAAGTTGGGGCTCCATATAAACACATTCCACTATGCTAGTAGTTCATGTCGCAAACCTTCATCCTTTAAAGACAGGCAAAACCAGCTTGTTTGTGCTAAATGTCTCGTGCTCCGTACATTTTTATGCGCGTAGCCTTTTGGGCCTCTCCTCAACCTTTCTGTGAATGAAAGAGAAGTTTGGCCTTTACTCTTACTTCCGACGTGAATCTGAATCGGACCACCTTTTTAATTGCCCATGCCCAGCATCAACTTTTCCATGTGACATTGTCAAGGCTAGCATACTAGTTTCCACAGTTTTGTGACGCTGTTTCATGCCAAACAGCACCTTGTACGAGCACGTGGCTTTGTTTGGCACGTCCTTCACTCGTGATCGGATGCAAACAAGATGGAAAATCTGCTCGTGCAGGGGTGTTAAGGCTACAGCACCATGAAAAATACGCTAGCCTCAACATTACACAGAAGGATTGCGCCGAGCATGGTTGCCCTCCGTGTAAAAGTAGCGGTCAACCGACGTCCCTGGCGTGTTGTGACATACGTTGTTTCCTCGCAGTCTGGCAACGTACAACAGAGTGCAAGTGAGGGAGATCCCAAAGCCTCAAGGAAACTTCCTCACCTCGGAATTGTGGAACCTCGAGGTGAAGCCTGAGCCGATGCGAGACACCAAGAACATCTAGCCTTCTGGGCATCATGCGCGTCCCGTCGCGGCGCTGCTGGACTAGGTCCGCTTTCGGGCATCTTTATTTTGGGAGCTAGCGTAGAGCCTTCGTTCCCCATAGATGTTAGGCGCAGTGTTTTTGATCTGTGCACTATTTTGCTATTTGTCTTTTTCTTGTTTAGTCGTAGCTTTGATTAAAGCCTCCGTTAATTGGATTGATCAGGCACTGGTCCTTATTAGCGACACACACCGCAGGATATTTTTCTCAGCTTCGTGTCCTTTTGCACGCTTGTACACGTGCGGTGTGCTTCTTCTGCATCGCCAGCCTCACCTGGGCCCGTGCCACAGTTCTGACGCACGTGCCCGCGATGCAGCGTGCTCTAGACAAAAGAAAAGCCGGAAAGACAGTTGCCATTCGAGTCATCCGTGCTGTTCCGCTCTCATAGCGGTGTGTTCGTCCACGAGTTGTGGTTTCGATAAACTGCCGCGTCGCTGTGCCGCCACGACGACAACATGGACGTGTGTGGCCCCGGGGATCGGTGGCCCGAGCACCGTTGCCCGTCCTGCGGCGAATCAGTGGACGGTCCAATGGAGCACCACCTGGAGAGATGCCTCCAGCGGTTCGAGCGAGCCCCCAAGCAGACGGTGGCGGACAACGGCCCCTGCGTGTGCGTCGTCTGCCGAGAGGACATCACGCACCTCGATCCGTCGCGGCGGACGGCGCATGTCAACAGGTACTTGGACACTCCTCTTTGTGCGCGCGGCATCAGGTTATTTGGCCACTGACACGCATGTTTTTTTTTTTTTTATTTATATTGTTTATTTATTTTAATACCTCAGTGCCTGGAGGCATTACGGAGAAGTAGGGAAAAAAACGTGAACAAATGATGGGATCTAAATGAGTCTAGTACTAAAGTTCAGTAAAAATGTTTATGGTCAAAGGTTAATAACAATGATTGGTTTTTACCTAAATGAGTCTACTGGAGATGCAGACACTAAACATGTGGGAAGGTGGTGTCATTCGAAGGATGCTTTGGGGATGAAGGAGTTGTTGTGGGTGTTGGTGCGACAGAGAAGAATTCCGACTTTGAATTAATGGTCGATGCGAGGTGAAATATATGGAGAAGGAAGAAGCTTTATCTTTCAGAGCAGGGTTAGAATAATAAATTCAACGAAAAAGATAGAAACAAGATATTTTTGCGACGCAAACTAATTTCCTTAAATGTGGTCTGGGGAAAACGAGTGCTAGCCGACTTGGGAGGATCTAGACAGCCTGTCTCACTCCATCCGAAGGTATTGTACCAGGTGTGTGGGAGACAATAGGCCAGCAAGTTGAGGGTCATGCTAGTCGAGAATAGAATATTTTTCTGGGCCGTCGAAAGCCCTTTAGGCATCAAGCAGGGACTGATCTCTGGAAGCTTTTGCAGTGTTCATTGCCACCAGTGGACGCAAAGGCACTCCGGGGCTTGACTCGTCTGGGATTGACTATGCATGAGCTAGTGCTAGAGTAGCACGAAGTGAAGGTGCGAGACGTGGGTAGGCTCGTTTCTACCGTTTATAGCGTGCATTGAGCCGGTGTGTTGCCCAAGAAGGTTATGGCAGGGTGTGGCTCAGTCTGTCCTCGGTGGTGTGACAGGTGCCTGGATGGTGAAGCCGAGGAGCCCCTGCAGGAGCCCGTGGTGTCGACACCGTCCCCCAACGGCCTCTTCCTCCTGATGGACTGCCCACTCTGCGAGAGGAGTTTCAAGACGTCCGAGGTAGGCTGCGGTTTTCTCGGGTACGTCGACTGAACGCGGTGTGTGCCCTTGATCCCAGTGCAGTGTTAGTAGCGTACCGGAGCATGTGGATCCAGTTATCACCCCAGTTTTTGAACTACTATAGTCTTGCACCTGTTGCACAAGTGTTAGCACACCACCATGCTTTTACAGGTTTCAAATCTTTGTAATATTTACTGATTTAACAGGTTTTACTTGGAACCATCTGTTTATTTTCACTAATTAAATACTTAATTAACATATTTTAGTTAATGATCCAACTTGACATAACGATTAGCCTCCTATAATATGTTCTTCATGCTGTATATCTCGCCGCACAGGCTGCCCTATAATTGTGGCAAAATTTTTGTAGCCACTGATTTGCTTCAGAACTGAATCAACGCATTAAGAGGTACACCTGAACCAGTAAAGGCATGTTCACACACTTGCGACTTCTTAGGACCGGAGAAGCTAAAAACCGCTTTTTAAGCCTTATCGGGTGCAGCAGCGCAGGTCGCAATAATCTTTTTTGCCAAGTTATTGAATTTTTAAATTTTATCGGACAGGCTGAGAAGCTTTACCAGCAACACTCAAAATGTGACGTCAGATGTTGTGTAATTTCGGGCCGGGGGCAATACGGGTCATTCCCGACGGGATACAAGAAGTCTGATGGCATGAAATTAATGCCTATTAAGCTCACGCCAGCAAAACGAAAAAAAGACATGCGCAAATTACTGTGTGTTTTTAGGCTACCTGTTCGACTCGCAAGTTATACATAGGGTGTGTAGAGTGTGTATTTTCCGGTTTTAACCGAAAAACACCGATAAACATCCGTCGGTGACGAAAATATAAAATCAGTTAAAACCGAAAAACACCGGTGGTTGGATATTTTCGCCCTGGTTAAAACCGAAAAACACCGGTCGTTGCTAGTTTCCGACCTAGCGAAACCCTTTCCCCGTAGAGGTTCGTAACGTGTTATCTCGTGGATCCTTCATTCTTCCAGTGTTTATACATGGCTTGCAGGTAGCATCAGTCCGCCCTCCTTTCTGGGGGTCAAAAGCGTATAGTGAACGCAGTGGAAGCTAAGCTTTCATACGCCTTTCCCCTATTGTGTCTCCCATGGCCCCCTTTTGTGGAAAAATTAACACATTGGAGGGTAGGCTCTCACGTGCCTTTTCCTCATTGTGTCTGGCCAAGTGATGTCGGTGAAAGCCATGTATTCAGAGGTTGCTGTGGTTCCTGGAAGACACTGCCAACGTCCGTGTCGTACAGGAGAGTGCGTTTTCATAATTGCGGGTTGCGAACCGCAAGGAACGTGCTGCCATGATGGCAGCACGTTCCTTGCGTGTAGATGCAAGCATGAAAGTATGCTTGCATCTACTATAGTAACCAAGTGTGAGAAATAGTTGCTTCCTAGAGAAGAAGTGTATGAACTATGTGAATAAAACTGGAACTCTCTGCCTGTGATCAATCGCTTTTTTTCACCGATATTCACCGATTTTAGCCTCGTCGTGAGACGTTCCACCGAAATACACCTGTGTTTTGAAAATAAATAAACACCGAAAAACATCCGCCGATTTTTCTCACAAATAAACACCGGAAAGTACACACCCTAGTTATACAGTATGTGACATCACCCCACTGGAAAGTGCGGGACCATACGGACGTTGGTTTTGGCATCGCCTTCGTTTGCCGTTTCCTCAGTGGCTATTTTGAATTTATGATAAATGGCGTACTGGAATGAGTAAAGTCTGGATATTCCAGAAATGTGATTAGTTTGGGTAGCTAGAAAAAAATGCTGGAGTTTTCCTTTCAATGAACCTGTCCAAATTATAATCGGCCGCCCCATATAATCGATCGCAAATCGGGGTAGCATCTCGTGCAAGTTTCATGGACAGGGGAGTTGCGTGGATCTCCTCTCGCATCCACTGAGCGCTGTGTGGTCAGTTCATTGCTTGTCCGTGAGCCGGTAAGGTGTCCCGCAGGCGTGCAAGAGCCACGTGAAGCAGTGCAGCGTCAAGCTGGGCGTATCGCCCAAGCAGGTGGTGGAGGCCATCCGCCTGCAGCAGCGCTATGTCCAAGAGAGAATGGCCGCCGGCCTGCCTCTGGTCCGGGGAAGGTGAGCGTCCCTGGCAAACGAGCATTGGCCGTGCTTTTTTTTTAATTTAATCTGGCAAACTGGCAAGCACTCTGTTGTTATTCTTCGTGGCACGGCATAGAACGTGTGTGCACATTTTTACTTCTTTTGCTAGTGAGCTTATTTTTTTTTTTTCCTTTTTTTGTATGTTTTTAGTGGTTATTTTTTCGAAGGTCTACTAATAAAAAAGACAATGCAGATTCTTTTTTTAAATGTTTATATAATGGGAACAGGTACAGTGATTGCAACCTGTCCCTATTGAGAAGCATGGAATGAAAATATTGAACAGAAAAGGTTGTCGTCTTTCTTTTATTCGGTTTTATTTAGCACGTCCGCTTTCGTGACATTCCGGCAGTCTCGGACTCCGAATCGGACTAACTTTACGAGGCTACTTCGTCGAATAATGAGCTCTCATCCTCTGAATTAAATTTGTAGAAGCATCCAGGTTTGAATTGGAAGAGCAAGCACTCTGATTGCCACTACCGCCTGAGCAACCGACACAAGAAGAGACCATCTTGCACATATCACATGCTCGGAGCATTTAATATTGAAACTATAAACAGAACCAGCAAGGCGAAACACAGTACAAACGCAACTATAGTTCCCCAAAACCTCCCACATCCCAGAACCTCCCAGGGTGCGTGCGATTTTGAGCTTGGGTGGGAACTTTCGAATGTGTAATTGCTGCCATACACATGGCAACCATCAAAAGGTTAAATGAATTTTTATTTGCACGAAGGTTCGTAGGTTATTATTTTATTGACTCTGTTGTACTTACTCCTAACGCCTTACTTTTTAGCGCGTGATTAGTGCGTGTCACTGACGAGCTACTGGCACTTTATTGTGACTGTGGCTATACTTAGTTTCCTCCTAAGTGCTAGCGTAGCCAAGCCCGCGTGTGCGAGACTCGTGCTTCAATCGTAGCCACCGCGCACGCGCATTTGTGCGGTGCAAGCATTGTTCGGAACATCGTCATCCACCTTGCAGTTTCGGCTTCATTTGCACCCAACTGAAAGGGAGTATAGCGTGTGCCGTTGTTCACGCTACTTGCCGAGGTCACTCTTTGCATGCCACGCACGGTAGGCGCCCCGTAGTTGGGCCGAGAACGGGCAGAGTGACGTGTCTGCCCCCCATTCGGCGAGACGGCCGGCGTCACGGTGCTCGTGGTGCACAGGCGGCACGGAGCGGCTCGCCCGGAGGCACCCAGGGTGGCCAGGAAACCACGGCCACTGGCGTCTGTCCCCAAGAGGTGAGGAAGCTTCTTTGCGTCCCTGAGATTGGTGCGTCACATGCGTCGGCTCCGCGGGTGACTTGGCGCCCGCAACTATTTCTCTTAAGGCTGGTTTGCACTCTTGCGCAAGTTCTTGCAACCTCTTGGGGCATGGGTACATGCTTGCATGCCATCGTCATCTTTGACATGGTCCTGGAACTGCATTTCACTAGAGCGAAAGTTTTGCGGTATTGCGAGATCAAATTGGTCGTTTATCATGTTTTTGAAAGATTTTTATGCCAATGAACAAAGAATGATGTGCCAAAAAAGTAGGAAATATGAGGAAGCCACGGGTGTTCTACGGCTGCCCAATAGATGGCACCAGTATGTTCCCTCGTCCAGAGCTGTATATGTTGAGAGTTTGGTCATTAATTGGCAAGAATAGGGCCAAAATAAGGGCACGTCGTTAACCAAAATTGTTTCAATGACCTTGGGTGCGTCGCTTGAGAGCTCTTGTGACCAACCACTAGCCACAAATATATTCCCCTGGTGGTGGCAATGAGCTTAACTTACACCCTCCGATCACAACTTGTAGGTAAGGATGTATCTTCAAGTATTTCATATCAGTACGCTAGAGTTGAAGTTATCCACTTTTCGTAACTGAAAGGGCAACGCACGTGACATTGTCCTCACGCCGACATTCAGAATGCACTGAACCTTTCTTTCGATTGCAATCGCAGTTCCGGCCACGATCGAGTGAACGATTGAAACTATTGACTCGGCTTTGTGGGAATTTTGGCTCGAATTTCGAATGCACACCCCGCTTTCCCAGTTTCGCCTCTTCTTTCAGGAAACATTTCTTGTCAATGTCACCTTACCTGGCTCAGTAAATGCACTCAGCACCTTAAAACTTTCTATTTCCATCGATCTCTTACAGTTACCTATGCATGTACTTTCAACATCATCCACAAACACAAAACACCCGCACCGTGGTACGCGTCTCTTTCAAGAACATCTTAAGTTCTTTTTACTTCGCAGAATCATCACGGGAAAATATGCGGCATTGAGGCGGGTCTGCCCGAGGTGGGTCCGCCCCAGCTCTCCCCAGCTCCTCTCATTGACCAAATTCCCTCTCTATATATGGCTCTGTTCTTGTCGTAAGGGATCCATAACTGAAACTTCGGCACAGCCGGGCAACATTGTACCCTCGATGTCAGTTGCATACACACCCACGTGTTATACAAGGGGCCACGTGATCTACCTATGGTAACCTAGAAATGACGCGGATGCACGGAGAGGGGTGAGAAGGAAGGAAGGAGGACAGGCAGAGCGGCAGCGGCAAAGAGGTGACGACGAAGCAGGCCATGTAGGCGGCAACCTAGGTGGCTGGTCAGCGAAACATGGCATGCGACATACCGTACCACCTCCTCCCTCTTCTGTTTTTTTTTGTTCTCGTTCATTCTTTTTCGTCTCTCTTTTGCCTCTTCTCTCGCCCAGACGTGGTGCGCCGGTAGCTCCGTCTGGTAAGCTGTCCCTGGAAAATAAAATACCAACAAAAGAACTGCACATAGAACAGATGTCAGCCACAACGAAAATACAACGTTGGGTGCGCTGCACGTTGCCCAGCTAAATTAGCGAATTTTGGTGACTTCGGGCGCCTTAGTCTTTGTTGGCCAATTGAATGATCATTTAGGGGGTATTAATTCTAATATTTGGCATGTCGTCTCCCTAGATGATAGTAAAGAGAGCTGCATTGTTTTCTCAGTCCTTGGGCTCCCATTCGGGGCAGCTAGGGGCTCTCAAACCAGGCTCCGAGGAGTGCGGATGTTCTCCAGAACGCCTCAAAACAGATTCCCCCTGAGCTCTTCAGTTTGCGCAAGCGTCCCTGCCTCCGAGCGATGTGTTTTCCCAGTTTAGCAGCCATTTCTAGCAGACCTGAGCTACCCTTTGAAGCGTAGCCATAAGCCAAACACTCTGGTGCGTGTACAGTAAATTCTTTACTGCTCTTTAAATTCTTGCACCTGCATACCGCTTCAATGCCGAGAACGGGTGGGGTGTCTCTGCTATCGGTCGAAGCAGACGGGGGTCCCTCGAGAAAGAAACGTTTGAGCTCTAGCACTTTGTCTAGAATTCTGGTCTTCGTAAACTGTCTCGCAAATGTCCGTGACTCGCACAAGTTTTTTTTAGAGGCCGGTTCGCACACTCGCATTTGACTGTGGTCGAGTACATTGCGTTTCCTCATAGCCACGAAACATGGCGGCACTCCGACATCGTCCATTAGGTAGCAATGGAATCCTTCCGATTGGCGCATATATTTTTATAAAATACTGAGGACTCGAAATATTTCCAACAATGTTATGAGCAACCATTTCTCTTAAGATAGTGCATAGATTCAATCTTGCAAATACTGCAAAACCTCCGGTTTAGGTACACGCAGTCCTGATGGATGGCACCAGTCTGTTCTCTAGCCGTAAGCTGTTACAGGAAAAATACAATGCACTCGAGCACAGTCAAGCCCAAAATTGTGAATGAGCCTTAAGTTGCACGACACATACGCATCAAACTGCGATCGAAGTGCGTCCCGCTTCACCCGCAGCAAATTTCAAGAGGACGTGCAGATGGCGAGAGCGCTGTCGGCTTCGCTGTCGACGGCCGCTGCGGACCGAGAGGATGCGCAACGACGCTTTCGTCAACTCTTCACCGGCGGCCATCATCACGTCGGCAGGAGGAAGAAGCTAGTGGCGTACGTCCGACCCGCCCGTCTACCCCATGCTACCTCGCGAAACAACCTGACGCTCACTCTCATTTGTCCACCCCGCAGGGAGACGCCGGTGCTCCTGACGAGGACGGACGAAGAGCGCGTCAAGAGGACGGAGGAGAAGATCGATCACCTGCTCACGCAGAGGGTGAGTGCACGCCGGCCTCGAGAAAGAGCCAGCAGAGTGTGATGTTCGAACCAAACGTGCGTCCTTGTGTCAGTTATACGTTTCCTCCGGAGCTGGTCGCCGTGGCGGCCTTTCAGCTTCGTGGGTCGGCCTTTATTTAACCGTTCCGTCGATGGCGGGGCCCTTTCTGCATGTGTCGGGTGCTTTGCCTTGTCGTTCGCTGCCAACAGCAGTGACTGGAGAATGCCCTCAGTCGATCGAAGTGTGGACGCTGTCGGTCTATTGTTGGGCTGTGTCATTCCTGACACGGGTGGGAAACCGTATCATGCAGGTGAACGGCCTCGAGTTGGGTGAGCTGTCATGGTGCGTAAAGCTCAGGGCTGTGCCCGGTACGTCGAAGCGCCTGAGGGAGCTCGCTTCCAAGGTAAGCCCTTCCCCGACGTCACGACGATCAAAAGGCCGAACCGTGACCTTGACTCCTGCCAATGCTTCGGCGGGAGTTTTGGTTTGCGTCGGAGATCCTCGGTTTGCGTGTCGCGTTTGAACGCAGATGTAAATGGTGCACGATTAATTTGCTAACGTGTTGCCGATACTCCCCGGTAGTTACGAACTGATTTACATCGCTCATAACACTCCCTGTTGGGAGTTGTCCCTTAAAGTTGGCATTGGCATTAGTTGACTGCGGCCAGTGGCAGAGCAGAACTGAGCGTGGAGTGCTTCAGGTACGCTAAGGTGAAATGACACAAACGTCGTAAAGCGTATGTCACAATCTAAAGAGTAAAAGGGTAATGTCACGTGGAGCGCCAACTAGTCGCATTCGAGCGCAGGGATAATTTTACCACCTCTCTGAACGACCTCTGGCGGTCTAGGGAAGGTCGTGGGTGCCGAGAGGATGTCACGAAAATCCTGCGGAACATACGGGTTACCGATCAAGGTGGCAATGCTGGCGAGTTGGTTCATGATAAAACTGAAAACAGCATACAAATAATAAAGATAAGGAAAGTATAGAAGGGGCAAGCGCTGTCACATAGCTTGTTCCGTCTGCAGGCGGAGGAGTGCGGAAGTTGTTGTTTAGCTTTATTGTTGAAGGAAGACGCCCATTGCCAAGACAGTGTGCACTTCGATCACGTGCCTCGTTGAGTCAGCGAAAGCGACTCTTGGTGTCTCTTGCAAGCTTGTTCCAGATTTTGACATTCTGTGTGTTTTTCGATCACATGTTTTGCAGAGCTAGCGAGAGTCACTGTAGCGTGTTCTGGATATCGAGATTTACACGTCTTTCGGTTGTAGGGGGGAAAGATAATGATTTTTCAAATGCTCCTCAAAAGGGGGGAATTACGTCTCTTTCTTTCTAAAGAATTCAGGTATGCAAAAACGCATTTCCAGTGATCGACCCGTGTTCAACACTTAGACACGGGCCGACTGCCAGACATGCTTACGGCCGTCGGCGGACATACGTGCAGAAAGAATGTATGTGAAGTTGCTTCCCGTTTCATCTATCACTGCCTGGAGCATCAAAGGTTGAGCTTCCTCTGATCATGCCTTCTTTTTTCCTTTTTATTTCTTGTGGATTGTTGAAAGCGCATCACGTACCTATGTACCGGTCCGTATTCACTACATGCTGTCCAGTCACGCCAGGGTGGTGCACACCCATCATGCACATCGGAGGCTCCTTGTTTTATGTACGCTTTCCTGCTGCAAGCAAGCTCTTGGAGGGAGAAGCGTGCCTTCAGGCGTGTTACGTGTGTTAAAATGTGCAGTCCGGAAGCGCATGTTACAACGCGCGTTCATAACTTCTATTGTAATGAAGTGAAACACGGCTCTGTTGCGGCTCCTTTGCACTTCAAATGTGCAAAAACAAAACAACACCTATTTTGAACACTTGTGCTATATACTGCATGACCATTACGTGTAGTGTGCACAAAAAATATTGACTCTTTGGTCAAATCCCAATTATAGGGAAATACGGCTGTAGCGAAGATATTTCGAAATTGCGTCAACTTAGTTATAACCGAGATCGACGGTATCAGATAACTGAGCTTGATCGGCCAGAACATTCCGAAGCAGACGTGGCAATCTCAATGACGTTCCGAATGGCGTCGCACGTGCCACTCACTTATAGCAGTGGCGGGTGCAAGGTCCCGTCCGGTTTTCTGTCGACCCCATTTCCCATGCGCGCATTCTCTTTGCTGCAGGAGGCCACGCTGTGGGAACTGGCGTCCCGGGGGGAGGAGGGCTGCGAGGCTTTCTACGTGTGCGCCCTGTGCGAGACCGTGACGCCGTCCCAGGTGGCGCCCGTCGGGAGTCGACTCCTCTCCCTGACGCAGCTGCCCGGGAGACGCATCTCCAAAACGGGTGGCGAAATCTCGGCCGCCGACCCTGCCCGGAACTCGGTGAGCGGCGAAAGAGATTGGGTAGAGGTTGGCTCACTCGTACTGTATTTACTCGCATAATGAACACACTTTTTTTCTCGAAGAATTGACATATTTGGGGTTGTGCTTTCATTACGCGGGTTAAAATTTTTGCATTTACACACTTCGTGCAAATGTCATATTAGGTGCCAATATGACACGGCAAGGTACCGTGGCACCTCTCCACCAATGGAGGTGCACCCACGGCTGTTCGGGCGCGTACCACAAAAACCGTGCTTCATAAATTGCAAACTTTTTTAGGGTGCTTTCAGCGTGCCTTTTGCCAAAGGAAAAGTGCCCTACGAAGCTCACTCAGCACGGAGAGCAACGCGACCATTCTATGGCCTAACCACTTTAAAGGGGCGATGCAACAATTTTCGTACTTTGTAGAAATACCGCTTAAAACGGATCCCTGACGTTAATGACCTATGAAACACATGTTCGTTTTTCACCCCACACAATAGAACTTCCAGAAAAAAAAATTAAAGAAAAACAAGCATTGTTCACCCCCTCAACCCACAGCCAGAACAAGCGGCCACGTGATCTGGAGCTGATTATATGCCGTCAATGTTGATCATAGCCACGCGCTGGGGTTGGCAAAGCACAGGACACGCGCTGAGTTCCAAACATTGTTATGGCTCGGCTATTGTCGTCGTTGCAGCGATTGGACACGGGCCACCACCCTAATGCATGTCGAGGCATCGATTGTCACGAGCCCAGATCGAATGCATACGCAGTCTTCGCGTCCACTGTGTGAGCAGCATTTGAATATCGTCACCGCAAAGCTCGATGACGCATTCCCGGGGATCGTACTGTTGCCATTGTCCCCACAGCTCCATCATCAAGTTTCGCGAAAGAGCAAAAGGCGGCTTTGGAAGGAGAGACTGAAAAAAAAGCTCCGCTTTCATCCTTTGAATTCTGCCGCAACGAAGGCGCTTCTTGGTCAGTGGTGTTGCGTTCGAGTATTCTTGGGTCCCACTAGTGCCAGGAAGCTGGTGTAAAGTAAGAAATATTCCTACCCAATGTCGTTGCACAGCCCCTTTAACGATTTTACTGTCTGAAAGCGGACCACAGACGACGGCCTGTTTGTTGACATCAATGCATCCGATAGGTGAAGAATGTCCAGTGCTGGGCAATTCCTCGACCCAAGCTTCGTCAAGTGTGCGGGCCGCTCGGTTTCACGGTTGATCACTTCCAAAACTATGCACTTGCAGCCATTACGAGAGCGGCTTGGCTTGGCTTGACTTGACCTGACTGCTTGGTGTCAAAAGAAACTTAGCTTGGTGGCTAGCTAAGTTGGACGCAATTCAAGACTAGCAAAGCCGAAAATTGGAGATGCGTTTATTACGCGAGGAAAAAAAAAAAAAAAGTCCAAATACAGTCTAAGCTCATTATAACAGACCTTGATTTTGACCAAGATTTCAGTCTGTTGCAAGGGGAGTATGTTGTATGCAAATAGGAAGTTGAGTCAATGGTGCCTAGAGGAAAACCAACCGAACTTCACAAATTGGTATGCTATATCCAAATGTCTGTTGTAACCAGGTCTGTTATAATGAGCTTAGAATGTGTTGGTACCCGTTGGGGGGGGGGGGGGGGGTGCGTTTATTATGCGAGTAAATACGGTATGCGTGCAAGCTCGACTCACTTCGTTGCAACCGCCGGTGACCGCTTTACGACCGGAGAGCGGTATGGCACCTCCTGTTGGGCAGCCGTTGAACGCCTCTTATCTGCGCATATTTTACGCACCATTCTTTCACTGTGACGCTCATTCGTAAGGATCCTTCTTAATGTCCTTCCCTACCGTCCCTTCCGAGGATCCTTTGTGACAATCTTCTCGTAGAAAACGACCCATGAAACGGTTTCTGCGTTAATAAATAATAAGATCGTTGCAGAATGCCCCCGGAGCGGACACTCAGGCGCAGCAGCGAATGCTTCTCTCCGCGCTGGGCTCCACCCCAGGGCCAGCCACTTCTCGCGCTGATGAGCCCGGACGTGGAGAGTGCCTCGACGACCTCGAGATGGGCCACGGGTTCCTGACACAGGTAACCGGGCTCCTCCTCGGCAGTCAGTCGCGGGTTCACCAACCTTTTAGTGTGTTTTTAACCAGCCTTCCTTCCCGCTCATGCATAAAAAGTTTTCCAGTGGTGGCAACAAGTTGCGTCATTGGAGTCAGCCCGTCGCGCCATCGAAAGTCGCAGCCCCGGTGTTTGGTCGTAGAAGTTGCGGCGAAAGAGGCGAACGGATGCGAGGCTTGTCGTCATTGCGGCGTAGCATCTCGCGTCTTATTGGTTTCCGTCTGCTTTCCATCTGTGGCAAGACAGGTGCTTGCCGCATCCACATCTGCAGCTGCGCCACTGCCAGGCACGATCGTGGCGGGCGACGACGTGACACTTCTATGCCGTCGTGAAGCCAAAAATGAGCGACCACTCTTGAGGATGCGGTAAATGCACCAGCCGGAGACGCGTTGCAGGCACCATAGTCTCAAGATTGTTTAGGGAGAGCAATAAGGGTGCCGGTTCATACTGGGTGCCGCAACTGCCAGTGGTAAAGTTGGCGTAACCCCTGCGCAATACAGTAGCGGTTCCGAAGCAAATGCCAGTCTAGCGTAGGCTTGTTGCAGTCTGGCGGCGCGTTTGAGCGTGAGGTATGCGCGGATGTCGTCTGCCACGGGGCTCCTACCCCGTGCGCCTTCGGATTGTTCCCACCGTTGTGCTTTGCAGAAGAGAAAATCTGGCTTTGTTTACGGAACGAGCGGTGTGGCTGGCTCCTAGCGACTTCCAGTAAATCAGCTTCGTAACAAGATTGTCGCACTGGAAATTGCGTCCTCGCGGATCAAACTGCCAAACACCGGCGTGGCACTTGTGTCTAACTTCTGCCCCGCGCCGGCCTTTGGTAGGCGACATAGAAAATCCGGTGCTACAGCCTCGTCACCTAGAAGGAGTTGAGTGAGCTTGCTTGCACCTACGGTGGGAGAGGACACAGGAGGTGAGGGGGAAGCAGAAAGACGTGAGACGGTGAGGTCAGAGGTGGGGCGTTTGATTCCGAGAGACGTTAACTCTGGGTGTTTTCTCGGAGCCGCCACGCACCACGACATTCACGCCATCGAAGCATGAAATGTGTTCCGAGTTCCTCAGAGCCAAATCGCTGCAAAGCAACTCACAATACATTCTGTGTTACCACTGCCTTTGCCGCGATGCTACTGGAAATGGGCGACTTTATTTGCTGCACACTGAACTTTACCTTATTAGTCGAAATTGCGGAAGGAACTGCTTGCATTACGGGGGCGAGTTGTTTTGCTAATTTCGCTACCCGCAGGATGTAGTGAGGGAGTGACGTGGCTGAGGTCTAGCAGGACGCTTGCATGCCCTTCTCCTGGCTGTCAATTTAGAATGCCCGAAGATGCCTGACCCTCCATGGGCCCCGCTGCATTTCAGAGGGATGCCGACGGTAAGCCCGAGGGGACGGAGGAGTCTCCCACGCTGAGGCGGCTCTCCAAGGACCTGGACTCGCTCGTGGGCTCTCGGAGGTTCTGCGACCTCAAGGTGATCGCCCGGGGGGCCCAGGTGATCCCTGCACACCGCGCCATCCTGCTCACCCGCTGCCCCGCCCTGGAAAAGGTGACTGCCCCCGGCACCACGCCATCCGGCGTTGTGTCCTGAGTTTCGCTCGCTCACTCTGTCGGCACCGAACGCATCTCGAAACGAGAGACGACCGTCTCGGTGGCTCCGAGCATCCGAGGCCCATGGATCGCTAGGTGGCGGGTTCGAATCCCGGCCAAGGTGCTCACAATGAGAATGAGGCATATTGCGGAGAAGGCGCCGCTTTGGTTGCCGCTTCGGAAGGCAAGGAGCACGTGCCGGAGGCGGGGCGATCAGAAGAGGTGCCTTGCAGTTCTCATCCTCTCGCCGACTGTACAGTTCAGTTTTTTTTTAGAGACATCTTGCGTTCGAAAGATGGAAACCAAAATTTGATGCTGGAATCGGGCCTGTTAAAAGTTGGAGCCACTATATTAGAAGTGGAGGGTACTAGTTTAGAAATGGTTACTTTTTGTCATGTGGCTCACTTACTCCCTTAACCGTCGAATAAAAGTCACCGTGCAAAGTCAAACAAGAAAGCTGGTAGGTAGAGACCTTGCACAGGACGTCTTGCCACTTCTTTGGTCGCATTAAAGAGATGCCAGTGATATGGGCCCACTGAAACCACCGATGCTTGTGTCCCGTCGTTTCTAAGGGGTTGAAATGCACCAGAAAATGGAGGACCTTTTCACCTAAATATTACATGAACCGTACGGCCCAGGCAGAGGGTTGACGGGAGTCCCTCCCCGCGCAGGACATGAGCAGGCAGACGGACCGCACGCCCCTGCTGGACTGGACGTCCCGGTCCAGGGAGTGCGTAGTGGCCTTTCTGCGCTACCTGTACGCCGGCATCCTTGAACTGGATGACGGGGACAGCGAGTTGCTGCTTGAGCTCAGGGGCCTGGCCTTCAGGTGGGTGGCAGAGGCCCTGTCCGGCGGCGAGCGCTTAGCCGTCGCTCACGGGTTGCTTAAAAAACCCCGAAGTGTCGTCGCAGTTTACTCTGACGTCGTGTTCACAATGTCGTCGTGTCAACATTGTCGTCGTGTCTGCAATGCTATCAGATCCTCAATGTCTTTACATGTGCTATATCATCCGATCCTCAACGTTGTTGTGTCCGCAATATCGTCACATCCGCAGTGTTGTTACGTCTGCAATGTTGTTGCCACGGTGGAAGGAGAAAGGTGTCTGAACAGCGCTGCCTTGCCATGGTACAAGTATGGTGAAGGTTCGTTCGTATATTTTTGTGAAATGCCATCAGATGGCACAGCCTATCTAGGGGTAGTAGGAGGCTGATGGGAGCCACTCGAGGAACCGTCCTTGTTCGTGCACGCAACCTTGTACGAAGGCCCCTACACCAACACTGCCCCTGCCAGGATATGCACGAAGTCTGAGCCAACATTTGTCGCCTTGGCTGGCCTTGTTCAGGCTCCTCTCTCTCCGTTCACCATGGTCATCATGTCCACAGTCCTCCAGGGACCAACTTCTCCTAGGGTCGGAGAGACGACCTACTATGGTTTGTTTCTTTTTCTGCATGAGCAATGCTGAAGCTACAAGCATTAGTGTGCTGTCTTAAATGATGATTACGTTGCATGAACGCATCCCTGGCAGGGATGCTGAAAACCCATGGCTCGCTCTTGTAGCTTCTATGTTCGCACTTAAAGGGACACCGAGGTCCAGACACATTTTCTAAGTGCTTGGAGGACATGTTTGTGAAAAAATTAACTTTTCACGGAGCCGAGCATAGGCCACCGGCAACCAGGAAACAAGTGCCGGTGGAGTGTGAGAGAAAACTGGGGAATGCGGACCGGAGGGTTGCTCAGTGGCGGAGCGGACCACGCAGGTACGACATGAGCGACCTGTGCGAGGAGCTGAAGGGCCGCTTCCCGGAGGGGGAGGAGGAGGTGGACCCAGACTCGAGTCTGGCCGACATCCTGGCCACACTGTGGGAGGGAGAGGGGCCGGCCCCCGCCGTGACGGGGGAGCCAAGCGATGGAGAAGATGCCCTGGACACCGTCTACGAGTTTGCGGCCAGTCAGCGCTCGAGAGGCGGTGAGCGCTCTTCGTCGCCGTGCCTCTCGAGGCCGCTTCGTGCGGTCTCGAGGTGACTGCACTTTGTGCATTCACCTTGAAAAGACTGTACTTATTGGGTGCAATCGATTTAGCTAAGCCTGCTGCACCAAGGTATGTGCAGTGTGCACTGCCTAGCTTGATTTGCGAGTGCGACCCATATTACTACTTCCGTATTGACTCTACTAGTGGGTACACCGTATCTGACAAAACCTGCGCGATTGATTTCCCACGGAGCACGCCGGTAGTTCATCCTTGTGATGGGCGGAAAGAGTCCCATGCCTTACAGCACAGAGATATCGTTCTCTCGAATGGATTAGTGTAGACGCAAAGTTCTTTTGGTTCTTAAAGGAACAAAATGCCCGACTCCAGAAGTTTCCTTTGCTGCTGCAAACAGAGTAATGGACTCTAAACTGACTGAGACTATTCATGTCACTGTAGTGTGAACCGCTAGGACTGCGGCAAACTAAAGGGAATAATGAGGGTGTCGTACATATCTTCCAGGCACGTCCCAACAAGAAAGCCTCGGAACGCTGCAAGAAACACGACTCGGCGCTTGCTCTCCGTGCACCGTCCAGGCCGACGAGTTGCTTTCCGCATTAGACGGGCCCAGAACGACCTCCGCTCCCGAAAGAACGATGCCGCGTCAGTCCTCGCCACTAAAGTCGTCTGACCCGAGGAGTCAGTACGCAGCGACCGTACCAATAACTGCCAGTCCGATCCAGTCCCGAGACGACCGGCGTTGGATCGACGTCTACCGGTGCGAGTCGCCGTCCAAAGAGAGCCCTGAGGTCTCTCCTCGGCGAGATGTCGGCGCCACGCCGGCGGAAGGCCGGGAAGAGGACGGGAGTTCTCCAGACCTCTTTGGCGAGTCGAGGAGCTCGGAAGACGACTCGGAAAAGATGGAAGAGGACGTCGCAGACTGCCCTCGTTCGGGAACAGACGGCGAGGGTTCGGAAAATGGTGAGGGCGTCTGGGACAGCGTCTGGGATGGCTTCGACAACGACGGTCTGGGGGTTACCGCCGACGCACCCGTGCCGTCACCGGTTGCAACCAAGACTGGCGGCAGCTTCTCGTACTCCGACGACGAAAGTGCATCGGGCGAGGAGCGGCCAGCGGAAGAAGAGTATCTCGTGGAGCACCTTCCGTTCCTCGGAGCAGGTATGCAAACATTCCTTGCCACACCATCTGTCCTGCTGAGAGGGAGTGCTGTGGTCCCATGCTGCAGGTTCCAGTGTAGTCGGTCATTGTGCCACAAACGAAGATGGCTGAATATAACTCGCATGTCCAAAAAGCGTCGGTCAGGGTTTGCAGTCTTCGGGTATTCTTGTTAAATGCTCACACCCTTCACAGTCATGTGCCATTTAGCCAATCTTTGTGTCCCATGTCAGGGATGTTGGCTTAGCGGATTGTATTCAGCAAATTGAGTAGGAGTTGGAGCACGCACGTGGTTGACCAGAAATGTACAGTTCTACACAAGTTTATTTACCAAGTGTCGTGTTAATCATACATCTCTGTCCTCTCGCCTCTATGGTTTATTATGGTCAATCAGTTGAAGTAATGCCCTTCTTGCAAGGACTAGTTTTTTTTAAGCGGTAGCTTGATTGGCCCAACCATGCTCAAGGTTGCGTAATCGAGATCACGAAATTCCCGTGGCTGAAGTGCTCGTGGTTGAAGCGATATGCTTGAAATGCCATTGGCTGAAATGCCCATGGCTCAGCACCCTTGGCTGATGCGCTGGTCGCGTAAGCTGTTGAGCATCAGTCCTGTAAGCCCTGGTTGCATAAGCGCTGGTCGTGTAAGCTGCGGTTGCATAAGCGCCAGTCGCGTAAGCACCAGTCGCATAAGCGCCAGTAGCTGAAGCTGACGTGACCTAACGTCCTTGATGTCGTCCTTGAGATTGTCCTAGAGGTCGTCCTTTAAGACGACATCAAAGACTTTTTCTTAAAGGGGTACTCCACCGATTTTTTGAGCTACCTCAACTAACTATATTTTCTGACTCCCCGGCCTTTACTCTCTCCGGTATGCTATTTAGAATCGCGAAATTCATAATAGTTATTGCGAAATCGGCAAATGAAAATGATGCAAAAACCAACATTCAAATATACGCGCGCTTTTCAGGGCCGTGACGTCAGTGGCAGGCAGGCTTGCCAGTCGAGCAAGCAGCCAAAAAATAGAATATGCCAATCATTTGTTCCGTGCTCGAGCGCGGGTACTGCAGCGAGCTTCCCAAGCATTCATTTGACACTATGAAACTGCTTCGAATCAGTTTAAAACAAAATCTACAGCCCAAAGAGTGAACCCCTGCCTTCCACTGACGTCACTTTTTCATTGTTGCCAGTAGAGACTTCGAGCTTGTAAAACACGGTGAGGACCAAAACTGTAAATTCAATAACTTTGCGAAAAAAAAATATTTTGACCTAATATTTGGGATACTATTTTCGCGATGTTTGTTGGTTAGTTTAGCAAAATTTCAAGCAAATCGGAGACAATGAAAAAATCGGTGGAGTAGACCTTTAAGGTCGTCCTAGACATCATTCTTGACGTCGTCCTTGAGGACGTCCTAGAGATTTTTCTAGATGCCGTCCTCGATGTCGTCCTTGACATTTTCCTAGAGGTCGACCTAGATGTTGTTTTTGACATCTAGGTCTTCAGTGTGTACAGTAAAACCTCATTATAACAAAGTTGAAGGAGCGATCGTAATTATTTCGTTATAACCATTAGTTTGTTATAGCCAATGTCCATTTCTTCCCTATTAGCAAGCAAGGGGAATTATGATTGCTTTGTTATATCCATTAGTTTGTTATATCCCATTTTGTTATAACGAGGTTTTACTGTATTACATTGAGGACTTATGTCAGTGTGATGAAATAGTATTACAAGTTACAACTATTTCATCACCGTACCATTTCCTTTCCTAATTGTTTTCACTAACGATGTTCCTGTAAAGCTACCGCATTTCATTGCGTTTAGTCGAATGAACAAAGCTGCAACAATTTTTTTATTTCAGAATCATGAGTTATGTCTTTTGACAGCTATTGGCGACTCCAGCGAAATTGACACCGCGTAGCGGCAGCGCCGAGAAGCTCAAAAGAAGAGGTCGTTTCGACTCTGTCGTCTGCTATCGCTGCTTAATTCTTGTAGGCAGCATAGAAACAAACATTGTTTCCAGTAGTTATTTTATGCATCCGCCATGTTATTCCTACGCACTGACTAGAAGAAGGGGGATTGGCGGCCGAGTTGGCTAGCACACACCAGCTCGGAGCACGTGCAGCAAAAGCTCGCGCTGCAGAACCCAGGGATCCTTGGTTCAGTTCCCACCCCTGCTCGTTTTGATCTGGATGAGTATTTTACCGGCGTGCGGTTGCGTATCACTACTGCATGGTGCACGTTAAAGACCCCAAGCTAGCGGTTGTACTGCACTGGCTAAATTTCTCATCTACAGCTGCAAGACTCGTTGCCTGTTGAGGCAGACCAAGTTCTAGGCTGTATAAACATACTCGCAACAATTTGCTTCTGACTAGAAGAAAATTCTTACCGTCAAAAAATTGCTTTGCTTTTATATGTAGCACTTATTTTATGCTGCAGTGCAAGAGAACAACCTTCTTCCGTCTGCCATTTTGCCTGACCAGCGCACCCCCTATAGTTTGCTGGAGTCGTGAATAGAGGGCTTGTCTAGAAAGGAGCCTCATCAACGACAGCGTGAGTCAGCACCACATAAAATTTGAGGTTTTAACCATGTGTAGTCCGCAGACCATACACGTTAGAATCCCGAAAATATGGCAATCAGATACAAGAAAACAGTGGATTCCAGTATATCCGAGAGCTCAGGGACACTTGGGGCGATCTCTCTTAACAGGGGTACCAACTCGACGATAAGTGCGTTGCAACGACCGTGCAGGGCCGGCCGAGGTCTCGCGCACCCCGACGGCTGGTGTCGGGCGAGAGCGGCAGCACCCGACGGCACCTCCCACTCCGGTGACCCCACTGCCGGACTACGGGACAATGCGCACACCGGAGCTGGCGGGGCACCTGAGCCAGTTCGGAGTGCGCCGCTTCCCCAGGAAACAGGCGGTCAACATCCTTCAACATATCTACGACCAGACGCACCCCCGTGAGACTCCTCTCGTTTACATTACGGTGTCCGCAACGCGTCTTTGACTGGTGCGTTCAGGATCCCACCCTTCCCGTGTCTCGAAGATGGTTCCGAAATGGCAACAGTTTGCGTCTCTGGAGAGTCGTATGGTGTCGGTCGTCATGATCCTGGCTGTTGTTCGTAGAAACGCTGGCGAAATAGGTGAGGTTCGCTGTCGTCGCGGTGTCCCATCTCGCGTCTGCTTTGGTTTCTGCCGACTGTCGTCTGCTAGCAACATCTCAATGGGCGTCTACGCGTCCACCTCCGCCGCTGTGCAACTGCCAGAACCACAGGCAACAATGCGATGCTTTTAGTACATCGTCGGGCGGAAATCGAGAGACTGCTTTTGAGGATGCGGTAAGCGCACCGGTCAAGGAAGGGCTTTGGGCACCATGCCTTTGTGGGCATTGTAACTCGGCTGAGGGCGTCGAAGCGAGCGCCCGCCCGAAGTCGGGGGACGGCCGGCAGAGAGTCGGGGACAACTGCTGGTGCCTGCGAGAGCTAGTGGTGAACCGCCGTGAATTTGACGTGTGCGCCTTTTTGCGTTTGGCTCGTACAGTTCGGTGGCTCGCGAAACATTTCGATGCCTCGATTGGTGCCCGACGAGGCGACGTTGTGTAGCACCAGTAACACACTGGCACCATCTATTATCGGGTAGTGCCAGGACCCTTTTAATTCGTGTATAACTAGACTGAAGGTTTTTCGGTATTTGCGAGGTCGGAATTGAGCAATACCTACAAGAAATGGTCTCATATTACATTGTCGAGGTGCATTTAAGCTCACGGTGAAAGAAAGATGCATAAAATATATGTGGATGTGAAGCGTTCCACCCAACAGGTGACGCGAGTGTGTTATCTTGTCGGGAGAATAGGCACACTTGAACCACCTAGTAACCCAAATTCCATGTCAGAATAAATTTTTTTTCGAATCTCTCCGAAATCATTATTTATTTTCTCTTTTTTTTTTTCTCACAATCGAAGTATCTAATTCTGGTTTTAGAGGCCGAGAGACTATACTGGCAACACCGAAAACGTGACGCCAGGTGTCGTAATATGGGGCACTATGGGGGCATAACAGCCTCCTCCCGACGGGTTAAAAGAAGTTTGACGGCATAAAATGAATGCCAGTAAAGCTCACGCCAGCAAGACGACAAAACGTGCGCAAAATACCACTTCATGTCTGCCTGCTCGTCTTGCAGGGTATACGACGTGGTACATCACTGCACTGGAGAGTGCGGGAAAACGTGAATGTTGGTTTTGGAAGCACCTTCATTTGCCGTTTTCCCAATAGCCGTCTTGACTTTAGAGATAATAAGCAGCGTACTGGGAAGAGTAAATCCTGGGTGTTCCGAAAACGTGTTTACTTTGGGTAGCTCGATAAACCGCTTTTTATGTCGCTAGTTTTGTAGACTACAAAAAAAATGTGTCACTTTTGTTGCAGTGGTTCCAGAAACGCCTGGGAGAGTGCCTCCGGCCTATTCTCAGCAGGAGGCCCCAAATGACAGTGCCAACGGTCGGAGGAAGCCCTCGAGGTGGGGTTCACAGTCCGACGGAACAGCCGAAGGGGACGGCTCGGCCGGCACACGCCCCATCTCGTCCAGGTAACGGCGCCGAACATCGGACCGCACGCTCTCTGCCACCGCAGGGAGTTCTCGAACGAACGAACGGGAACCCGACGAGTCGCGAGAGCCCATCCTGGGACACCTCGCCGCAGTCGCGACGAGTTCGAGAAATAAACGAATGGTTTTCTGTATGTACTTAGCTGTTTCTAGTGTTTTTGCCTATTCGTCCGACTTGCTGTACTCTTTGACTGCTTGGCACTGTTGCCGGAAATGCTGGGTCACGGTGTTTGGGATGGCCACAAGGTTATTGAAACGCTTAGTAGTTCGACGATGTGAGCCTACTTTCTTGTGGCAGTGAGGCTTGCTGCCTTCGGGCTATGTGCATCGCCCAGTGCGTGCATGAAGCAAGTACTTAATAGAAAGGCTATTAGCTAGTATCCTTTGTACTGTCCTCCAAATCCCGCGAGAGTCATTTGAGTGTCTTTCCATGGGGGCAAATGCTTTTTTGAATCGGCACCGAGCCTTGTGCCGCACGCGCGGTTAGGTCAGAGCTAAGCGACAGAAGCCGCCGATCTTTTCATTGCTGGGATTTTGCTGTTGTGCTGCACAGCGTGTTTCATAGTTGGGTGTACAACGCTACTGGCGCGAGCATAGGGTTTGATATCGCAGATCATTTGCACGCATCATCGCGCAAACGAAACCATGAAGGAAGCCATGCGCTCGTGCCAGTAGTTTTGACAGCATTGTATACTAAGTATGTGACGGAGCATAGGAGTTGAGGCTCTAATTTTGTAAGAGGTAAGCTGAGCGTGCCCTTAGGTTGTCAAATTAAAAAGTGGAAGAAGACAAGGATGGACAAAAGGGGGCGAAACTGACCTCCATTTGTCTTTGCGTCATTCGTTTCACCTTTTCTGTTGAAGCTGCGCAAATGCAGATGGTTGGGTATCTACACTTGGCACTTCATTTTGGGCTCGCTGCTTAAAGCACCTCGGAGGGCAAAGTCCCTCGCCTCAAATAAGACGACTCGGAGAAGCTTCCGTTGCCTCGTAAAATGTGCAGCGTGCTGCTTAGGCAACAGGTTGTAGCCGGCATGGTTTCGAAACCCCCATCGGTGCGAGAGATCCCCCGTTGGGGCAGGAATTGGCGAGACGGCCAATAAAAGTGTGCCCTCGAATGTCCGCCTCTCTCGAATTGAATCCGGACAGCGACGAAGACTGTGCCGGCCACGGTGCGGAGGGCTCGGACACCACGCTCGAGCTCCGGAGGTTCCTCGGGAACGGCCAGCTGTACGAAAAGCTCCTGGCGTACGAGGTGAGAGCTCGCGCCTTAGGGGCACTTGCTCGTCGGGTGGCTTTCCCATGCTTACCTTACTGCTCTTCCAGCCCATCGACTTTCAAAAGCTTCGGAAAGACGTTCGTGGAGCCGGCATCCGGATTTCGGCCAAAGGCCTCATGGACTTTCTCGACGAACAAGTGAGCCAACTCCGCGACTGCGTCTCTCGATGAACATTGTGAAAAATTGCGCTCGAAGAGACTGTACAAGAATGCTCGTATGTTCTTTCCTTTTGTCGTGTCCCTTTGAGTGCGGTCTTTTACGACGTTCAACAATCCCCAACTAGACCAACTTACCGCCCCGCTGCATCTCTCACATCTTTGCCAGGGGCAAACGGAATGTTCCCACAATCCATCCCTTTACAGATTTATGGTTCGAAGGTTTTTCAGTACGAGGATGCCTGGGCATGGCAGTGTGAACGATCCTTCGAGTAAAAACCTTAGATCCTGTAAGCTCCATCGAGCAACGGCGACATAAATTCAGCTCCCGAGACGTCACTTTTGTCCCCATTGTGGCTTATAGTTCGTCCCCCATGTTGGCACAGAAAGGCTTTCCCCCTTTCCTTCCTGCTGGCGTCTTCTTTCCTCGAGTTTCCTGCCAAGACAACCCTCGAGCGAAGTGTCTGACAGGGAGCACCTCTTCCGTCGAAAGAACTGGTTTAGTCTCGCACCCCACGAGTCCTTTTGTAACTTCTGCAGATGGCCTGCCGACCTCTTAGTCTTTCGTACTGCTTAGAAAGGACGGAAAGCGGAGCGAGCCCCATCTTCCTGCCTTGTTTTAAGGCCCGTTTGCACACTTGTGTTTGCTCACAGCAGAGTTCTTGTGATCTCTTTGGACAAAAGAACATGCTGGCACCATTTATGAGGTAGCCCTGAAACTGCGTTTCACTAGAGCGGAGGTTATACAGTCAAACCCGACTATATCGAACCTGTTTACATCAAATTATCCCTTATATCGAACAATTGTTGTACGGAGTGGTGTTACAGTGATGATATATTGCAAAAACTGGTGACATCGAACAAAAGTAGCGGCCGCTACCGATATATCAAATGGCCAAGAGCGCCGTTTTGCTCTGCAAGCTGGCTTTCCTCCAATGCAGCCGTTCTCCTTAGGGGAAAGCCAACTTGCAGAGCAAAATGGCGCTCTGCACTAGAAGGTGCTCCCGCTCGGACGTGCTCCGTGTTCTCGGCATAGTTCAGCGCTAATGCGCAAATATAGAAGGCAGTGGGGCCTCAGCATTTTGGAGTCTGTTGATAGTGTAGAAAGATATTGTTATTGCAGATGCAATGAAGAAAAAGCAGCAGAAGATGCAAGGCTACAGTATTTCATTGTGTAATATGTCAGCAGAAAGTGGATTTGTGAGAGCAAAATTCATTAAAACTTTTATATAGGATTACCCGCTGTATCAAACTAATTCCCGTTTTTTTTGCAAGTTCGATATAAGCGGGTTTGACTCTATACGATCAAATGTACATATCAAAAATGACTGTTTATAGCATTGTCAAGTGTTCCCTGATGGATGGTGGCAGCTCAGCCCACCTTAAAGGTATGGTAAACCGAAATATGAATTTAAAAAAAAAAAAAACACTGCTGGAGATGTAGGCGCGACACTACGATCCCTACAACACTACTAGTAAGGCGATATCTGAGATGGACGGCCGTACTTTTGAAAGAAGAGGTCAAGATTGAACCAGGCCGACGAGGTGCGTGACGTCAAGATACTTGGTTTCCTCCTCTCTTTGCTTCGCTCCCTCAAGGCCGCGAGGCGGAGAAGATGCGAGGCCGTTCCCTCTCCTTCTTGGAGAAACATGACGTCGACATTCCTGCCAAATGCGCCTCTTTTGAAAAAGACGGTCATCCGTTCGAGATATCGCTGTACGAGTGATGTTTTGGTGTTTGTAGCATCTTGCTGCACGCTTTTGGCCGCGTGTTTTGGAGAATCCAGATTTCGGTTCAGCATCCCTTTAAGAGGTAATCCAGCGTTCTCTTCATGGTCCTCGATTTACTTCAAAATTGACCTAACACACCAACAAACATAGCTGTACTAGTAACCCAGATATTAGACTTTTTTGGTGAAGTTATTGAGTTTACAGTTTTGGTCCTCACCAGTTTTTGTCAAACTGAAAGTCCCCACAGTGCAATCCACTTGTAACGATACCACATTTAACGACGTACCGCTTTTGAGGATTGGTTTCCAGAGTTTTTAAACTTGAAACGCTCGGTTTCTAGTCCAGATACAATGATAATCAGTTATAACGATTGAATTTCCGGGTTTTTTTCGTTACCGTTATGGGTGGATTGCACTGTACTATCAACAACGAAAAAGTCGGGCAGACATTCACTCTTTAGACATTCACTCTTCCTCGGGCAGGCATTCACACTTTAGACTTCAGAATTTGTTCTCACTGATTACAGGCTGTTTTATGAGGCCAAGTAAATTCTTTGGAAGCTTGCTTCAGCACCCGCGCTGTCGCACTTAACAAATGCTAGGCATACTCCGCTTTTAGACTGCCTGCTCAATCTGCAAGCCTGCCTGCCATCGACGTCGCAGCACTGAAAAGCGCGGGGGTCTTTGAATGTTGGTTTTGGCACCATTTTCATTTTCCGATTTCGCAATATCTATATTGAATTTCGCAATACTGAACAGATACTGGGAAAGGTGAAGGCCAAGGATTTTGGAAATATCCTAGTCAGTTGTGGCAGCTAAAAAAATCGCCAGAGTACCCTTTCGAAGCAGCGTCCGTTGCGCTTGAACCCTATGCCGATCGCACGGCCAAGCATAGAGTTATTGTAATGTGCGCTAGAGGTTCAACTGGCTCTAGCGTCTATGCGACTTCCGGGGTGAAAATTGAAGCAGACAACAACCAGTCTACTTTTGTGGTGCCCCTGTGCATTCCTATGGGAAAATGCGCATGCATTTTGTCTCTTTGCCGGAATACAACGTAGATAACTTCTGTTATTTGGGTCGTACCGAATAGTATGTACCTTTATTAACATTGTAAAAGTGTAATTGTTTTAGTTAGAGCATTTTTCTTTACCACTGAACGACGTTAAACTTCCCTATATTTCAGGCCCAAACCTCCGTTCCATAGCAGGAATGGAAAAACGAGACTATTCTTAGCAAAGTAGCAATCGAAAGGAATGTAGAGCGTGTTCAAGGTTTGCCAGCATTTTTGGTGGTACTTATATATTGCTAATTTGCCCGTTTTGTCGCTATATGAAAATGATCTCATCGTGCATCTTTACAGGCTGTTAAAAAACATTCGAAACATAAAGAATAAAGTATGTGGGCCATGAAAGGTTTGTCTTTTCGTTATTTCCTGTCAGGCAGCTGGCTTTTATCGGGCACCTGTTCTCTGGCCTCTCAATATTTTCAAAGATTTCGAGCGTCTTCGCACATATTCAGAGTAGAAAAAAAAAAAGCTGTACTTATTTATATCAAATCGGACTATATTATCCTATCTTCAATTTATTTTGGTCATCTACGTACTGTGTACTTTTTGCAGACTCTCTTGGTTTTCCACATGTCCTTCGTTCGTTTGGCACGTATATCCCCCATGCTGGAAAGCGCAGACGCCGTGTTCGCGTCAACAGTGCCCGACAGTGCGCACATATACATGTACGAGGCCGTTTTAGCAGCTCTTTTAATGTCATGAATTTTAAATAAAAACGCCGTAACTGACTAATTATTTCATCCGCGCGACCGAGAAATGTTCCAAGCTACTTAAATGTATGAATTATTCGTGACATTTGCTCTTATAATCAAGGGCAGGAATAAAATGTACTCACTTTTTCCCACAGAAATGCATTACCGGAAGTCGATTTCTGACTGGTTGCTGTCTGCTTCAATTTGCCGCAGCACACTAGTACCAGTTGAACCTCTAGCGTACAGTATAATAACTCGGTGCGGCCACCGTCTCGGTCTGCTCCGCAGTGCGTCACCTTCACCATGCCCCGGCCCGAGAATCAACGCCAGAAGAGACGGCAGGCCAACTTCAGGGCCAGAGTTCGGGCCAAGGGGCGTCCCCCCCAGGTCGCCCCAACTTTGCCAACCTGACCTCAAAGTTGGCCAGCTGCATGGATAGTTTCGGACAAGGCGGAGGCACCATTGGGTCTTGAAGGAACCACCGAGGTCACAGCCCCATCACGGCAAGGCGATCAATTCAGGGCGACTGGGGAAACCAGCTCCGAAAAATGGGCACCGTAAAATAAAAGCTTGTTTGCACATTTGCGTTTGACTGAGTGTGTGTGTTGTGCTTGCAGCCGCTTACGTTAAAGCCCCTTAAAATTCACGCTCAACACTTCTCACAAGTACAGACAACCATTGTTGCACAAATATGCGAGACATGTGCCTCGAGCAAGTGCTTCGCCAACATTTGCCGTGAGGGCCGCTCGTTTCGGCGCTGCGCCTCCATATGCTGCCAAAGCATGCGCCTCTTGCTTCAATGATTTTGACACCACTTGCGAGACAAACACAGGCATATTAAGGGGCTTTGGTTGTGATCCTGAAGCTCTCGGTCATGCTCCAATGCGAATGTCTCGACTAGCTATCAAAAGCAAAGTGTGTGCCTGTCAACAGAATTTAGTTCCAAAGTAGAAATGCTAGAGAACTATTCTCAACACTTTGATGAAAAGGTGCGAGTGGTAACCAGGGCCTTGATAGTGCAAGCCACAAAGATTGCCAAGGGGCTCTTGGCGACCACACTGCCGTTTACCGGGTTGCAAACATAACCGTGCCTTCTGGTAATAGCAAATCTGGAGATCACTTAGGCATGGTGGGCTAGAAAGAGGTGCAACAATTTTTCATGCAACTGTCCTTTCCCACCTGTACAAGCTCCGTTCACAGGCGATAGAAACATGGATGTAGCATAAAGCGCAGCGGTGGTGCTGCACCTACGCACGATGCCGTACCCTTTCTTCCGTGCGTGGCATCTAGAATGCAGGTCCTTCATTTCCGGCTGCACGTGCCAGGCAGGTAGAGATCAAAGAGACATTCTGCTGTTTTATGTCAAATAGTGCTTTTTCTTTTTTTAATGGTTGTCAGTAAGTCATATACATAAAAAATGGGGGGGAAAAATTATAAATAGTCCAAACTCCGTATTTTAAAACATTAAAACAAGAAAAACGAAACTCTCTGCGGTTTCCGTGGAGCCCTCCGAAACCTGCGTGGTGGCCGAACACCCTTTGTTGTACAAAAGCGGCGGGTTTCTTCGCGGCACGTCGCTCGTCCACTCCGTTTCGGAAGGATTTATTTTCTTTAAGAACCGGCACGGTGGAGAAGAGGGAGAGAACCGACCCCCGGAGAATAAAATACTGCGTCGTCTCTTCTGTACAGATACTTCCCGCTGCCCGTGCGGGAGGCCCTACAAAAGGGGGAAAAGGAGACGTCCTATGTACACGGCTGCGTGAAGGTGACCAATGAAGTGGTGTACATGTACAGAGGAGGTGGCAACTCGCCGGCGCCAGGGGGAAGCTAATGCTGCGTAAAATAAATAAGTTAGGAGGTCGCGGCGCGCCCAGACGATGGTCCCCTGGCGGAACGAACAAAACAATGCACCGGACAGAGGATGGCGACGGGCGAACTCCCGTCCACGTACGCTACAAAATAGACTCCGTGACGATGATGACACCCCCCACCCCACCCCACCCCCATTTTCCCAGAGAACTGTACAAGGACCCCATCTCGCGAGGCGGCATCAGTCCCCGCAGAACGACGGGTCACTGTCCTCGTTGTCGCTCGAACCGTCCGAACAGATGACGCGCTTCCGCTTCTTGCGTGGCTTTCTCTTGGCCTTGTCCGCCGAGGCGGACACGCCGTGGAGGGCGGCTGCCAGGCCCTTGGAGGAAGTCCGGCCCAGGGGCCTACCGCGCTTTTTCGGCACACCGTCGTGCGGCGCCGACGGACGCTGGCGTGGCAACTCCGTCGCCGCGGCAACGGGCGTGGCAATTGCGGGCGCCGTTGTCGCGGTGGCGACGTCCGGCACCGCTACGTTTGCGTCCGCACCGCCACCCACCACAGTCGCCACAGGCGCTGCAACCGCCGGCCTCGGAGCCGCGTCGTCGTCGTCGTCGTCGTCCGGGTCGATGGTGAGCATGAGCTGCTTGAAGTCGAGGTAGCGCCGCACCAGCTCCTCCCGTCCCGGCCGCTCGCCCTCTTCCGCCTTTAGCGCCTGGACGGTGGGCTCCGGCCGGAAGCGCACTCCGGAGCGCCGATTGAGCGGCCGTTCGTACGTCTTGGCCGCCTCGTTGGGAGAGTACTGCTGGATGCGGCTGTCCGTGAAGCCGTAGGTGTCCTTGAGGGTCTGCTTGACAAACAGCAGCAGCACGCAGCCCTGGGCCGCCTGCATGCTCTCCTCCAGCGGGGTCAGGTCCTCCGGGACGCGCCCCAGCAGGGAGTCGAGGTCCTCGTCTTCGTCCTCTTCCTCCTCCTCGCCGACCCTCGCGCCGTCCCGGGGCAGCAGGGCCTCCCGGAAGCTCTGGAGCAGGTTGGAGCCCGCCACGGACAGCAGCACGTCGATGTGGTGCATGACGAACAGGGGCTCGTCTTGCACCTGGTACGGGAAGTAGACCAGGTTGTCGGCGGCGTAGAGCAGCTCCGCCAGTGGGGCCCGGGCCTGCTCGTCGAACAGCTTGAGCAGGGACAGCAGGAAGGCCCTCCGGCTCTGGCGGGTGCCCCTCAGCACGGAGTAGAGGAAGCCGTTGCGGCTGACGGGACTCTCCTCCGAGCGGAAGCCCCGCACGGGGCCCTGTCCCCGTGGCGTGGCCCCCCGGTGCATGTCGAAGGACAGGCGCACACCGGCCAGGGCCTTCATCTGCACGAAGCCCGGGTACTTCTTCTCCAGCTCCTGCAGCAGCTGGTCCGCCTTGTTGCGCAGCAGCTTGTCGTCGTCCGAGCCCAGGCAGGCCAGGTGCGGCACCATCTGCACCGGGTGCACCAGGCCCTGGCCCAGCACCAGTTGCAGGACCTGCGGGTGGGGCGCACACCTCGTGAATGTCTGCCCTGTCCAGCACCTTTGTGTTCCCTGGCTCACCCCTAGCCACTGTCTTTAAACTCACTCTTAAAATGAAAGAGTAAGATATTTTTACAGTTGTACGTGGAACAATAAAAGTAGTCAGCAAAGCAAATATATACTCACAAACATTCAGTAAAACAAGTAAGGAGTTTAGCCCTTGGAGTACATTCAAACGAAGAAAACTTCATCCATTGAAGGATGGCCCTGGCTGTGCACAGGGCCGCCCTGCAGGTGAGTGCAGGGAGCAGACATAATAATCTAGAGGGAAAGGTCCCATGCATTTCGTCCGCTTCAGACCAGCGGGGCAAGAAGCAGGAAAACGTCGCTCGTAAGGCCTGTTTCAAACAGGGCAACTTTCTCAGGAATTTTGTGGTTGTTCCCTAGATAGCCTCGAATTACTGAGATCGGGTCTGGCTTGAAAAAAACATGCAACTCTAAGCAGTTCAAAGACGTTTGAAGCGGCAGCAGGCCAATCGGGGACACAATAAATTTAAGCGATAAGCCGTACCAGTGATGATGACAACTAAAGACTTGGTTCTGGTATGAAATTGATTGTTTCTGGAAATAAACCGTTTCAGAAAGAGGAGCTAGAATTCTCAACGCAATTTAAATGCATAAAAACACTAATGCGTAACTGTGCATCTAAATAGTGCAAGAAAAATACAATTTAATGATGATGGCAAATTGCAGCAATTGGTTGCGTGTGAATGCGGGCGGCCTGTGTTGCTACGTCAAGTTGCTGGGAGAAATTGCCCGTCTGAAGCGGGCCTAAGGTTTGTATCTATTGCTTTTTTTACCTTTAATCTGCACTTGTGTCGTGCAGATGGAAAGTGGTAATGTGCACTAGTGCACAAAATCACCAGTGCCACGCACTGTATAAAATAAAGTCGACGAGCACTCAAGTGACCTTGACTCGTTGCAGCAAAACGAACACGCCCAACTTATCGTCGCCTTTCCTTTTCCTCCTTTCCTATCCCTCCGCATTTCACTCTCGGGACCACCATTTCTCTCTCGGGACCACCGACCCATGTCGGCACTCACGATTTGCCGCGTCATGCTCCCCTCTTTACCCCTGTCTGAAATGGAAGAGGGCGAGCAACAGCTTTCGGCTCCTGCCCTATTTGTCCCCCGCATCTGGTAGATGACACAGAAAGCCAGCACTGCTGCCTCATTATTTACGATCAAGGAGGGGAGAAGGGAGGGTATTAAACCCTTTAGGCTTTAAGAACCCCTCCCAGTCTGGATATTGATCCAACAAAGCAGCGCAGAAGCTTACAGACCCTGGAAACAAAAGAGTGCATACTAAGGAGCTTTTTTTTTTTTTTTCTTCTCGTAGTTATGCATCAAAGGGTGGCTCAGGCCCGCTAAAACAGTACCTAAACTGGAAAAACGCTTTGCTCTGGGAGGCAAGAGCTCAGAGGGAACTTACAAAGACACTCTGGGGAACCGCTGGATTCCTACCAACCTAGTTCATCTGTGAAACATCACCACAAAGCAACACAAAATGCATTGTGTGTTACCAATGCCTCTGTCACAAAATTGTAGGGAAGGGTTGAGCCTTGGAGGGGAGGGGGTGGGCGGGGGGGGTTTGAAGATATAATTACAGCACCAGATTTTACTGAGGAAATACAGTAACACCTTTTTACAACATTTAGGCGACCTGTCTTCATTTTTAAGCAGTCTTAAGCAGCAATTGTTGCCTAGTGCTTGAATTGAACTTTTTTTTACAGCAGGTCTCTTCGCACAGCCACAACTAATTTCCACTGTCTGCACAGCTATATGACTGCTGCATCTTTCTGAAATTCTCAAAGCTCTCCACTTCTGTCTGGGTCTTTATTAGTGATGGACCGAATCTACCGAACCTCAGATTTGGCAAAGATTCAGCAAATGTCTGCGCACGCGCGAGAACGCGACGGGGCCATGAATTGCAAATGAACGCCGTGTAGTCGTGCAGTTATCATCGTGCAGCGTAGTACAACCAGCGGTTATGGCGCAGTGTGGAGAAGGCAACATGGTAACTGTGCGTTTGTGAGCGAGGGTGGTTCTCTTCAATATTTTCTGTTTCAGGAATAAAAGATTGAACAGTAATCTACGCAGTCCACTGCGCAAGTGATAAATGAGGCGGTACATTTTAGATAACGTGATTTTCATTTGACATTTCCAGTGATGCAACGAGGTAGTTGAAACATTGGCCGAATCACAATTGCAACAATTCTGATTTCGGGCTCGGAAGTAGTGTATGCAAAAACAAAAGAGCATTATTTCGCGATTTTCATGTACCTGCATAAAACTAAACAAAACACAGAACTATAGAGCTCTACAGAGCTCGGAAGTTGCGCATCCGACATTCCTAAAGGCCCGTTCACACACTTGCAACCGAGTAGGACCGAGAGAGACGAGACCTGTTGAAACCTCTTAAAATTTCTTAGAACAAGAGAACACACTGGCACACTAGCACCATCTATGCGGTGACCCTGGAACTGCATTTCACAAGAGCAAAGGTTTTGCGGGACTTCCGAGGTCAAATGTGCCTAATACGTACAAGAAAGGGTTGCTTATAACGTTGACAAAAGTTTTTCGAGCCAAGAAAGAAAGGATAATGCGCGAGAGAAATAGAAAATATGCTGGACCACGAAGTTTACACTGCTACCCAATAGATGGCGCCAGTGTGTCCTCTCATTGTAAGAGATTAAAAGGTTCCAAGGCAATCTGTTCTAAGAGGTCGCAATTGTGTGAATGGGACGTTACTCTCCCTATCTTCCTAAGCGTTTGCGTGTGTCCCAACACCATAAACTGGTATTTTAAAGGTTAAAAACAAGACATTCTGAATATGGGACGCACACTTTCATGCAAAGCTGACGCCAAGCGACTCAAATCGAAACACGTGCATATTTACAATACTATTATTCTCTCTTCTGGTGAAGGCTCAGCAACCGTTGCATTCGTTTTCGCGCACAAAACAGCGACTCCCAGAGAAAGCAAGAATGCAGCGTTATTGCCTTCATTTTAACAATGTACACACACGTGCAGGCTTGCGCTGATAATGCCTCGAAACCGAAACTCTCGTAGCCTATACAGTTAAACCTCGATGTAACGAAGTCGGTAACATTCGCAATTTACTACGTTACATTGAAATTTCGCTAAATCGAAATTTGGCTTTAGCATGAAAAAAAATATTCCGAAACATTTTACGGGTACGAAAACTCACCGAAAATGACATTTATTTAGGGGCAAAGTAGTCCGCGAGTTTTGCTTGCGCCTTGTTCGACAGTAGCAGCGGCGTCATACGGCGTTCGAGCACCCAGAGCGCTTGCACGGCATCTTGCTGCCCATGCGACGCCGTGCACCTCCTCAGTACGTCCATTGCGTCGAGCACTTCCCAAGTGTTCGTGATCTCGGCAGTTTCTTCAGGATGGCATCCAAAACGTTTGCTTTCTCATCCAAAGAAAGAACTTTACGTTTCCCTATGGCAGCAAGCACGTGAGTGAACCGCCCGGTTGAAGAATAAAGCTGTTTTGGGCGGTGCCAATGTTTCCAACCTACACAGCACTCTTGCCCGCACAGTTTACTTGCCCCCTTGCGCCCAAAGTGTGCTTGCGCCTTTGCTTTACATCACGCTCGCAAGACGATAATCAGTCTTCTCTGTCTTCTTTTAGATGGCACTGCCTGTGCGGTCGCGCCATCACGTCGCTCCCCCGCTGAAGTTGGCTGCCGTGCTAACCGCGGTACAGTGGACTATGATGATCAGTGAATGTCAGTGGTGATGCCGTTTCGACATTTTCTGGCCAGCCCCGCGGAATGCGCTTTGCCGCATGCCTCGCCGGCGCTACCGGCGCCGCATCCTCGGGCAGCCTAGGAACGTTGGAAGGCCTGTCCCTGTTAAGTAACCTATCAAGCGCTCGCGTTTGCGCATAATTTTTTTTTTACCACAATTTTTTTGCCAAGTTGTTCTTTAGAGTCTATTTATTTACTGCCTTCTACGGCAATGGTGCTTCGTTATATTGAAATAGCAGCAAAATAAACTTCGTTCTATAGAGACTAAAAATACATGGGGTCTATGGGCAAGAAATTATGAAAAATAAAATACTTCGTTAAATCGAGGATTTCGTTACATTGAAGTTCGTTATATCGAGGTTCGACTGTATTCCAAACAAGCGTGTTGGTAAGAAGTACTGGATACTTTCTGTTATCTCGCAGCCTGATTTGTGACTGCGCCACGCTCGCTCTACCCAACCTCGTCACGCCGCTTCCGCAAGGAGTCACTAAAATTGCAAGTAAACACACAAAAACGATACAATTATCTTGTAGAATATCACCTTATTTAGTAATAACTGCGTCAATATGCATTACATGTTGCATTTAGGTTAAGAAAAAAATAACATGAAACCTTTTTTTCGAAAGAAAAAGCTAAATAGCAACATTAAGTCCGGTAACAATATATTTTTGCCAAATCTTTGCCGAATCTTTTGAAAAGTTCAGCAAAAGTTAGGCGCCGAACTTTCGATTCCACAAAAGTTCGCCCATCACTACTTTTTATCCACAGTGGTGTGGCAAACATGTGCTCGAAATGAACTTCTGTGCACAACAAATAAACCAATGGAATCATAAAAAACAAACTTTGCATGCGCTTCGGGCAGGCGAAATGAAACTGACTCGAAGCGCTACAGTGAAAATCGCTTGTCTCGCCTGGTGGCGGCAAGAGTGCCAATCGGGGAGCTGGATTCCTTTCGTGTTAACTTCCCTCAGGTGGCACAGTGCCAAATTCATTCATCTCACTATTACGGACAAGGCAGGTCAGTGATCATCCAAATTAGTTTTGGTAAAGAAGCTACCTATCCCGACCTAACTGGCTGGCAAAATCAGTATACTGACCCAATTAAATAGAGCTTCACCTTCTGGGTGTATGAATTACAAATAAACATGTTGGTTGTGATCTATAACTGAAGAACTAAAATGCTTCAGAATATAACTTTTTGTCACCACTCGACGAGAAATGGGTGCAAGCTGACAAGTCAAGTTTTGTTTTTTGCGAGCTACAGTAAAACGTGTAATGAAAAGTGAGTGCCTGAAAGCCGAAAAAGCAGGCAGGTGTCTGCACTCACCTGCAGGGCGGCCCTGCGCACGGCCAGGGCTGGGTTGGCGGCCGAGGCCAGGATGTGCTTGAGGTAGACCTGGACCACGGTGCTGGCCATGCCCGAGGACACGTCCCCCATTTCCTTGAGGTTCTCCCCCTTGGACAGCTTGTTCCACTCTGCGTCCCGCTGGATCATCTTTGCCTCCTCCTCCATCAGGTAGGCCGTCAAGTTCTTCAGCACCTGGACGCGGGCCACAGGCGCCGCCAGGGGGCTCTCCAACAGGTGCCGGTACAGCTCCCGCACCTCGGGCCCCAGCATTAGGTCGTGCTGCCGCACCAGCATGAACCCGAGCCCCGTGAGGGCACGCAGCCGGATCTCTTCCTCGGGATGCTCTGTGAAGTACAGCATGGCCGCAAAGACCCGCTGCTTCAGCGGCTCTTCGGACGCCGCCTCTTCGGCAGCCGTATCTTCGGCGCCGGGGGCCGCCTCCAGGTGCTCGAGGTCAAAGTGGCGGCACAGCAGCCCCAGGGTGTAAAGGCAGCGCTGGAGGCTAGGCTTGACCACGGGGCGCCCCTCCTGGTGCTCCCGGCGCAAATGGCACAGCAGCATGAAGAACTTGTGGAACATGTCGCGGACCAGGGGGTAGTTGTGGGTGACCCGGTTGACAACTGCACTGAGGCAGCTCACGCTGGCCGGCAGGATGACCGGGGAGTGCCGGATGAGTTGCTTGGCCAGGTCCTCCTCCACCTGGGCCAGGAAGGCCTCGCTGGGGTGCTCCATCAGGGGCACCACCAGCTCCAGGCAGCGAGTCACGTTTTGCAGCACCTGGTAGTCCTGGGGCCCTGACAGGCGCATGCTCAGGTACGGCTGGATGGTCTGGGCGTGCCGCACCAGCAGCTGGGGCCGGATGCGGCTGAAGAGGTACAGGGTGCTCAGGCAGGCCACCAGGTGGCCGCTGCCCCCACCGCCCTCCTCCAGGCAGAGCACCCGCTCCACGAGGCAGTCCACGATCTGCCGGCACGACTCGAGCACCCCCCGCCGCTGCCCGTCTTCCTTGTCCTTGAGCAGGCTGCCCAGTAGCTGTTCAAACCAGTCAAGGCCCATCTCGCGGCAGGCTGCCACCACGTGGGTGATGTGGCGCACCTTCTGCAGCAGCCGCTCCTCGCTAGCCTGTGGCGTGAACCACATGCTCTGAAAGACCTCTCCGACCAGCTTCTTGATGCCTTCCTCGTCGTTCACCCGGCCAATGATCTTGACGCAAATCTCGGGGATCTTCTCGAAGCCTGGCTGCTCCAGGCACACGTCCTTGAGGATTTTGATGACCCGCTTGCGCACGCTTACCCCGGTGTCCAGGATGCGGTCTGTGAGCATGTCGTAGTACTTGTGGGTCAGCTCAGGCCGGACCAGGATGAACTTCCCCACCAGGTCCACGGCCGCCTCGCGCACGCTCGTCGAGTGGTCCAGCAGCCGCCCGTGCACCCCTTGCCGCATGTCGGGGCGCCCCAGGATGGAAGGGTCTGCCTCAACCACCAGCGTCAGGCACTTCATGGCCTTGGTGCGCACCGCCACCGCAGATTCGCTCAGCACCCGCAGGATCTGCGTCAAATAGACGTCGAAGCTCTGCGAGAAGGGCCGCCGCGACGCCAGAAACCGCGAGATGAGCTCGGCCGTGGCGTAGTCCAGGGTGCCCTGCTCGGACTTGAGGGTCCCGCCGGCTTCCGCAGGCTTGACCATGTGCAGCAAGAACTTTTTACGGTCTTCAACGAGTGCTGCCATCTTGGACTGCTCTTCCTCGTCCGTCTCCTGCGGCGCTGCGGGCTTGTCTTCCTCTTCGTCTTCCTCCTCACATCTGCGCTTAGAGGCCTTGTTTCTGCACGTCCGGCTGTTGGTCACCTTCTGTGCCTTGGGACCTTCCTCCTTGGGCTCTTTAGGCTCCTTGGGCTCTTGGGACTCCTTGGGCTTCTTGGCCTTGGCTTCGGCCATGGCGTCCTTGTACCACTGCGCCACGTAGAAGCGCCGCGAGAACTGCAGCGAGGGGTCGCTATCCAGATTGGCATCGAGGTAGTGCAGCAGTGCCCTCTGCAGCAGCTGCGTCTCGTCCTTCGCTTTGGGGGCCGACCTCCCCTTGGACCTTGAGAGGCTCGTCAGGGGAAGGTCGTCCTCCTCGTCCTCTTCGATCTGACGCAGGATGTCTTTGATGGTCTCTTTCTTGATCTGGCTGGTGACTGCGTCCTTGCGCAGCCGGGCCGCCACCACGCCCAGGTAGTCGAGCGAGGCCACCCGCAGGGACATGTCCAGGGACTTGTTGCTGAAGTTCTGCACCAGCAGGCGCCCCAGCAGGCTGAGGATGAGCTCCGACGCGGGCCACTCAGGCTTGTTGACCGTGCTCAGCAGGTCCTGAACAAAGTTCTCGAACACTGGCCTGTAGTCCATATCTTCATTTTTGGTGCCACACTTGCGTAGAAACACCGACAGGAAGTTGATCGCCGTGTGCACGGCCGCGTCGTACGAAGTCAATACGAGCACATCCGTGTCCACCGCGACGGCGGGCTGTGCTCCGGCGACCTCCTCTTTGGCCGGCGTTGTCCCCTCAGGTAGCTTTACGACGCTATGTATGAGCTGGAGCACAAGGGCCGTCAGCATCTGGATGTGCTCCTCCGAGTTGAGGCGGTAGTTGCGCAGACTGCGCTTGGAGGTAGGCAGCCGCGCTATGGATGCCAGGATGTCTTCCAGAATGAGCTGCCGGTGCTTGTCGTAGTGGGCAAAGATGGTGGTGACAAGGCGCAGGGCATGCAGCTGCAGCTCGCTGACCCCTTCTACAAAAAAAGGTCCCACACCAAGGGTGGACACCTGTAGGATGACCGTGTCCGTAAGTGTCTGGATCCCCAGCAACTCGGCCAGCAGCCCGACCAGCTCGTGCAACTTGTTGTACAGCTGGAGCAGGTTGCGCTCCCGGACCTTCTGGGGTGCGTGGGCCCGCTTCTGCCGCGCACTGCCCACGTAGCCTTCCTTGGATCGTGAGTCCACCCGGTAAACCGGGTCGAAGGCCGGATACACAGTGTTCTGAATCTGGAACTTGGCAAAGCCCACGATGCGCTCGATCATGTCCTCGAGAAAGACCCGCTTGGGCATGCGCGGTGCCGTCATAACGTACAGGGCTGTGAGGGAGGCGTCGGCCGACCGGGTGATGCGCTCCATGGAGAGCTCGGCCCACAGGCGCCCCTCGTCGTCTTCCTGGTCCTCGTGCTCCATGGGGCAGATCTTGGCCCCGTCCACCACATTGCGCTCCAGGATGGATAGGAGCCGGACGAGGCGCTCTGGGGGCACCTGGTTGGTCGCCTGCAGGATCTTCAACTTGGCTGCCTCGTTGCAGAGGTCCCGTAGCAGAGGGGCTGGCACAAGGGCTTCAGGCGGGCAGCCCACCTCGTCGTCCAGTTCTTGGGTCAGGTCCAGGTCTTCCATCGAGTCGAAGATGGCCTCCACTGTCCGCGAGAAGCGCTGGTATGTGTTGCTCTCCATGAGCTCCTCGGCAGAGAGTGGCGCTGGTGCAGGCTCCTTCTTCACCTTCTTGGGCTTGGCCTTGGGCTTCTCGCGGACGGGTGGTGGGGCTGTCTGTGTGTGGCCGGGCTCGTCTTCCAGCTCGAAGGCAGAGTGCTCACTGCCGCTGTGGTGCGAGTGCACGGGCGACTCGGCGTACTTGGCCTTCTGGTGCGTCCTCCGACGGTTCTTGACCCTCTCGCTGAGCGAGCTCGCGTACAGGTCCATGCTCGACTTCTCCTCCCGGGGAACTCTGTGCGAGTTGCGCCGGTCCCCGGTCGACTTCGCTTTGCCGTCCACACTGTCCCTCGTCTTGCGGCCGGGAGGCTTTCTGCGCGCATGTTGGGCGTCCTCTTCCTCAGAGGACGACAGCCGCCGGCTGTTATCTCGGACAGAGTTCCTCACCACCTTCTTCTTGTTGGCGGGGGCTTTGAGCGCCTCCTTCTGCGGCGACGGCCGCTGCTCGGGACGTCCCCCCTGCGGCCCCCTTGTGTCGACGTTGTTCACTGGCACTCTTTCCCTTGAGACTGGCGCGGCCACTTCTGTTGCCGGCGGACTCGCCACCGGAGGCATCACACTGTTTGTGTGTCCTGTGGACGCGGGCGATGCCGCCGCCGCCGCCACACTCTGCACGACGCCGCACTGCACAGGCGGCTGACACGGGAGCGGCGCCGTCTGCAGGGGGCTCGCGCACACGGCCACACCCGTCCGTGTGGGTGCACAGTTCCCGTTGGAGCAGAAGCCTGGCGTCGGGGGGCCACCCTTGGGAGAGAAGGGTGCCCCGTCGAGAATGCCAGCCACCGAGTGGTCGTGCAGGCTGGAGGGAGGTGGGTGCGGGGTGAAGGGCGTGGCCGGGAAGAAGCCGCCGGGGCTGCCGTCCATGGACACGCCCTCGGCCGGGGAGCACAGCTGGGACGGGCTATAGCCGCGCTGCTGGGCCGGGGGCGCCGCCTGCTGCTGCCACGGGGGCGGGCCTTTGAAGACGCCGCGAGCCACCAGCAGCTGGAGGAGGGGGGAGGAGCCCTGGTGGGGTGTGGACCCCTCGCCCCCGTCTTTGAGGTCCACGTGGTCGGCCCCCCCCGACCCTGGCCAGGGCTTCGAGCAGCGGGGGCAGCAGCCGGGGGTCCGGGGGGGCCGCCAAGGCGCGCCGCACCTCGTCCGCCTGGTGAGGGGGCAGCAGAGAGCGGGGCGCGCTTGCGCCTGGCAGGGCACTGGGCAGGGGCAGCTCCAGCAGCAGCTCTGTGATGCTCTGGATGCCCGCCAGGGTGGTGATGGGCACGCTGGGGCCCTCGCCATTCATCATGCCTGGGGCGGGGGCGGGGTCAGGCGATGCCCCGCTCCGCTGGCCTGCATACACACACCCCCGAGGGGAGCTTCGGAGGCCGGTCCACACACACACTACAGCGCTACACCCATTTCACTTGTCCGACCGTAGCCAGTGCTATGACCTGGTAGAGCCAATCGAGCAACTGCAAAAGTGTGTCGTCAAGTCACTCGTTTTCTTTGTTATGCTATAATTGGCTAGACCAATCCCAGACAAAAAAAGCGTAGGATTGAGGCATATTCAGTGTGCGCAATTGGTTCATTCGGCAACTGCAAAAGTTCAAAGGCAATGAGTGCCGCGACATTCTGGCACTGCTTAGTGGGTTTCACTGGGACATCTGCGGTCGAACTTCGAGTGAAACAAAGTATAGAATGGTACTCATGCAGCAATGACTCATGCCTAACTTAGCACTGATGCAGCACCGTATCGGCATTGTATTACTAAAATAGGGCAAAGTCAGCTATGCGTCGACAAGTTTGGCGCTTCTTCCACGACTCGCTATTAGTGCTGAGGTAGTGCTATGGTTTATATGTGAACAGACCTCAACTCCCAAAAGTGAGGAGCCGTTAGTGGGGTGACACTGACACTACGCTCCCTTTTGTTACAACATGGCGAACGACGAACGATACGGTCCAGCCAATCAAGACGCCGGAGCGAACCATGCGGCAACATACAGTGGGAGCGCACTCCTCTCGTGCAGAATTGTCGTTCAATAGCTCTCGGCTGCTCTTATTGGCAGATAAAGGCTGCAGCTTCGCTCTTTTGCCAAGTTATGCCAAAACTATGCATTACTACATTCAATGTATTTGCACTTCTTTCTCAAAGTGCATGTTTCTACAGTGCAGGTTAAAAACAGCAGGGCGATCCCCTCACCATAACACCCCCCACACTTCCCGCTTTAGCAGAGCAAATGCTGGAAAGGATACCACCGATCATGGTAGGCAAGGAGCCTTGTCGGAGGAGCCTCTCCACCTTCCATGTTGCTACAAACCACCACAAGCTGTGTGTAGATGAAATGTATGTGTTACTGCAACCTGCTAGCTTGGAGCAAGGTAAGCACCCCATCCCTTAGAAAGCCACTGCACTCACATAAAACATTTTAGTAACTGCGTGGAAAGGCCACAAAACTTGCAAGATGCACTTTTTGTTAAAACAAAGCTGTTCATAACATCCCGAGATATCACCCATCCCGCTTTTCTGGCTATAAATTCATAAACTAAAACTTTCATAACATTCCCCCCCCCCCCCCCCCCCCCCCCCCCCCAGCCCTTATTACTGCAGGACATCCCGCGATGTCGGATGGGAATCGCATCAACCACGCGATTTGCGATACGGGTATATCCGACAATCGAGTCCGTAGCAGTTTCCTGGATGTTTACCACACTGTGAAATGCGAATCTGCAGTATCGGTCCCCGTGTCACGTGGCTATATCGGTCTCATTCTCCAGGAAACGGGTGGGCATTCATACGAGATTTTACGGAATGTATTTACTTGGGGGGGACGCACTCTAAGCTTGGGGCAATTTATTCTGCTCGTGAGCACTGGCTCAATAGTGGCAGTCATTTCGAGGTCAGTGTCACCGTTGCATCAGTACAGGAGTGACTTTGTTAGCGTCCAACTCGTAATGCACACCCCACCTATGGTCTCTTGGGACATAAGATCTGCAATAGAAGCTCTGTCTCCAGCACATGTTTATGGCCTTTCATTGTAGTTTCACAGTGCATGCTCACAAGGTGGCTAACTGCTGTTGAAGGCAGAAAGCTTGTTCTGGAGGAAGGGCTACTGCAGATCTTACGCTACAGCAAACTGCTAGTAACTTCTGCGAAATTGACGGCACTTAGTGGCCAAGGCACATAACTGTTGCAGCAGGTTCACTCGCCAGCTTACTTGGACAACCAAATATTCCCGGCAGTCTAAACATGAAGCTATAAGGGCAGGCCGATAAAACACAATGAAAGCCACCAATAGCTGGTCTATGGCACCCAATTGGCAGCACTGGCTCATTGTGAAGCCCAGAGGTCATCACTAAGCGATCTGCACTAAGAACACTATTCACCAACCTCAACTTGCAGCCTTCCAACAATGCTGACCTCGTGCGGCACATTTAGCAGGCAATGTGCCCATATTTGTTTCGTCCCAAAGTAGACCGCAACATTATTAGATCAACTCAACTGTGCAACCACTTTAGGTTCAGCACCCGTCGTTTAAACCGTTATCTAGAGGTTGCGTTTCAAAGGTATTCGTTGGAGACGTGTGGTGAAGAGCCATCTCAATGCTGCGCTTCAAAACCTGCATAACTGTAGTTGTCATAGCAGCCATCGCCATCCCCCCCCCGCCATAAGAAAACAGTGGTATGTCGAAACACGGACCTTAGTGGAGGGAGGAGTACTGCTCGTCGAAGTGGCATCTATGGTCAGTTCCTTAACTGAGTTGACCTAATAACATTGTTCGATAGCAACACGAGTGAGCACAGAGCAACTAGTGTGCCAGACAACTTCCTAATTCAATACATGATACGCCTCTGGCACTGGTTTGCCCCAAGTGACTCGCAAACTTTTTCGTGGCCTACCCGGGGGGCACGATTTGGACATCCACATCCACCGACCAAGTTCCCGACCTAGAGCTCCCACACGTGCTTCGCATGCAGTAGTGACCTCACTCACCAGTGAGGTTGTCCCGTCGTGGCGAGCACCATTCACGTCGGATGCCCCACCCGAGGCGAGGGTGGCATGGCCCCCAGTCGCCCACGGACGGGTCTTGAGAGGTGGTCCTGGTCTCTTTGCTTCCTCGTCCTCGGCCGCTGGCTCGAACACCGGCACTCGCTCAGGCACGCATTGTGCGGGGCTCAGGACTGTGGCAGCATCGCCTGCGTCCGAGCGATTCCCACATCACGCAGAGTCGGCAATGCGTCGCAGTCACATCGTCCCAGCTCGTAACGACTACATGCTGAAAGCACCGTGCGTCCGAACAGCATTCGCTGCCGCGATTGCCGCGGCACGGAGCGAGCGAGATTGGGCGCGCAGCGCAAACCCATCGGTCGCTCCCGTAGGCTTCCGGCGCGAATTGGGTTCTCAGATGAAGCGGTGCATGGTTCGGAGTTACTTGTGCCTCGGTTTAGTCACCCAGCGAAACTAGCTGGTCTCTTCGGCGGCTGGGCAACTGGGGAGCGCGGAAACGGTCCCTGTCCAGCGATGCGCGCCTCTTCCTCCCCACTAGTTTCATGTTGGCCTTCGAAGCGACCTGGTTATGCTCACTGCCCAGACAAGAAGAGAACGCGAGTCCAAGGGGACCGCCGGACACGGCGGCCGACCCAGAAGCGGGGGGAAAGCGGGAAGTTTGGCCGAAATCAAGCGATGTTTCCATACACATAGCGCCGTATTAGGCTTAACCGCTAATGTTGATGGCTAGGCAACAGTGACATCTCGTGTGTGTGCGTGCGGACGGCCGTGCTAACAGTGCTGCGACCTTGCTGCGCAGAAAATTGGTAAAAATTGAGTCCACTTTTGAGCCGGAAAAAACGACGAACTGTGCGTATCTCGCGGATTAAATGTTTACGTACTCCTTAGGCCTAAAATGGTTGCCAGCCACCGTTGGAGACGGGTAACCTCTGCTACATAACGTTTCAGCAACAATATCAGCTGATGCGACCCACCTTTGAAGCGGCATACGGTCGGTTCATCATAGACACGTAATTTTCCCAATGGTATCCATTCAAATCCGTGGCCTGTTATCCTTCGTGAGAAGTCTCCGCTTTTCTTTTATACAATCTCAAAACGGATCATTGTCCGCCATTACGTGAAAACAGGAAGCAGCCCCCCGTCTGCTCCGGATATGAAAAACTGAATCCAGCTCAATAATCGACTAATTAACATTTCATCTTTCAATTTCGCCTTTCATTTGAAATTAACGCACAGTACAATCTTAATGATGCGGTTATTTAATGACCGTTTTATAGTTTTCAGGGTTTTCGGTGGGAAAAGGGTTCGAGGCTATCTTTCCCGAACCCGTTATTCCGCTATGTTTTTGTTGTGCGCTGTATCAGGCTGCTGGATGTTTTGTTTTTCCTCTGTTCTCGAGAAAAACAACAACAAAACAATGAAAGGCAAAACGAGTAGTTAACAAACGAGTGAAGCGTGTGCGAAAGATCCACTAATTGCCTCCCCACCGGCGCCATCGCCAAGATGGTTTCCACTCGCGGCGTAAAGTTCAAGTTCACCGAGGGAGAAAAAGTTCTCTGCTACGAGCCGGACTCTTCCAAAGCCAAAGTCCTCTACGACTCGAAGGTAAACCTCCGGGCCGCAGAGCCGCTCGAACGATCGACCGCGGTGTTGAGGTCGCCTCTCCGCTCGGAGTTCGAACGAGTGCCCGTTTCTCCGCCAGGTCTTGGAGCTTGTGGTCGAGAAGGACAACCGCGGCCGCAAGATGCCCGAGTACCTGATCCACTTCAGCGGCTGGAACAGCAGGTGACGCTCTGTCTAGAGGCCGCGGTGCCGCCCGATTTTTCGGACGACGACGTCCCGCCTTGCGTTCCAGCTGGGACCGCTGCGTGGCCGAGGAGTTCATCCTACCGGACACTCCGGACAACCGAAAGCTGCAGAAGAGGCTCGCAGAGGAGGCTGCGCACAAGCTGTGAGTTGGGACCGCGGTAATTGGGACGAAGCCGACGCGGTCCTACAGGCACTCTGGAAGGGCCGTTTCAGGGGGAACTTGATTTGGCCGGCGTGCATTCCACTGGCTGCACGTGCTGGCACGAGCACGGAGGTGCTGTGTGCGAGCGAAGACGAAGCGCCTGAGCGTGCGTGCTCGGCAAGGTACGCCGCTCAAGCGCTTCGTACGCCGCGAGCCCCCTCGCCCTGAAAGCCCATTCACAGGAGCGTTTGTTCACGTTTTCTGAGTTACATTAGGAATCACCAGGACACCCATGCTTTTTGGGGAAGAACAAGTAGGAATGACTTGACTTGCTTTTTTTGTGGAAGAACAGGTAGGAATCACCATCAGCATGGTACGATGACATCACGTGCAAGCCGTGTATACAAATACACGTATGTTGTCTTGAATGATGACACTTTGTGAGCGTGCATGAATGGCAGACTTACTTTTCTACATTCTCCTTCGCTCACGCTTAAGGGAAAGCGGGTATTTGCGACTTACGCAGGCTGAATGGCACCTAGCGGGAAAACACTGAGCTGGCCGAAGCAGACCCTTTGCGATATCAGCCCGTCTCTTGTGGCTTTTATGATTACGTGTTGTCGGCGGTTGGCGCGATGGCCACTGAAGAAAAGTGTAAGAAGTTGTGTTGGTTGTACCCATACCAACAAAAAGAGCACCAACGACAAGGTTGCAGGGAAAAATTATTACTCATAAAGGCCTAAGAAATTGGGCGCACCTTGCATTGCTTTTCATATTGTGTAGGGCAAACAGCTGTCCCGGTAACTTTTTCGTTAGCGTCGTATCAGCGCGCTGCCAAGGTCACTCTGAACGCAAGCTACGCAACCGTGTGAACCAGATATTCTGCGTTCAGCAACGTTCATTAGCGTGGTAGGAGGACCGTAGGTAGTCCTTTTATCGTCTCCCCAAAGAAAACTAAAGGCTTGTTCACACACTTGCGACCTCTTAAAACCGAGTGCCTTGGAACCTCTTAATATCTTTTACGACGAGAGGACACTGGCACCATCTATTGGGTTGCAGTGAAACTTGGCGGTCCGGCGTATTTTCTATTTTTTCTCACGCATTATCTTTTCTCTCTTGGCTCGAAAAACTTTTGTCAGTGTTATAAATGAGCCTTTCTCATAGGTAGTACACACATTTGACCTTGGAAATCCCACAAAACCTTCGCTCTTGTGAAATGCTGTTCCAGGGTCACCGCATAGATGGCACCAGGGTGCCACTGTATTCTCTCGTCCTACAAAATTTTAAAAGGTTTCAGCAGGTCTTGTCTCTTTGGGTCACACTCGGTTGCAAGTGTGTGAACGAGCCTTAACCCTCTGAAAGCTTGCTTGCACCACCGCACGTTATGAATGTAGTTGATCAATATTGGAACAAACTAATTTTGAAGTCAATACTTCCCTGCTTAGACCAGGGGCCCTAATCTAAACACTTGGTGAAAAAGCCGGCAAAGAAATCCGGCACCAAGGTCAAGCGTGATGCCGGCGAGTCGCAAGCACCGGATTTTTGTCTACTTTTTCGCCAGGTGTCCAGATTTGAGCCCCAAAACATTGCGCGTCGAGCTGGCACATGCAAGGGAAACCTGTTTTTGGCCGCCATACTCGTCGATTAGTGGCAACCCCTATACGTGCCTCGCACCTGACGTCATCCCAGCAGCTCTGTGGCCACCACCAGAGAAGAGGGGAAGAAGGAACTTCCCTCAGCGGGACTCTCTTTTGTGTGTCCCAGGCCAACACTACCTAGAGCCACGGCCGCAGTGCTCCGATTTGTGACGTCACAGATTCGCGACGAGAGGGCCGACTTCGAAGGATGGCTTTTCCGCTATACATGCTCTCTTTTTTCCTTATATTTGTTTTTCCCGGGATGCCAAATGGCGCAGGTTCCGCCCTTTTTTTTTTTTTTCTTAGCTTTTTCCGATCCTCCCTGGGCAGTTGTGCAATGACAATTTTTGCCTCCTTTGCACATCCACGGAAGGCTTGCGCGAGACTCGCGGCAGGAGTATGCAAACTCCTTTAACCGCCTCTTGTGCTTGTTGTGCATGGTGGTTAGCGTGCAGTGTTTGGCGAGTTACGTCAGCTTTCGGGCTAGCCATGCCTCATAAATGCCGTGTCCCTGGGTGCCATGGGAACTACGGAATGTGTCCTCGACAAAAGTGCCTGTATTTAAGTTCCTAGAGGATGAAGAACAGCGAAAAGCATGGGTGCGGGCGACCCCTCGAGAAAATCTGGTGCTATCGACGCATACCAGGGTGAGAACATCAATATATTTTCACATCATATCTTTTTTCAATTACTTTTCTTTCGTTTAATTTTATGCTGACATTGCAGCGAAGCTGACAGGTACAAGCTGGCTTGCACTCTTTGTTTTAGAAACTTTGTAGCGCAAGCTCCCAATCCCAAACCAAGGTCAGGAGCCTGTAGCCTTCGATCTCTGTCCCTCTCTTGTTCCTGTCTCCATGGCGCATATTATTTAAGGAATCAATGGAATCTGTTTCACAAACCTCGGGCTGAGCTATGCCTTACTATGGAAGATTCAGACTGATAGCTGGGAACACTGTTTCGGAAAGTACCGGCTGCTGGCTGGCTCGCAATGTCACATATTTATAGGCAGCTCTATGAAGGTGAAAATAAACTGTGATTGCAGAGTATGTTGCCGACAATCACGTGCGAAGACGAGCGATGGGAGGAGTTTGAAAAACAAGTAGACACGCCACGGCCCAGCTACAACATGATCGTTGTGGAAGAGTCGGTGTCACTAGCGATAAATGAGACCCTCCCAGTCCTATATGGGCGTGGCAGGATACGCAGTTTATGCCACTTGGAAAAAGCTGCAAGTGTCAGGAATGCGGGGCAGCGCTGACCGCTGAAGACAAGACGGCAAGTTTCACTCACGCAGGAGAACTACTCTCTTGTCAAGAAATTGGATTGAGCGAGGCTTCTTTATCCAACTATGTTCGTCGTTAATGGCGTAAGGCACAATTACATTGTTGCTCAAGAATTTTACCAACCAGCGTCAGTTCGTCATTGAGCTCACAATGGAACTACTGCCTGCCAACTGTCGAGGTGCAGCACAAACATTCTGCTGAAAAACTATTGTGGAAGGCTGAACGGCCAGGCTCATGAGGCTAATTGCAAGTCAAAGAAAAGAAAATATGAAACTCTAAAATCAAAATAATAATTTATATTCAGCGCAACAGTTGTCATAACATTGTCATCGTGCAACGGCATTAAAGCCTACATGCTGTGTCTTAGTGTCGCGAAAGCTGCAGAACAACATCTAAGATGTTTGTGTGCGAATCGTGTCAAGATGGATACAAGAAGTATGGTTATATGGGAAGATAAAATTTGAAACTTTTCAAGGTGAGAAAACTTTAATTTGCAGCTTCTATTCGAAATGTGAATTAATGCAGGTAGTTGTGTGCATGAAGCTCCAACACAGGTGTTCCTTACTGAAAATAATACTTTACGCTTGCTAAGTTTGCCTGCACTCAGTTGAATCAAAGCTTGTACACTTTGATTTAGACGGTGTCCGCCCTCATTTTCCTGTCTTTTCTGCTTCTAATTTTTCGTTTTCGTGCCCCAGTCTCGGATTATTTACTTTATGATAAGTGTTTCCCAGCTTGCCTGTAGTTTATTTTTAAACTACTCATTTACTTCTGATAAAATTACATTTGAACACACAGCATATTTTCAAACTGCGAAATAGCATCAGTCCGCAATTTTTTTAACACTCTTTTCATTAGGTAGCTCCACAGACGAATTCAGTAACCACATATGTGCTGGCAGCACCTACTTGATTGTTACTGTTATGCATTTGGGTGGGTCCTTTCACTTCTAACAATAATGTTTCAGGGCAATTATTCTATGTTTGTTTTTGTCTACTTGCATGTGGAAATAAATAAAGCACCCAAGAGTTGTTTGCCTAAAACGAAAACCCACCTTTCTCGAAACGTCGTTAACCTTGTTCTTACATATCATAACAGTAATTGTCCGTCCTAATAAGTTGCCCGTGTAATAAAATATGTTTCCTAGTCATATAGATGTTTTTAAACCCTGTTTTACCTATTAACAAACGTTTGGGTCAATAAAAATGCCATACTATGTCGGTAAATCTATGCGCAATTGCCTTCGGTCCAGCGCTTTCCGGCGGCGCTCGCCCGCCGACTCGCGTGATGTCACCGGAGGAACGCCGTGGCCTTCAGCTCTAGGTGGCGTTGCCGCAGGCTTGCCTAGCCGTTGCTATTCTCCCTCTAGAAGGTCATAGAAGATTATCCCGTCGCTCAAAATTCGTACGAAAGCAGCTTTCTCTTCTCTCTCTTCCGTGGTGGTGCAATATAGGTGATGTGACGTCGGTGCAAAGCATGTATTGGGAGTCGCAAAGAGTGACTCCGCTCGAGACGCACTCTTTTCGTTGCCCTCAGCCAGTGAAGTAGTCCTATCATTTGGCCGGGGCACGTCACCGACTGAGGTGGTCCCCCGTCGCAGACTGCAGACGAGCCGCTCGAAGCGGCGGAAAGTGCCCGCCATCCTCAAAGAGAGCCTGAGCAGGAGCAAGGGGCCGGGCGAGGGCGGCCGTCGGGACAGGAGCGACTCGAGCAGCGCCCGGGAGGACTCCTCGTCCGACTCCGACAAGTCGGAGGTGGGTTGGTCGCCGCATCGCGAGGAAATTGCTTTCAAGTGCCAGGTTGCATCCGTCCCCTAGTCTTCGACCACGATGTAAAGATGTATAGGCGTGTACACTGCGCACATCGCAGCTGCCAGATAAAGTCCTCGCCTCGGTTGCAAGTGGCACCACCAGGTGACTCTCTGATGAGCGGCTTGTGGTAATCTGTCGCGGGCTCTGCTTCCTATGCTTCTCTGTTAAAGACACGCTCATACTTGCTGTCACATCCCGAGAGCTAGCCCACCTCAAATCAAAGAGCATATCGGGTAAAAATTAGGAGTGGGCTAACTTTTGGTGTGCAATCGAGAAAAGTTGAAAAAGAAATGCTATTTTTAGGTTATGCGTTTCTGCAAACCTTCTTATCGCGGAAAGGGGAAATGAAGCAAAGATGACTACTTCCCAGTCAGCAATGTTCGCTTGTATCCCACCATAGCTAACTATCCGCACTTATGCCGAGACCATCATTGATCTGAACGCCACAATTACTAGAAATGAGCTATTTTTCGGTGGCTAAGAAAAAAAAAAAAAAATAGCAAATCGAGCCTAAAATAGGGGGCGGGTTATCTTGCGGGGGTAAGGCAATTCTCAGGATATTACGGTAGTTGTTTCCTGGGTGTGCCTCGTTTGTAGAACTTGACACTTGTGCTATGTGTGTGTTGCTTAGTTTCAGCTTTGTCATTGACTGTAGTTTCGTGCCTTAAAGGCAGCAAGAAAGTTCTACGAGCGCATTGAAGTAGAGAGATCCAGGGAGCAGCGTTCAAACGGGTGTCCGTCGAGGTCGGAGCAGACGCACCGAGCAGAAACCGTGCATGCTCGAGTGCCACGACAAAGAGACACTTTTTCTGTTTTTAAGTCGCTCCGTCCACCCAGTGGTGACGCCGTCGGAACGGGCTACTCGGGTGCTCACCGAAGGGACTTTATGTGGTCGTTCGCGTCGCAGCTTTCGTTGTGCTGTGTGTCCTCACCGAAAGACCATCTTATGCTGTACCTTCGACCGTGCTTTATTTAGAGGGCAACTCCGGTCAATTCCGAAAATTCTTGGATTACGGGTGATCATCGTGTCAAAACTACTTTTAAACAGTTCTATGCTGTTCGCTTTCCGAAAAGTTAAATAGTTTCCTTGCAAACCTCGTTTAAACGAAAATCACTAAGCGAAACCGAAACCTTACTCGCAGCAGGCAACATTGGTCTCGCTCGTCAACTACTGGACGTCACGCAGTACGGAGACGTCGGCCATTTCATCAACGAAATGGGCGGATGGCGTGACGGCGTTGTTGACCCGGTGCAGTCGCGCAGTGGCAGTGTCGCGTGTCGTCTGCTCTCTTCCTTCTCCGCCCCACACTCTTTTTTCTCTCTCGCCCTCACGCCTCGAAGAGTAAGGAACAAACAAAACAATTCTTCCAGTTGTTGATGCTCTGAACAGTGTTGGCTGTATGCACACAGCAACGTTGACTGCGCTGCGCCGCGCATTGCCCGCTATTCGCAACTCCAATTCACTATAGGTGGCGCCACTCATTTCGGTGATGCGTGGCTGTATAGCAGTTGCTGAGCCTGTTTAGTGTGCTGGCTTCACTGAGCGATACAAATCATTCCTGCTTATACAAGGAAAATAGGGTGTTATGTGTGCACGTCCCCTCTTTATCCTGAAAACAAAAACGGTGCTTAACGTAATATTTACACCAGGAGGGCACGTTTTGGAACGTAACCGAAACTAACTTCTATTTTGAATTTAATTTCTCAGCACAGGCGTCAATTTTGGATTCTTTCATAACTCAAGATCTGTCTCTCTCTTTCATAGCTCAAAGTGTGTTTTTGCCACCTTTTCTGGCTCAGATAATTGTCATGTGAAATAATGAATTGCAGGCCTTTTGATGGGGTTTTGGGTGTTTAGATGACTTCAAACATTATTTCCACCACAAGAATAACAGAATCAATACAAATTTTGCAAGATATCGCCACAGGTGATGAGTTTAGGGGATGTTTACAAAACGTATGGAATAAGAAACGCTGTTCTCACTACAGAAACCAAAAAGACAGAATCCGAGTGAGACAGCAGAAGTGTGCGTGTTTTTTGAAGCAATGCATGACGCATAGGACTTTAATTTACATCCACCAATTTTTGCATGTTTGTATATTTTGATACCGATGTCAGAGTTTTTGATATGCTAGAGAGAAAACAATATATCGTAAAATACCGGGCAAGCGCCCATTCAAAATCTCAAGATAATCGCGAAAAAATGGGGAATGGGTGCTTGTCCGGTATTCAGTTTTACATACCAATGTACTGCGCATATTTTCTCAGATCTGAGGCCCGCTTCAGACGGGGCAACTTTTCCATCAATTTTGTGGTTGCTAGTGGGTTGTTCCGTAGCTTTCCCTAAATCGACACGAATTGCTGAGATCGGGTCCGGCTCGAAACGGACGAGTAACTCGAACAACTTGGAGACAACCTGGACACTGGACGTCCTCGATCGACGGAGCACAGCCTTTCGGTGTGGCTTTTCATTGACCCAACGCACACCCAGAAAATCGACGGTGCACCAGGGTGCAGTCCCGTCGGGCGTTGCGGCCAGGAGTGTGAATCGAGGCAATGGCGGGAGTAGCAGACGCGCAGTCTATGGAGATGGCGACCTTGCGGAAACGATTGCGCCTCACGGCGGCGCTCGATTAATTCCTTGGCACTTCTGACGGCGAGGACGACGAGCTTCTGACGATCGCCACAATTACCTGTGGCTGGTGTGGTGGCAAGTAGCACCCAAAAGTTATGAACTTCGTGGAAAGCATTGCGAGGCGTCTCGGTGACACCGAGGTACGGCTATTATCTAGCGGCACTTTCTCTTGAACCAACAATGATAAGCAAAATATGCCCATAGAATTATCATTCGCTTCATCTCCACAATGTTCACTTTTGTGGGACCGCTAAATCTGCGAGTAAAAAACCGAAAAAAATTGACAGCGGACAGGCATTGCGCGAGGATGTCCACGAGGAAAAAACAAACAAAACGCAAGGTGATGCATGGTGGCAGTTGCCACGGTACACCAGTCATGGCACAGTTTATCCTCGATGTTGCACCGACTTCGCGCTGCACGACCAAAGAGCGTTGTGCACTGTCCTAGTTTCAGGGCACTTCCAGTGCGAGTTGGTCAAAGATGCTACATGATAGGTGGCTTGATGCCTCTTAGTGGGGCACTTGACCGTACTCTGAGGCAGGCCTAGCCTCTTGCGAGGCCAACGTCTGGCGGTCGCGTTGCAGAGGGAGGACCAGAGGGACAGCGACGAGGCGGAGGAGGAGAGCGACGAGGAGCCCGACGAGGTGGCCCGGGAGTTTGAGCTGGAGATCCCCCGGGTGCTGAAAGAGCGTCTGGAAGACGACTGCTACCTGGTCACCTGCAGGTCCAAGGTGGGGCACCCGCCGGACTCGCGCGGCCGTCCGCCATGGTTTGTTGTAGAGGAGTGGGCAGAGCCGATACTACCTGCAAGACGAGGTCTGCGCCTTTGTCTACGTTTTCGCACTTAGAGGCGTGAAGACGCGGATAATGGGGAGTTTTAGCGAGTAGTTTTTGGAGCGCACGATTCCGAAATCGCTAACGGTGCAGCTGCTTGGTTCCGCAAAATTGGATGCGACATTTAACATATTTTACCGAATCGTAACTATGTAAGCTGTGATGACGATTGAATAGATGGATGGATGGACACGGCTGAACCTTTTGAAAAAACACCTAGCTAGTGTTTTTTTTGTTTTTTTACATTCATATAACATAGCTATTGTATTTCCTCGCATAAAGAACACACTTCTTTTCCCCAAAAATTGACACATATTTGGGGCTTGCAATCGTTACGCAGGGTAAAAGTTTTGCATTTACACACTTTGCGCAAATGTCAGCGTAGGTGCCATTATGACACGGCAGTGTACTGTGGCACGTCTTCACAAACGGAGGTGCACCCTCCACTGATTGTGGGTGCGCCACAGTGCTCATGCTCTATAACCTGCTAACCTTTTTTAGGGCGCATTCGGCATGCCTTTTGCCAAACTAAAAGCGACCTACGAAGCTTACTGAGCGTGAAAAGCGACACGACCGGTCTTGGGCCTAACCACTTTCATGATTTCACTGTCCGACAGCAGACCACAGACGATGGCAGGTTCGTTGACATCAATGCATCCGGTGGGCAAAGCGTGTCCAGGGCTGGGCTATTCCCCAACCCCAGGTTCCTTAGGTGTGCGCGCTGCTCAGAATCACGGTTGATCACTTCCACAACTATGCACTTTCAGCTATTACGAGAGCGGCTTGGCTTGGCTTCACTAAACCCAGCCGCTTGGCAGCAAAAAAAAAAAAATTGGCTTGGTGGCTAGCTGAGTTGGACGCAGTTCGAGACTCGCGGAGCCAAAAATTGGAGGTGCATTTATTACGCGGGGGAAAAAGAAAATTCAAAATCTTGATGCCCGTTGAGGGGTGCGTTCAATATGCGAGTAAATAATGTATGTATATATCTAGAGATTTGTTCTTAAAAACTATATACGATCTGCATGTCGGAGGCACCTCTATGCAACCGCGTGCCCACACCTTCCACCCTACAGGTCGCCCGGAAGGGAATGAGAAAATATTCATACTTTCCTCGACCTATGCCACCAGTCACATAATCTCTTCGTGGTTATCTCCACCCTCCTTATGTCTATTTTTCCTTCACGTTCCCTTGATCCCAGTGCGTTTGTTAAATTAGTCGGCTCCTCAGCTATAGTTCACGACTTTCACAATCGCTTACCATTGTGAGTAGTTCTTGAAATTATTTCAGTTAAGCTCTCAAAGAAAGCAAAGAGTAACTGGATGGCAGATGAACTCCTGCTGTCCGAAGCATAACGCTCGGCAGGGCCCATGTAGTCTGTCGCCAATCTGAATAGAATTGTTTACCCGGGTCGTCGACAGTGCTGGCATGGTTTGATGTGACGACTCCAGCGTTGGGTGTCGGAAAGACAAACAAGAAGAGCATCCCAAAGCCCCCAACGTGGCGTCGGCGATGCGTTCGAGGACGATTTTTTTGTGTTAAAACGACTAGCTAAAACTCCCTGATAATAGACATAGGAACCACTTGGGCGCACTTTCACACCGCTAGCCCCGCGCCTTTTGGCACGAGTGGCAACATCAGGGCACCACCAAGCCTCCCACGTGCCCCAAATCGTTCTGAAACCTATTTAGTGGTTTTCTACGATGCTCAGCAAGTTTTTAATTGGAACCATATCTTTATATTCTATAATTAAAATATTTTATAATTCAAAAGGTAATTAGAAAATTTTAGTTAATTAATGTATCGTGGCAATTTTCTCCCTGTATTGTGTCCTCTGGCCGTATGACCCTCCTGCACAGACCATATTGGTGTAACTTTCGCGGCTTTCCTGAGACAAATCCGTGATGCCTTAAAAAAACACCCAGTACATCTCGCCCGAGGCCCCGTCCCCCCTTTGACGTATCCGTTTTCGCGCTTCCAGCTGGTGCGCCTCCCGTGCTCGCCCAGCGTGGTGGACTTGCTCGAGGCGTACCTGCGTCACTACGCCGACAGGCTCACCAACACGGGGAACCGGAATGGAGGGCCGCGCCTGCCGGTGGTTCCGCCGGCCGACATTCAGGCCAGGTGCGCCTTTCTACGTCGTTCGACTCGGCGCCGGTGTAAGAGCTGTTGGTGGTAATTGTCTGGTTTGTGAGAGCCGTTGCGCCACTTGTAAAGGCTTGTTCGCGCTTGTGTTTGTTTACTACCGAGTTCTTGTAACCTCTTGCGATGAGAGAACACGACGATCCCTGAGGTGGTCTTGGAATTGCATTTCACTAGAGCAAAGGTTTTGCGGTATTTGCAAGATTAAATGTACATACAATAATCCCTCGTTATAACAAAGTCAATGGGACGGCAAAAAAATTCAATATAAGCGGTAATTCGATGAAAGTGAAAGAGCCAAGAAAGTGCCAGCAGCCGCAAAGCTGGATGGGAACACTGAGGGACTCTGACCGCATATTTAATCGAGCAGACCTTGGTTTTGGAGGTCTCGCGGCAGCTTTACCGAGTGAAAATATATTTAAGTGGAGTTTGCTGATAATTTCATCCGGGCATCAGTTCTCCTCGAACTGCTCCAGGCATCACAAAAACACTGTCACCTCCGCTGCACTCCACTTGGTTTCTGTACGTGTCTGTGCGGTATCTGTAGTCTCCGTTTTTCTCCCGCTAGTATGCAGGGAAGTCAATGGCTTCGCGGTCAACTCTCGATAATTCAAATCTCGTGAGAAGCGTCTTGTGCCACCCCCGTGTCGAAACTGGTCCCGAATCGGCTACAAATCTCGTCGGAGAAGCCAGCGCGTCCCGCCATCGGATGTCGCGTTGAAGAGGGAGGAAAAACGAGGACGCTGTAAATGCACCTGTCGGAGACGCGTGGCGGGCATCGTGGTGTCAATGGCTGCTGGCGAAAGACTCTGGTGGCTCGTGCAGGTTCGGGCTGTGCAGGGAGGCGATGGACGGGCTGCGCATCGTCTTCAGCTTCACCCTGTCCACGTCGCTGCTGTACGGCGTGGAGCAGAGGCAGTACCAGCTGGTGACCGGCTGGTGTCGCCCCCTAGCGCTGTGCGTCCCCCTTCTTCCTCTTCCTCTCCAACTCGGGAGTGGAGGGGGCCGGTTCGGTCGGGGGAAGGGGCACCCTGGTTCTAGGTTTTGCGAGGGTGTCGTCTGCCAGGCCACCTTGGGAGTTCACCTTCGGGACCCGTGGTGGCCGGGTGGGAGGAAACCGAGAGTGAGGCTGCCCCGGGTACTTCTAGGGCGTAGGAGGCATTTTCGCGGCCCGTTCCGCTGCATGCATGTACAGTCATGTCTATTTAATACGGACACCGTTAATATGTAGGGTCCCCGCTTTATAGACAACATTTTTGGGGACGAGCTGGGTAAATGCTCGCATTTTGACTGCATTATTACGGACAACTCGCATTATGGACGCTTTTTGGGGGGAATGGACGTGTTCATATGAACGAAACGTCACTGTACACTGGTTGCACCGATCCTGCCACCACGTTGTATAACAGAACTGGATATAAATCTGTAAAGAAAATGCCGGGCGCCATGCATTTGCAAATAAACGGATTGCAAATAATTTGCAAATAAAAGGATTAGTATCCTTTGGGCGAATGGGCTCGTCACCGAACAAGTCCGTGAATTTACTTACGGTACTTCTGCCGAGCTGCAAGTTGTAGTCTTGGGCAACAATCTCATGCGCATGCGTACCGGCCAAGCGCTTGCAGACGACACGAGTCGACCTGCTTGATGCCCGGAAGAACGAGGGATAAATGTTTTTAATAGATACCCGGAGGCTTTTCCTTTGAGACGTGGGTGTTGCGAAACAGCGAGAATAGATGGTATTCAAACTATTTCTGCCTGCCTGCGTCAACATGTGGCTGCACCAAACTCCAGGACCAGGCCACCGGAGGAGCCTGACGAGGCGCCGGAGTGCAGCAGCAGCCAGGCGGCGGACTCTGCAGCCGTGGCGAGGGGGCGGTCTGGCAAACACAACGGCACGGACGCGAGGGCGACCTCTCCTCCGCGGCGGAGGACCTCTGGTGGGTGTTTCGGTGACTGGCCAAAGGAGTTGCGTCGTGCGTCTGTTTGGATAGTGGGAAGTTGAAGCTGGAACTCGCGCTTGATCACGACCGAGTTCCTGCCATCTCTCTTGACGAGAGAATGGATGGATGGATACGGCTGAACCCTCTTGGTTGGGCGGCAACTTGTGCCACCTAGCCAAAGCTTCTGAATCCAACAATTCACTCGTGTCCGATTACCGTATTTACTCGAGTAATAGCCGCACTGTTTATGAAGTAAACCCGAGGGTTCGCTTTTCTGCGGAGCATGCGGATTGGCAATCATTGCGATCGACAGCATGACTCCAGGGGTTTACAGGACAGAGATACCATCTATGAGCAATGAACTTGTATAGAGATTCATGTTTTCGATCTGGTTATTCGCTGTTATTTATGTGCAACGCAATGATTGGCTGTATATGTGCTTTGCAGGAAAGTAGAAGCAAGGGTCTTGTTCATAAATAGTGCGGCTATTACTCAAGTAGATACGGTGAATTCTTCGATTAAATTAAAGAATACACTCGGATTCTGGCGCCATCTACAAAGTGGCGCTGTAACTGCATTTCATTGGAGCGAAGGTTTTCCTGTATTTGCAAGATCGAATGTACGTACAATCCGAGAGAAATGGTCGTTGATAACATTGTGAAGAGATTTTCGAGTCAAGAAAGAATGACGATCGAAAAAAGTAGGAAATGCACGGAAGTCGCGAGTGTTCCGAGGCTGCCAACAGATGGCGCCATCCTGTTCTCTCATCGTAAAAGATTGCAAGACGTTGTACTGCACACGGTCATAAGCAGACGCAAATGTGCAAACCGACGTTTGTCTGTTTTTGTAAGGTGGAAGGAATTGTTGGTTTTTGCTTTTCTCTGGCAATGCGGATGACAGTTTCTTTGTGTAGAAAACTGATTGCGATCTCTGCGTGCATTGCACGTGGGCTGCAACGTTGCAGGAAGCCCGCCGGAGCGCCGGACCCTGCGCTCCTCGGACCGTCACCCGAGCGGAAGCAGCGGCAACAATTCGGTCAACGCCGGCGGCTCGTCCCCGTCCAAGTCCGCCAACGACGAGAGCGACTCCGACAACCTTCCGCTGGCAGTCGCCATCAGAGGTCATGGCAGCTTTGCTCCCGCGTCCCCTTGACCTGACCCTTGGTTCGGGGTTTACGGCCATACTTCAGTCGTATACTTGTAGACCCCATAACGTAAAGCACACTTTCGAAAACAGCTTAGTGTAACGGTGTACCTTGCGCATAACTGGAAGTTCTCATTACTCCCGTCAATAGACTATGCTGTGGGAACTTACTGGGGGGGGCACGCTCGTGTCGTTGGCAGATCTAATTTCACGATCGAAGAGGCAGAAATAGCAGAAGGCAACGGGATCGTGAACGAAGGTGTTCCGTTCAAGTCGTGTCATGCCCAGCTTCAGGTACGAACGTGGTGACCTTGCACCCCCGCAGGTCTGGCGCACAGGCATCGAACGACGAGCGTCTGCTCGGCAACGTCCACCGCGTCTACGGTGCCGCCGGACCCTCCCCGCACCCTGGCCGCCTCGCTCGACTGCAAGCTGCTGCCCAAGGAGTCCCTCGAGGAGTGCCCGTCGTCCGCCGCCCTCCTCTACGGGCCCCAGCACTTCCTGAGGCTCTTCGGTGGGTGTGCGGGGTCAGGGAACCCGGTGCACAGCTTGCAGGCTGCACGAAGTGCTAGCAGAGGCCACAAGTGTGCACGGCTTTCGACGGCGCCTTTCGTGCTCGGGCGAAGGCGCAAACGACGCGTTCAACGGAGCTATGCCGTCAAGCCTTTGCCTTTGCCTTGGAGTGCGCGCTCTAGCTGCTATTAGCGGCAAACTTCTTCGCATCGCACGTGTCGAGCAAGCAATGATAGTGGTGATAGCTTTCAGTGCACTAAGAGATGCAAAGCCGAAGCTTGGGAAGCTCTGAGCGAAGGGCGTATACACATCAAAGTAGGCCACACACCCTCGACCCTAGGCTCACTTCCAGGAGGCACAGTCTGTACCGCGAGCCACGCGCTCCTCGGTTCGCATTTCATTTTTCCCCGATAGTACATTGTGCAGTACAAGGCTGCCAAGACAGGGCACGCTTACCGGGGTGCCGGGAGTCGCAGTTTGGCCACCTCTGCGCTAAGAGCTCCGGAACTGACTTCTTTGCCGGGGCACTCGCTCACTCCCAAGAGCCCGCTCACACGCACTTAGAGGACAGAGGGCTGTTCTCTCCTAAAGTATCCTGGCAGAGGTTTTTCTTTTGTGCGCTCAAATCTCGGAGTACTACTCCCGACTTCTAGTGCACCAGCGCTGTGAGGTGTACCCTGCACTCTCGCTTGCAGAGCACTAGAGAGTCTTTCTTCCTTTGTGCCAAGTCACATCTGCACTCTTTCGTTACTTCTCCAGTGAAACTTCCCGAGTTGCTGGTGAAGATGAGTCTATCCAAGCGGAAGGCGGACCATCTCCATGCCATCCTCAACGGGCTTTTAAAGTAAGCCCGTTTCTTTCCCAGCTAGTCCGAGCATCCGGAGATCCGATCGTCTTCTTGCCTCTTTCCAGCTACCTGGCCGGAGAGCAAGAACAGTTGTTCCAGAAGTCCGCCTACGGCGACGCCGAGCTGGTGATGGTGGAGCTTGAAAAGTGTGCCGGTGTGCAGAAAGGCAGTTGACGGTGTCTCGGTTCGGCCGGGCGAGTGGTGGCACCTGCCGAGCATTTGTCGGACAGTGTCGATGAGTGTGCCGATGAAGCTCTCCTCGATAACGAGGATTTTCACATAACCGCTCGTGTCGGTGTAAATAAAACTTCCGGTGCTTCACTTCTACCGTGGATTTCTACGGGGAAATTTATATTATCAACCATTGTCACAACCTCCGTTTGCCCCTAAACTGCAAGTGCGGTACATCATACATCTGCCTATTGCCACGTGAGCACTCTCCTGCCCATACCCACACTCCAATGGTGTACCGTAGTCAAATATTTTTGGGGAAAGGGGGGGGGGTCAAAATGCATGTGTATGTTATATATTCAGGGGTGGAAGCGCTACGCGAATTGTGCCGTTGTGTGCCGAACCACTTTCGCTGCGCCACCCTGCTCATTGTTACCGTTTTCTAGAAGGGGGACCAGATGAAGAGACAGCATTGAGAGGTGGTCTTGGTGCGCACAGTGCTGCGTCTTTATCTATCTGGTCCCTTGTCGTTTGCGCTGTCTTAGTTTTCAGATATGTCGTACCAACTCGTCCAAGCTTCGACTTTGCAAACAGACTTGCTACAATCAAAAGGCAGACGTCAACACAGAGAATCGATTTATTGACGTTTGTAAAGCGCTGGACATCCTGACTTGTCCAAGTACCAGCATCGTTTGATCATGCCACAGGCACTTCTGTTGGATGCCGGCGATGCGCCGCCATTTTTGGCTTGTGGCGTAGGCCACATCCAGATGCGCACAGCTCTACGGTCTGCCCTGGCTTTCGGCGATGTGCCGTCACTTGCAAGCATGTTCCTATTGGTCTACGGTAGATACTACACCACCAAGACACTACTTCGGTGGCGACACTCCGACAGTTTTGGCTCAAGTGCGTCCCAGCATGCACCAGTTTGGCGGTACCTTGATTCTTAATAAAATCCATCCAGCGCGTCAACGTTTGCAACTTTAATGCCATTTCTCGACACATGCACCGAGCAGACGACCAGCTTGTCTGCTTGTTGCGTCTGTTAGGAGATGGTGCCACAAGTTACATGCGTCGATGCGTCCGCCACCACCCCTGGCAAGTTTGGTCTTAATTTTCCGCAGGATGGGAGCTATACCTCGAAATTTCACGAGGTAAAATGCACTACTCAAATAAACTTTTGATGAAACTTTGAGCTTGCTGCATGCAGGTATCAATTCTTCTGGCCCATGCTAAAGCCAGCTTCGGTATTTATATGGCACCCTACATTTACTGGACAAGCGTATTGGAGCACGAAGACGTGTGCCAATCGCACGTCGGAACAATAAATGACGTGGTGTCCGATTGGATTGCAAATGAACCTGGTGGCAGGGCTGCCAACACGGAAAGTCAGAATTTCCCTAACAAACGCCTGAAATTTCCCTATTTATTTCCTTCGCTTGCACAAATAATTACGTAATGCTCAATAATCATTGTTTTTTTCATCATTTCCACTTTTACTATGAGAGAATATATTACTAAGTAGCTTTTACGCCTGACGTACGTTTCTCAAGAGTGAGTTCATCGGACCAAAACCGTGACCGAAGCAAATCTGGCGATGGGAAGTATTACCAGGAGATTCAAACTGACGAGTGAAACCCTATCTCGGAAGCAAATTTAGAAGGGGGGGGGGGGGGTGGACCCCCCCCCCTCTAACCCCCCTTCCGCCAGCTGAATGCCTACTGCGTCTCCATGGCCTGACCTATAAATAAATCCCTGTGATGTTATGCACGCCATTAGAATGTGGTACTGCTTGATAACTTCAATAGCGCTTTTCAAAACGAAAGATGTAACACAAGCGAGAGTTCTCGAACTCCAACACAAGAAACTCGATGCACAGTAACTACCAATTTCGTGCACGGCCACGGGACGGCCACCTTGCTTTTAGGCGAATTGCGGTGTAGCTAGCTTTGCAGAGGCTAGCGGCAGCGTGCTGAAGACATCATTTTCGCTCGTTTGTCGTCATTCGCCGAAAAAGTTTAAGACCCTGTGTAAGCATTGAGATTTGCCATTGAGAACACGTGGAAATTTTTATGAACGCAGTGGTGCAGGAAAAGTGCACAACTCGTCAAAAGTAAGTTCCGCCGGTCTTGTGGTGTCATCAAAGCTTTCTTGTCACGCAGAAGTGCTGCGTCTCTGTGCCTTCGCACGCTTGGATACCGATCAGGATTCAACACCGTGTGGATGTGTTTTTCGAGTGCAGTGTGCGTGAAGCCGTACGTGCCTCTGGAGCAGCGTTTTACTTTGCTCTGACGACTGTATTTGTAGCTTGTGGCTCTCGCAGTCCAGAAACGAGCTTGATCCAGCGTCCAGTGGCAACGAAAGAGGGGGGAAGGTACGTCTTTTCAAGTTGTTGGACAGTCTACAGAATACCGTGTGTAAATGCACAAAGACGCAGCATTTCGGCGTGCCAAGGAAGCTTTGATCATGCCATGAGACCGGCGAAACTTGCTCTCTACGAGTTATGCCTTTTTCCTGCAGCACTGCGCTTTCGTCAAATTTCCACGTGTTCTCAACGGCAAGTCTCGGCAGTTACACAGGGTCTTAAAAAAACTTCTTCGGCGAATGACGACAAACAAGTAGAAAACGTGTCTTGAGTATGCTGCCGCCAACCTCTGCAACGATAGCATGGTGGGGGGGGAGGGGCAAGCACTTCCCTTGCGGCCGCGCTTCTCGCGGAAACGGGAAGCGCGGCCGCACACCGCACGTCATTATCGGGCATGCGCAAAAAAAGGCGCTCTCACTCGAATGAACTGGGATCGACATCGACATCGAGCAATGGCAGCTGCGTAATTTTTGCCGTTTGGTTAGCTTTTGAGAAGCAATCGAATTCGAATGAATCGGGTCCCGTTTTTAGCAATTTCGACTTAAAACCTTCGGCGAATTTAAACGTCGGGCAGTCTGCCCAGCGAAAATGGACGTCGGAGAAGTGCGGGTAGCGGACGACGGCGACTTCGAGCGGCTGCGAAACCTGACTGACGAGCATGACGGTTGGAAAGTGGAGTACGAGAAGCGCGACACTAAGGTTTGGACCAAGGGCACCGAACAGACCCAGTTCAAGATGATCAAGGTGAGCCGAACCCCCGGAAGCGCATTACTCTTTTGCGCCGCCGCCCAAACTGATCAACCGACCGCTTTTGTTGCGGCGCCGCCAGCTGCACACGGTCTACGCGGACGTGAGCCCGTCGCTGCTCTTTGACGTGCTCATGGACCCGTTCTACCGCAAGAAGTGGGACGTGCACATGTTGGACAGCTACGACATAGGCTGTCTAAACCCCAACAACGACGTGGGCTATTACGCAGGTAAGGCGAGGGCTGGTTCACACCATTTGCCTTTGAGTGTGCGCACACATACTGGGTGTTTGTGAGAAATCCGAACCCGGCTTTTCGCACCGTAAAAATAAACTCGACATCGCGGAGAGCTCAAAAACTCCGTCAGAACGTAGCCCCAGACGTTCGGGCAAGATGCCAAAGTTTCAGCACCAACCGTTATCGTATTCAAAAGTTATAAGCGTTTTTCTGAAAATTTCAATAGAAAAATGACCGCCGACGGAGCTCTCGAATACGTGGAGCTCTATGGCGCCAGAAACCGAAAATGGGCCCCATTTTCCCATTGGAAATTTCTGAAAATCACTTATAACTTTGTGCCTTGTTGTGCCTAATTAAATTTTCCCTAGATAATTTCTTCTAATCTTCTAGTTGCCTCTTAGTGACTGTAATCCTTTTCTCCTCCATCCTACCATTGTCACCAGCAAAACCCAGGGCCCTGGCCAAATCCGTTACCCCTTCAGGGAGGGCAGGGCGAAGTCCCGTGCACTTCAAAACCAAGTGCTCTAGTTTCTCGCTGTCACTATGGCAGGTGGCACATAATGGCTGTGTTCCAAATCTTACCCAAATTGGCCCGAGTTACTTCGGTAGGTTGTGTCACGTGACAACACAGATTGAAAAACGCTGCATGCGGGTAGGTTTTAAAACGCCAAGGTACAAAACCCTTATTCTGGAGTAAGATCAAGTAAATTTTGGAACATGGCAAATGTGTGTGTGGATGGATGGATTGTAATGGCTATTCCCATTGTAACGGGCGGCAGCTTGCGCCACCTAGCCTAACATTTAAAATTTGTAAAAATTTTGTTTTAACACAACCCCCCTCCCCATTTAAAAAGATACTGAACCGACATTTCGAGCTCACAAAACAAGGCCGGACGGATAGGCGGGTGCTGCAAAACCCGAAAACGTCACTCATACAGCAATATATCTAACGGATCGCCGTATTTTTGGAAAAGAAGTGCGCGATTGAACACGGCTGATGAGGCTGACGAGACAAGGCACGTCACGATTCCCATTCCCTCCTCCTTGCTACGTCCCGTCGAGCTGGTGAACCGAAGCGAAAAGGAGAGAAACGAGGCCGCTTCCCCTCATTCTCACATTCTCCCGGAGGACAATAACTTCAAAGACCTCGCTTGATTGCGCCCTTCTTTTCCAAAAGTATGGCCATCTGTTTGTTATATCGATGTATGAGTGATGTTTTAAAGTTCGTAGCATCCCGCTCAACGTTCCTGTGGCCTTATTTTGCGAAATCTAAATTTTGGTTCAGTATCCCTTTAAAGTGTTTCCTTGCTTATTTTTATCTGTATTTTCACCCCTCCCTAGATCTTTTCCACCAATCTTCCAATCTCCTCTTAGTTACTGCAATTCTTTTCCTATCCATTCGTCCATCCATGTCTGCAAATCCCAGTGCCACCTCTAAATCTATAATCATCCCCCCCCCCCTCCTCCCCCCCCGAAGTGCCTGGGACGAAGCCCCGTGCACCTTAAAATTACATGTTTTATAGTTTCCCTCTCACAGTTGCATATGTTGCATGGTGTCTATTTCCTGGAATTTAGCCCTATATATGTTTTCGTTGTTAGCACCCCCGTTCTAGCGTGAAACACAGCAATGAGCTCCCCAATGAATTATCATACAACTGTTTCTTCTTTATTTCTTGTTTTTGTGCCCTGTATATTGTTAAAGCTGATTTCCCCTTCATTCTTTCTTCCCACAATTTCCTCTTAGTTTCCTTCACTTCCCTTTGTATTGGTATGTTCTGATCGGCCCCATCTTGTTGAATGTATTTAGATCTCAGCTTGCGGGTTTGGTTTGTCCACTTAATGTTTAGACTTTTCATATATAGATACTTGTACACTTTCCGTGCCCACTGTGTATCCTCAATTTCAGCTAGTCTTTTTTCAAAGTTTACTTTACCAATCTCTTTTCTACTCCCGAAAGATGTCCAACCCGTATCCCCCTGTACTCCCTCATTTGGTATATTCCCATGTGCCCCCCAATGCCAACCTACCCACACTCTTTTGCTGTATCTCTAAACCTGCCTGGATTTCTGACCTCATACACAGTACCACATTCTCAAATGACAGTCCTGGCACCATGACTCCCTTCCATACACCCCTAACAACTTCATATCTGTTATAGTTCCAGAGTGCCCTGTGTTTCATAATAGCTGAATCTCGTTTCCCCTTCTTTATTACAATATCTTCATGTTCTTTTAAATACACGCTTCCCTCATTTAACCATGCTGCCAGATATTTGTACTTTTCTACGTGTTCTATAACTGTGTCCTGTATCTCCAGGGGTTCGCCCTTCTTGTCGTTGAAAACTATTATACCAGACCTTTACATTAACCCTGGCAATACTTGATTTACTTTATGTCCTTCCTCCATGTAATTCAGGTCAAAACCTAGGTTGCACTGATTTAATCTTTTTTCCATCTCACTGAGGTGTATATCATAAAGAGCAGGGGAGACAATGGGCAACCCTAGGGTGCCTACATGTTTCCAGCGACGGGAACATGTAGGCACCCTAGGCAACCCTGTCTAAGACCTCTTTTTATTGCTGCTGGTCTTGTAGTTTCGGCTCCCCATGTTGTAGCCACTCTATTCTCCATGTAGACCCGCCCTAGAAACTTAACCATGGTTCCCCCTAGCCCATATCCTTTCAGTTGGTCCCAGAGTTTTTCTTGATTCACATTGTCATATACCCCTTTGATGTCCAAAAATGCTACCCATAATGGCCTTTGACTTGTCATTGCTATCTCTATGCACTGGGTGATTATGAATAATTTATCATCTAGCCATCTATCCCTCCACCTACACCACCATGGTTGCCAGTCTTAGAGCCTATAAATGTGAGCACATTCTGAGCATGCATAGTGAACAGTGGACTCAAGTATGGCATCCAGTGAATACCCCTTTATATGCAGATCTAAAGTTTACAGGGCTACCTGAACGAGGGCGCCAGCGTTGTGGCTAGGTGGCGCAAGCCACTGCCCAATTACAAGGGTTTGGCCGCATCCATCCATTTATCCATCCATCCTGAGTGTCGTAAGTGGTTCAACGAGGTTGAAGTGGTTACGAGGGAGTGCATGCACATCAGCACGCTCAAACGCAAACTTGTGAAGCAGCCTTTCCCCGGTCGCAATGCCGGTCCCAATGGTGTTGTGGCGTTCCTTGCAGTGCGATCTCCGCCGCCGCTTAGGAACAGAGACTTCGTCCTGCAGCGCTCGTGGCTGGAAACGGGGAAGGAGATTCTCATCATCAACCACTCTGTGTTCCACCAGGCGAGTGAACCACCACCGTTGCTTGGTGGGGTTTTGTAAAGAGTCCATTGCAAACTAGTTGCTGGTGTTGCGCAGTCACGTCTCCCCGAGGTTCTTGCATCATTAGTGGTTTGTGTAGGGTTTTTTGTGGTTTTTGCAAACGTTTGGAGACGTTTAGGTACGAAAGTGTATTGCTGCTGAGTGCATGCCTTCCCGCCCCGCAGTCGGTGCCGCCGAAGAAGGGGTTCATCAGGGCCACCTCGTACCTGACGGGAATCGTGGTGCGGCCGAGCGGGCGCTCCGGATGCAGCCTCAGCTACGTCACGCAGTGCGACCCCAAAGGCCAGTCTGAACGTCTTTGTGCAAAATGATGTGAACTGTCTGCGGTAATGCAGTGAGGCCGAAATTTAGTTCCCTTTTCTTTTGCAGTGTGTTCAAAGATTTCTGATAGATAAATTCTTTGGCACTTGTTTTTGGCCTTTGTATTGCATATTAAATTTATAGGGCACATAAAAAATATATATATTTTCAAATCATTTGTTTGTTTGTTTTTTTCAAAATTTTTGCGGTAGGCAAAGGGTTAAACAACTTCATTTTTTTAGATGGTATTGGAGAATATTTCGCGGTCACATAATTTCGCGATTTGGAGTGGTATGCTATACATGGGTTGCCATGGGGTAATTAATTTGTGTCATCAATTTTTTGCAATATTTTTTAATTTTGTTAAAACAACTAACTTTCTAAAATTATTAGGTCGTTTACAGTATTTGGTTCCTCTGAAGGCTTGTCCCCCTACTACGATCAGGAACACCTATGGTAGAAAACCTTACTTGGGGCAGGAAAGAGTGGAGTTTCCAGACGAGACATCTCTTAGGGCCGTTGAATTACTGCCAAAGGATACACGAGGGAATGAAAAATGTGAGGGCAAGAAACTGGCTCGAAGAAAGACTAGACAGAAAATGCTTTACTCTTAGCTTAGTATATTGTGCACTTAAATCAGAAAAAAATGCAATTGGTGTCTTCCTTACAATCCTAATAATTGCTCGTCTTTCAGTCATTCGCATGCAAAGAAGCGACAGAAATGTTGGTTGCCACAGTTCCCCATCACATCTTGCAAGGCTTGATTTGAGTTGTGAAATTTCTAAAGCAAGCTTGTTGTAAGCTTACCGAGTTGTCTGGTTTTGTTTTTGTTTTTTTGTAGGTGCCCTGCCTGCCTGGTTTGTCAACAAGCTTACCAAGATATTTGCACCAAAGGTAATGCTTTGTGCATATACTAGGTCCTTTGGTAAAACAATCCAACATTTGTTTTGTGCCTTACAAAGGTGTGCTTCTTCATAGCACTAGTTTGCAGTTCTGAATGCAGAGGTCAGAGTCAGTTCTAGGACTCCAGAAAGTGTATTTGTAACTGTGGTTTCAGTTACCGAAATGGTGAGTGAGACAGACAGGCTGGGGACCAGGTTTCAGCTATAAGGTAATGATGTTTTAATGAGACATGATTTGAATGGTAGCGTTCGATGGTAAGTCCCATTCTGTCTCTGCCGCATGTGTCCGCAGGTCCCCCTTATATAGCTGCGGTGACATGACGATATTGCAGTGATGTGATTGCTGTGCCAATTGCGCCAAACTGCGCCAAGGGGCTAACCCTGCTACATTTTGCCAAGATATGGGTAATCTGCGCCAGGCTTGTGCCAAAAGACCAATTTTGGTCGTCTTTCAAAACCGAAACTAAACTGAGTAACGTAATTGATCGTGCATGAGCTAGGTAGCGCAAGCGGCCGCCCAACAAAAAGTACCCTGTATCAATCGGCCATCCGGTCTTGCATAGTTTTTCCCGCCACCTCTCGTTTCACGCTCTCGTCGTTCATGTGTCTCGTCTCGGGGTCCACATCACAAGAGCGAATGACGTTTTAGCGAACAGCGACATTTGAGCGAATCGACGGTTTAGCAAATAACAGGGGTGCACGTTAACCCATCCGCCGCGCTGCGCTTTACGTCGCTTCGCGGCGACTAGTCTGCGGCGGCTCATTACAAAAATGCGAACCCACTTGGCCCACCCGAAAATGCCGCTTCGTGGCATCCGACTATTCGCTAAAGTGTCATTCGGTGAAACGTGGGCGTTCGCTAAAGCGTCATTCGATCAAGTGAGTGCTTCCTCTTGTCTCGCGTCTTTTTTTTTTTTTTTAATTTCAACGATAGATGCGGGCGTGTGTTGACACTTCAGTGCTTCAGTCGTTGTACAAAGCACTCCAAGTACTTTTTAACCCTGACTCGCGATGTCTTGTTTTGGCCTGACTTGCTCAGGTTCCTTTTTTCTGTGTGTTTAGCTTGTACCTTGCCTGCCGGTTTGGCAAGCACGTGCCGCTGGACTGTTTTTTGTCGTATGCTGGACAATTACATTTTGCACACAATTTTGGAACCGGTTGGTGACGGAGCGGAGTGGCATGGTGTCTGTTTCGATCGAACAGCCATCTCCGCTCGCGCAACGAAGCACGTGCAAATGCAAGCCTGCCGAAGTCGCCCTCATGTGCATGCGAACATGACTGCGCGACAGAGGCTCCAGCCGGGACGCTTGCAACCCATTGTTTTACGTTTGTTTACTTTTGACGAAAATCGGGCACGTCGGGAACCAGTAAAACGGTGGCAAGCGGTTTTTCGGAATTGCTCGGCAACGGCCGCAGCACTGTTCACTTGTGGGATGTCTCAATGTCTCTTTGGAGACATTGAAAGTGGGAATTCATTACTAGCCAAAGGCAAAGCGAGGCTTGCAGCAGCCTTGTAGAAAGTTTGGAAAAGCAAAAAGAAAAGCACCCGCTAGTCTTAATGCACCTTTGTCTTGTGTACAATTTCGCATTGCGCTGCAGTAGTTACGTGTTTCATCAGTCGAAGAGAGCTTCCATTTATTATATTATATAACTACGGTAGCCAAGCTAATGCTGTGATATTTACTAATAAGCTGGTCATTTTCAAATAAATTTTAATATGTGCAGTTTGGTTCTTATTTATCTATAACAGGGGTGGCCAAGCTGCGGCTCTTCGCGTGTTAAACTGCGGCTCGCAACTCCCTTCCCTCCCCCCCCCCCCCCCCCCCCCCCCCCGCCCTCTCCCGCCTTCCTTCCGGTCACGCGAGTACTTCCCCAAAAAGAGAAATGGAACGCGTTTCAATTCGAAAGACGGGTTGCAGTTTGGTAGTTTTGTGCTACTACTACCTTATGTACAGTTGGACTGCTTTTGACTCGGATAGATTGAAAGTAGTTCAAGTTTCGTTTATTGCTCTGGACAAAAGTTTGTGCCCCCCCCCCCCGTGGCTCTTGGAAGTTTCGTGGTTTTGTCTGCGGCTCTTAGGCCGGGTCAGCCTGGCCACCCCTGATTTTTAATGTTACATATATATGTAGAATTTAACTGAACCATTGTAAAATGTGTCATGTCATTGGCATTTCAGTTACATGTTGAAAGACATGTAACTGAAATTGACCTTGACTGAAATTGACCTTGACCGTAACTGAAATCGAACTTGACCTTAATTTGTTTATTGTGGCGAACGAAGTGTTCTTCGTTCGTCCGGCACTTAAAAGGAATATGTTTATTTTTCTAAGAATATCTGCTCCAAAAGCCACTTTTTCTGCTCCGAAACACTGTTTTGGCTGCTCCAAAAGCAACTTTTGCTGCTCCAAAACACTGTTTTGGCTGCTCCAAAAGGTGCTCCAAAACGGCTTAGGCCAATCGCATCAATGATATTGCTTCACCGGCGGGATCCTGATTTGGTTGGAGGTTGCTGTCGGCATCCATGAAAATGAGGTCCAACAGCCCCTGTCATTCACCTGGAGATATGTGGCTTCGCAGCAGCATGAAGACCAATTGACGTTGGTTACTTCGGCAGATGTTAAAAAGCCTTGGTTCCGGGCCTTCAAGGGGGTCTCTGTCGAGCGATGGTGTTGCGGACCGACCCTGTTAAGTGTGCCATAGTTGGAGCACAGCCTCGCCGGGTTAAGGAACGTAACAGTGAGCTGGTGAAGACCTTATTATCTAGAGTGCGAGGCTGTGGCGGTGGAAAGTTATTCTATTACAAGGTGTCCACACTGTTGGTTGCCACAAACTCGGAGGATTTGGTTGTGTCTTCGTGAACGTTTTGAGTTTCGTCTGCAATGGGCTGTCTGAACTTCGGGTATGTCAGGGTGCAGTGGAGAAGATGCTTGTATGAAGAGGTTTTTGCATATGTGAGTAAGTTGTGTTTGAGGCACATGATATTTGCTAGTTCCCTGCCACAGCCTCGAGTATAAGACGACAGGTGTTCGTGCTGATCCGATTTAATGCATTCCGAGAATGCTTTAATCGGATGTTCATTGCGTGTTTTTTTTTTCCTTGCTTTTGTTTTGTCAGGATGCTGAAGAGTACTTGTTAAGGTGGAAGCTTGAGCGAGTTGGTGATTTGTTTTCGGCATCAGAGCAATGAAGACCACGACAACAGAACAGAGACACAGAAAGACAACGAAAGGTGTTAGCTAATAACTCATCTATGTTCAACTTCTTAGAAATGAACATAGATCGTCGGTGCCCTTGTGTTCATCTTAGAAGATGAACATAGATGGTCAGCACCCTTGTTCAATTCAACTTACAACCCATTTAGTCTCATCTTCTAAGATGAACATATATGAGTTGTTTGTGTGTCTTTCTGTGTGTGTCTCCTCTGTTGTCCTGCTGCTGCTGCCCATCAAGAATGCTGTTTGTCCATGCCGGGACGCGTGCCTGCGCAGATGGTGAAGAAGCTGCACAAGGCGTGCCTGGGCTACACCGCCTGGAAGGCCAGCCACCAGCCAGGCTTGAAGCCGTGGCTACACCCCGACCAGGTCATCCTGCCCAAACTGGACGTGTCCTCCTGCGTCAGCGTGGGCCAGCAGGACACTGCGGATGAGAACCTAGACGAGAGCCTGCTCCAGGAGCAGGAGGGCAGTGACTTCTGCGAGCTGGACCACGCCTAGGCGCTCCGGCCACCTGCCTTGGGACGCCGTCCCCTTTGTGCCATTTCTGAGCAACGACGATGAAAAGAGCTTGACCGGTACTCCCAAGGCCCGCTTCAAATGGGGCAAGTTTTCCCAGCGCCTCAACATGGCAACTTCAGCCCCATGGTTCTTCCGCCTTCCCCTGCAGCAACTGGTCAAGCTGGACTTCGTCATTAAGATTCTAGCTTTCTCGCACTATTTAGATACAAAGTTGCACAATAATAATGAGTTTTTTTTTTTTTTTTATATTATTTAAAAGCATTGAGAACATTATCGGATTTTCCTTAAACCGTTCTGCTGGGAAAATTATGTACTGCGAATTGAAACCGAGTGTTAACATTGTCACCCCCCTCCCCCCAAGGAGGTCACACGAGAATATTGCGTCCCTGACTGGTTGCTGTTGCCCGAGACATCTGCGAGTTGTTAGAGTTGCTCACCCGTTTCGAGCCGAACTCGATCCCAGCAATTTGTGTTGCTGCGCAAGGATCTAGGGAGAATGACTCGAGAGCAAACCCCAAAATTGCTGGAAAAATTGCCCAGTCTGAAGTGGGCCATAACGGTTTATCAATCAGTCTCTTTGTTCTACAGCACCTGGAAAGGGCCATTCTCGAGTTGCAATGCGTGCGCCTGCTTCCTAAGGTTAAAGGAAGTGCGATGCCCGTTGCTCAAGTCTTCTGTCGGCACTGTGGCGCTTGTCGATTGGCCGCAGCTGGTCCCGGTAGAATGTTTCTGTTCGGCCTGAGAAAGCGCAGCCAGTCGGAAGTGACGTCCAGTGATGTCGTTTTGCAGGTTTGATGGAGCCGAGGTCTTGCCGAGCCAACGCTCATTTTGTCACGAGGCTTGTCCAGGGAATTGGTATTGCGCTGCAGGTCTGCCAGCGTGCTGTGCCGCTGCTCCAGTGGTTCGGGGCGTGTGTCGTCGTGTGCCATTTTCCAAAGGTGGCCAGGCGGCTTAGAATTGCCGTTTTGGAACTGGAGTGCTAGCCTTTTCTCCTCCCAGCTGCAGCACAGATTCCGAGAGTCCTGAACTCTGGCAAGAGGAATTGACATGTTCTCTTCTGGTCACCTTCAGTGGGAACTATGTTTCTACCATGGGCCTTTCTGCAGTAAAGTCGTTTGGGGATCCCCATTCTGGAAATTTAACGAGCGCATTAACCTTAAATATGGCAACTGGCTTCCTTTGGAAGTTCTACGGTGGAATTTGGTTGATGCACTCTCGGTTTCCAAGTTTTCCCATCTGTTAAAGCCAGTTCACACGTACACCACACTGCTGACTTATCTCATCGCTAAGAGGCCCGCATGTACACCAGTCCCATTGAGCTCCCGTGAACAGGCTTTAAAGGGATTTAGGCCTTCACAATCCCTCGTTCACCTTTTTAATCTTTTCCTGACGTGCGTGTGTGCATGCTTCTGGTGTGCTCAGTTTCCCTGATTCCACTACTAGTTTTATTCTGCGTGAAGTTCATAGTCGTGCACGCATGTGTGGACTATGGAATATGACTATGAACAAACCGGCGTGAGAAGGAGAGCAGCTGATTCTGGGAGCTGCATCTGTGGGCCTTAATAGGTGTTACCGGTTGTCACGTTATTCTGGATTATACATTGTTTTACCGCAGTCTCCCAAAACATAAATCCGTGAGGTTCTACGGTATTTTTAACTTTCCCCACCAGTGCTTTCCCCATCTCTTTCTCTAGCTTCGTGCGAGCAGCAACTAAAGATGCTGGGGAACATAATTACGGCATCCTTTGTCTAGAGTTACTGGCAGGCAGAATGCCGGTCTGCACATAGCTTTGCCTGGCACACATTGTCAGTGTGCTACTCAAACGCACGACACATAGCTTTGCCTGGCACACATTGTCAGTGTGCTACTCAAACGCACGACGCAAGTTTGTCTGCTTCCGGTCATTCTCTTACTGGAGAAGGCGAGGAGGCTGAGCAGCCAGCGGGCTTTCACTTGACAGAGTTGAAGGCCTGGAGCCGCCGGGTCACGACGCCGTACGAGAGTGCTTTTGTCTTGTATTGCCGTACTGTCCAGCTGAGGTACTTTGTTACTGGACCGCCAAGTGCCATTGAGTGCTGAGAGGACTAGGTATGATACAGTCGTGCCTCCTTAACATGGACACCTCAGCTTTCCTGCAAGTCGTCCGTGTGTGTCATCCATAAAAACATGCATTTAGCCAGTTCATGCCCAAAAAGTTTGTCTATAAAGTGGGGTATCCCGTTTTTTAGACAATTAACAGCGTCCATATTAATCAGACATGGCTAGATCACGTGAAGTTACATACTTCCGGACAACTTTCTGTGACTGTGCAGCAGGAGCTGTGGGTGGTCGTGCACCTTGAGTGCCGATCGAAGCTGTGCACGTGCGCTCTTCACTTCATCTGAAGTGCCAAAGAAAGTTGTTTGGGTGTATAGACTTGCTCATGTTTTGGTCAGTCTGCCTGGCCTTCCTGTCGTCAGTACCGGGAATCTCTCGGGTCTCCGTTGTCACGCCTCGCCGGTTCCAAGGCCGAGTGTGATTGTGATCGTTATGCTTCTGAGGCTGGACACGACGAGCATGAAAAGCAATACGGAAGAGAGCAGCATGCATGGTGACACTGCACTCGTATTCTAGAAAGATGAAAAGCAATAACGGCGTATCAAATTCTTGACTCCTTGGCTTTCCTGTTGACAGTGGAGGTTGTTAACATTTGAATGTGTATGTGTGTCTGCACTATTCTGAGAGTTTATGCACTATTTTAAACCGGTTAGGGAATTTTCTAGTCATTTGTCGGCTTTAAAAGAGACTGCTTGCTCGCCACTGTACATACAATGAGCGACGCAGTTAGGATGAACAAGTCCGTTTTTCCCCCATTTGTCTGTGATTTAGTGCAGTGGAGTGCGCGTACGTGGCGCCGTACCCTCCAACACTTGGCATTGACTATTTCGTGCCACACTCGCAGGGATAGCATAGCTTCCGCAGTAATGCAGCCTGTTCTTGCTGCGAGAGCATGTGACTTTGTCTCGAGTTACATTCACATGCGCCCAAACAACTATCCTTGACAGAGTTGGAACACTGCAGAAGCCATGCTAACCTTGACAGCATAGCACAAAATAGTTGATGATGTGTACAGGCGATAACTTCGGTGCTCAGCACTGCTCTACTCGGAAGTGGCTATATCGCGTTCACAGTAACTGTGTTGTGCGGTGCCCTATAACAGTTCACTGTTGCTCAGCTTGTGAGGAGCAGGACGACAGTGTCTTTCTCTGCATGTGCTGGATCTGAATTACGAATTCAGCCAGTTGGAGCATTGTGAGATGTCGGTATCCCAAAGATTTACTTAATAGCTGTCATACACAAGAGGTCTGGGCTTCCACGGGTTCAAGTTTACGCACTGTTGGCCTGTATTTTTGGCAAGTGACGAGCATTGTTAATGTGCTTGCCAATCCGACAGTTGTTTGAAGTCTGCTGATGAACAATCCGCCTTTCTCTAGATCGATGACATTCCTGATGAATGCCTACACCCTCCTTTCACCTTTACAGTGTAAATGTTTCAGCAGCATAGATTTAGCCACTTCAGTCAGCATCGGTGTATCAGCTCAGCATGCATCCACGGTCTTGGAGCCATCCAATAAAGAGTCTGCTGACCAGTGAACTATCTTGTATATGGTGATTATGTGTGCTGAATGTGGATGTGACGGATGTCTGTTTTATTGTAACTTGCTCTGCAGCCGGCCAGTTAATGAAAACTTCAACAGCCAGGGGTAGAGATGATTCAAGTTTCTAGATAAATGTGCTTCATGCTTCTTAGAAATGCCAACATTCTTTGTGGTGGTAGTGCTTGGATTCTAAGAATAAAATGGACTGGAAGGCGGCGCTCCTTTCTCAAGATGTGCTTTCTCATGTAGTCTTATAAAAGATGTCGCACACATTATGATAGACCTAGAGCCACTAAATGAGCTATGCTTAGAGTATGCGGAGAGTAGGTCGTCTGCTGCTTGCGCAGGAGTTGTGGTGACGTCGGAACGATGCTGAGCTCCGATTGGCTTTGATTGAAAGATAGTGGGTAGACCTCAATGCTAGATGCTTTGAGGTCTACCCACTATTTTTCAATCGGCCAGTAAGAGCTCGGCATTCTGACACTGCAACCCCTGTGCAAGAAGCAAACAAACTTGCATTTCATATTGGCACTCTAGAGCCTCTAAATAAGTTACGCTTAGAGTATCGGCGCTCCTAGAGCTATAAAATGAGCTATGCTTAGCGTAACGACACTCCTAGAGCCACTAAATGAGCTGCGCTTAGAGTATCGGCACTCCGTTCCCCGACGTTGCTGTGGGCGCCGCCATTTTGGCTCGTGTGCAGAGCAGACGCAACTGCGGATCGTCATGATTCACAAGTGTGAATTCCTCAGCATTAGAATCGGTGTTAGGAAGGTCATGTAACATTGCTTTGCTCTGTCGCGAACTGTTTAAACATTTGTGGAGGGCGGAAAAGTGCTTCCTGTGATTTCAGATAAAGCTTCAGATAACTGGCAACCATGATTTTAAGACACAATATGGCCAAGTGGCGTTACTCTGAAGCGTAGCTTATTTAGTGGCACTAGACACTCCATTACCCGATCTGCTAGTGGGTGCTGCCATCTTGGTGCTTGGGGCAGAGCAGATGTAGCTGTCACAATTCAAAAATGGGACTTCCTCAGCTTCACAGGATGGTAATCGTACTGCTCTGTCGCGAAATTTTATAGCATTCTGGAGGGCGGAAAAGCGTTTCCTGCGATTTCAGATAAAGCTTAACTGGCCGATATGATTTTAAGAACCAAGATAGCTAAAAGCCGTTGCTCTAAAACATAGCTTATTTAGTGGCTTTAGCTAGACCCTTGTCGAAAGTGCTCTCTATTGGAAACTGTAGAATCCCTGCTCAATGGCGGACACAAGTGCGAGCTTCTTGGGTTGGATTGCGCCCGGGCTACACGAGCCCTCCTGCAGTGGGAGCACAAGTCGAAGCTCGCGCCACTCGCGCGTTCCGCGGTGTCTGTTCAACCATTGTGCTGTGGGTCAGATTTTTTTTTTTTTTTTTCTTCCAATGGTTACGTGATTAAATGGGGTCTATCGGTAACTGCAAGCATGGCGCCCGACTGGTGCCCAATGGGCGCAAGCACGTGCAGCTTACGCCGTGAACATAGCTTTTTCCAAACTTGCAAACGAGCAGAGACATGGGTTTTTCGCCAGCACTTCTGCAACTGTCAGGATTGTGACAGCCACGACTACTCCTGAGGACTGGGGAAATGTCCCTGGAGAAAATGGGCCCTGAAATTACGGTCGCGTGTGCCATAGAAAGAATGCAGTCTTACAGGGTGCTTCAAGCTTAGCGGGTCATCAAGGAACAATAGACGATGATCGGAGGAGCAAATATGATAAAGGTGTTCATTGGTACCAACCTGATCCTCGTAGCCTGTGTACAATTAGGCCATGCTACTTTTATGAGAAGTCAATCTGTGCTTATACATTTGGTTTCCCGCATGCAGTGGGGTTTATGAGTAGATTCCGTCTTTCATAGACGTGCTGAGAACACATACTTCATTATATACCCAGACGCACGACTAAGACGTTGCCCCTATTTCCTTTTTCATCATAAAATAAGCAATAACACTTTTATATTAACTGCGAATATCGTGAAGTTATCACTAAAACCTTCCTTCTAGAGATAAGTGCTCCTCGCGAAAGCAGTCCACGCCGTGCAGATCGTAAACACCACTCCAAAGCTGCCCACTCGCGCCGCTAGAGCTTTGAACTTTGCCAACAAAAAAGTACACGTTTCTAAAATTGCCGACTATCATGGTTGGCTGCACGCAACTTATTTTGTACATAGTTCCTCTGACCCTCTACTGATCCTTAGAAAGATATTTATTTTTTACCTCCTCATCTAGGGGGTGGGCTGTGGTACAAACGAAAACGAAACCGCGCAGTTGGTTGAGTAGTGGATTTCAAGTCGCTTCTGCGCCGAAGGGATAGATAAATCCAAAGTCTTTGATTTCGCGCGCGCAGGAGCAGGGAAGCAGGCAGGCGTCTACGTCTACGCGGCAGGTGGGGTATCATGTGGGAGAGTGATGCCATTACCGCGGTGGTGTTGTCAAGTTATTACGAAGTTTTTGTTACAAATGAAGCGAGGGAGTTTATAATAATAAGATGAGGCGAAATACAACCCTGGCCAGTTGCTCTTCACAGCGCGCTAACAAAGGTTCCGCGTAGCGACCATGGAGGTCAATTCAGGTGAGCGGCTTTCTTTAGAGCCTCTTTGTGCGTGCACTCCTTTCCCAACTTGATCTGGTGTCCGGACATTACAGATCCGTGCCACGGGCGACCGAAACGATCTTCGAGGAAAATACCGATCGTGTACGACGAAGAAGCGGACGAGTTCGTCGAGCATGACCGAAAAAAGCGTGCAACGCCGAACCGAAGCACTCGAAAAAACCGAGCAGCGCCAAAACGAACCGCCCGTCGCGACGCCTCCAAATCCGCACGGAGTAACCAGAGCGATGATTCGAACGCATTCTGCAAGGCCGCCGAAAGCCAAGCGTGGCCGGACAAGTACAGACCCTCGAAATCGTGCCGATTCGTCGGCAACAACGCCGCCATTGCCGAGTTGCGGTCCTGGCTTGCTACCTGGAAGGAAAGACATGCACAGTGGACGCTCTCCAAGAAGCCTCGGCAGTCCCAGAGCGACTCGGAAGATTCTACGGAAGCCCCGAGCAACTGCTTGCTTTTGACGGGGCCCCCCGGCGTGGGTAAGACGAGCGCCGTCTACTACCTCGCCGAAGAACTCGGCTACAAGGTCCTCGAAGTGCACGCCTCCTCGGAGCGAACCGGCCGGAAAATTTTGTCTCAGCTGCAAGAGGCGACGCAGTCACATCACGTTGAAGGAACCAAGCTCTCACTTGGGAGCCTGCAAGCATGCTTCGCCGCAGCTCCCGCCGGAGCCCCCCAAGTTTGCGTCTCCACAGCACCTTCAAGAAGCCAGCCGGAGGCCCCCGCCAGGAAAAGGGGGAGGCCTCCCAAAAACCCCAAAGCTGGTCCGCTCCAGAAACTCTTCCGACAGGCGTCCTTACAGGCTGTCCCACAGCAGGTTCTTGTGGAACAGCAGACGAAATGGAAAAGCAGCCCAAAAGAGACCCCCAAGGCCACCATCACGGGTTACTTTGCTGTTAAGACGGAAGAGAAAAGTGTGCCCCAGATATCGGTGGTGCCCAAAGAAAGCGTCGGGCCCAAGGAGAGTTTGAAGGGAACCCTGCTGGACTATTTTGGAGGCAGCACCAGAAAGAACAAAAGCTTTCAAGCAACTAGTGCCACTAAACCAGTGCAAAACCTATGTGGGTCGGTTTCCAGTGGCGAAATTCGGAAACATGTCCCGCCGTCATCTCCGCAGGATGAAGATTGTGATGTGGTTGTGGTCGGGGTTTCTACGCAAGCCTGCAAGCCATTAGCGGACAACAAACAAGTGCCAAAATCTGTGATGCGGTTAAGCTCCAAACTAAGAGATGACGACAAAGATAATGACGTCTGTCTTGTAAGTTGTGCAGGGCAAGCTGCAAGCACCGAATTGAAGGGTGTCTGTGAGAAGCCCATTCGTTCCGCGAGAAAGGAACGAAAGACCAAGCCTCCATCGCCCACCAAAGTACAAGAGCCACTAAACCAGTCGCACGAGTGCTCCAAGTCAAATCTGTCTTACTCGAGCTCGAGCATCATCTTGTTCGACGACGTCGACTCCGTCTTCGCGCAGGACGACGGCTTCTGGAGCGCAGTTGAGAGCGTCCTGTCGTCTACAAAGAAACCCGTGGTCTTCACGGCTACAAGGGACATTTGGCAGGTCAGGTCAAAGCTGCCGAGTCACTGCCCCGTCGTTGAGTTTGCGACGCCCACGTGCGGGGAAGTGGTAGAGTTGCTGGAAGAGATCTGTTCACTGGAGGGTATTGGCCAACCTTCCGCCGTAGAACTGGACTTTTTGGTTCAGTACCATCATTGTGACGTGCGCCGGTGTCTGTCCGAGCTCCAGTTGAGGTCTGCACTGCGTCCGGAGACACCATCTGTGCCCAAACCCAGCATGCTGTCTTTGGGAGACCTGCCACTTGGAGACAAGCTACAAAACATTCTGCATTTGGATTCGTGTGCTGAGTTTGTGGAGGCCCAACTGATGTTTGAGGAACTTGGTCTGGACCTTGCTTACCTGTCCTTGCCTGGACTGCTTCCGTTCCCAGTGATCGAGGCTCGACAAAAGCAGTCGGTTGCTGAAATCTCTGACGAGAGCGAACGCCGGGTCAGTGCTCTGGACGTGAGCTGGCTCTCGGACAGGGAAAGCGGCGAGGAGACGGATGTCGTCGAAACGTGTAAGGTAGAGACAGAGGCAAAGCTTGCCGCCGAAAACTCTGGGCCTCGTGCTGAACTTTCGAAACATTGTCTCGGATTGTTGGCCGAGATGTTTGATTCCTTCAGTGTTGTGGACTGTCTCGCCGGACGTCTTGGACTTGGTGCTGCTAACACACAGCCTCCAGACAGGATTCATGGATGGCAGGACGGAGCGGTCAGCCCAGTTGACGAGCGAACATACAGTTCAGCGGCCTCCGAGTGCCTGGCCTACATCGAAGCATGTTCCGCAAAGCTGAGAGCATGCCAACTCCGCCGCCTAGTAGGGGAGGCTGCTCCGGAGACATCAGAGCTCGGCTTCGTCGTTACAGACATCGCTCCGAGCCTGTCTAACCTATATAATCTAGCAGAAAGTGGGAGGGTCCTTGAAAGTAAAAGAAGACAAATCATAGAGTGTGCAGTGCCCGCCAGTGTCGCCATAAATTCTAGTGCTGTGCTCGATTTCATCAGTGCTCTGCGATCGATCTGTGCACTTGAGAGGAAAAGGATGGGCTCAAACAACAAGCGTTCGAGACGGTTTTTCCACTATCTCGACTCTTGTTCCCTGTTTCTGGCTGACAATGTTGTTGACCTCCTGTGTGCAGGCCTTGGCTGATGCTTTAATGCCCTAGCTATAGTGCACCCTTAACCACAGTCAGGTGTTACTGAGGTCAGGCTTAGCTGTGTCCAAGGGTGCCCATGCAATTAGGGTATAGTTGGCAGTAACTGGTAATCGTGCTTAGGCGGAACTGCAGTTCAGGATGCCCATCGAGCACCCTTGGTCGTAGTTATGTTTGACTTCAGTCACACTTAAATGTGGTTAAGGTTCCTTTTTTAACTAAAGTATTACAGTGTGTCAGATCTTGTTGCTAGGATGATCGTGGACAGCAATTTTGTTTGTGTGCTATTTCAGAGACAATAAACATGTAACGGATGTGTAGCTGCATTTATTGGGGGGTTGGCCCGGCTGGGGTTAGGGAGGAGGAGTTTGCTCTGCTGGCAGGCTTGCAGTGGACGAAAGGAGTCCAGTTTTCAACTGTAGTCGAGGCAGATGGACTTGACCTCCGTGTAGAACTCCTTGGAAGCATCGGTGCCTTCGCGACCCAGGCCGGACATCTTCATGCCCCCGAATGGCATGTGCAGGTGGCGGACCATCCAGCAGTTGCACCAGACTGTACCAACCTGCGTGGGATGCCGGAAAATCTCATTACTGTGAGAACAATTCTGTTCAGGTGAGCAAGATTTTGCGTATTTTAAGGTGTATTGGATCTGGTTTCTTGCCTATTCATACTTTTCACTTCTTTGAGAAAAGTCTATCAGCATTGGGGTTATTAAAAGACAGATTGTTCTACACCTGAATCAAAAATAAATGATTGCTCCTATTTTATTTTTTTTCCTGAGCGTTTTTTGTTTTGTTGTGGCTGGTTTTTTAAAGTGAAGCTATTAAATGACTAATAAAATCTGCGTCGGGTTACCAAAAAGTTTAAAATGGTCCACAAGAAGAAGTATACAGGTAGAACGAGCATCAAGTGACGAGTAGCAATCAACATTCATAGGGTCTTACGTTAACCCAAGATGACTTGAAGGTGAAAGCCCATGTGCCGATGCATTAAAGACAGACGCATGATTTTCTTTGTTTCACATTCTCTTTTTCACACTCCTGACATTATTCGCTTTATAGTCCTTACTTCCTATTGACTACTCCTCTAATTCCTCTTAATTCACTTTAGTTCCTCTTAATTCGCTTTGATTCCTCTTAATTTTCTTTGTCATCCTTAATTCCATTGCCTCTAATTCGCCTGAGTGGTCACGTAAACGTTTTGGAACCTTTCATGTCGCCGACGTGTTTTCGCTCATGGACTTTGAAGGTCGACTGAACGATGCATCATATAAGGCTTTCGCCTTTATAAAAACACGTTTGCAATACAAGCTGCGAGGAGGTAACGAATGCGTGGGCGAATACTCTGCGAGCGTCTCTGCCTTTCAGCCTGCTTTCCTCCTTGCCGCGCAAAAATGCGGCGCATGCACACTTGTGACCAATCGCAGCCAGTGGCATCCACCATTAAATTGCAAATGCTCCACATGCTGAATTAACCTGAGGCTGAGGATTAAGAGAAACATAGATCGAGACGTCTTCCTGTGTATTTTCTGTTACCTTCCACATTTTGATGTTTCTTTTCTTCCCCTGTCTTGGGTTAATTCAACGTGGCTAATAATCACCAGCCAGTGGCGTACCAACTTGTCTTTGAGTGGGGGGGCAAACCAGACCTCCCTACCCCTGGGTCGGGGGGTGGTGCCCTTGGTATCTCTTGGGCGCCGACGGATAGTATTTGCCCTGCCCAGTGGCGGCTGTTTCAGGGGGGGCAAAACATGCCTTGCCCCCCCCCCCCCCCCCCCCCTCTGAGAACTGGGGGAGGGGCAAGCAGCCCCCCTGCCCCCCCCCCCTCCCCCCCGATTGGTACGCCCATGTCACTAGCTTGCGTGCGCCCTTACTATATTTGCTTCCCATGGTTTGAGATGGACGCGCTCTATTCTCTAAGCGCTTGTCGTAGCTGGTGGTGCCACCTCTGGATAATGCTAACAAACATCGCTTTTGTTCGATCTGTCCCCGACAGCTGGCGCTCCGCTATTGGAGACTTTATCAATTTATACTTATCATGGTTACGGTTCATGTTGTACTTACAAGGACTAGAGAAAAAGCTGGAGAATAATGATCATAGCTGCTATTGGAAACTTTATCCTTGTCACCGTTACGGTTCATGTTGTACTTGCAAGGACTAGGGAAAAAGCTGGAGAATAATGGTCATAGTTTTGACCTGTCGTACCACAGCAGAGGCCAAAAGATTAAACGAGTGTTACCAGCTCATATATGCGCATAATGTGGTGCTAATGGCTGATAGCAGCGCGGATCTCCAGGAACTAATGCACATATGTGGTATCGAAGGACAAAGGCTAGATTTAGAAATTAGTAACAATAAGTGAGCAGTGATGATTTTTAATGGCGACGAGAAGGAAGAACTTAAAATACAAGAGTTTGTGGTTCAGAGGGTAGATAAATATAAGTACGTAGGGGTATGGGGGTTCACGACTGTGTGGATTATCTTAGTGAGCGTGAAAATTATGTAACTGATAAGGTCAACTGAAATGTGGCTTTAATGAAGGGAGTTGTGTGGAAATATAGCAGGTCTGAGGTGTTGAAGGAAATTCAGAGGAAATTTATGGTACTGGGTTTAATTTTTGGCAGTGCAGTTCTGTGCAGTGTGTTGATCAAAAAATTTTAATTGGTTCAGTTCTGGGGAGTAAAGATAACTGTTCAAACCGGTTTGTACAACTGAAGCGAATATATTTTCCGCGTTGTTAAGGCCATGGGCACTATTTCTGCTATAAAACGAGAAGCTATGGTCTTTTTTTTTCTGTTTTTTTTTTTTTTTAACTCTTTGCACAATTTATTTTAGTTTTCAGGTACCAAAAAATAATTGTTTTATTTAATTTTGATGCAACAGTAAAAAAAAGAAGAGTATATATATATATATATATATATATATATATATATATATATATATATATAATATCGAAAATATGAATATGAATGAACCATACTTGATCGAATGAATCAAAGTTTTACGAAATCGCCAAAAGCTAAAAATATTTTGCAAAACCAGGATTTGAATTCTGGGCCTCCCACTCTTTGGACGGCTGTGCTAACCACTGGCTCCGCCAAATATTTCGACTTTCGGCGATTTCGTAAAACTTTGATTCATTGGATCAAGTGCAGTTCATTGATCTGCATATTTTCGAATATTTTCTCTGGAGACCACGTACGATGATGGAAAGTGCCCGTGATCTACATATATGCAGGGTATTCCACATAACTTGATCCAAGGTTTAAAAATATTGTGGTGCATTTTAGGAAGACAAAACCAAAGAAATAAGCATGTTTATTGTTTAGAGCAGGGTGTAAAATATACAGGTGGGGAAACGAGAGTCAAATGAGCGACCGGATTGTGTCCCCCTCGGTTTTCTCTTTTTCTGTGGCGCCATCTATGTGGAGCACCGAGAACTCTCACTCCGGGTGGGCGACCGGTGGCGGCCGGCTAAACTGACGGAAATGGTTTCTCGTGGATTTTCAATAGAGGACTGTCGTGCTCTTGGTTTATTTTGCGCACTCTCCCATAGAGTTCCACGCAAATCCGATTCCGACTTTGGATGGATGGATGGATGAATACGGCTGAGCCCTTTGGATCGGGCGGTAGCTTACGCCACCTAGCCATTTTGTTTTACCATTTAAGCTTTGAATATTTAAATGTGAAATCTATATTCACTCCGCAGTGCAAAGAAAGTGAGGCTATGAAACCCCCTTGCCATCAGTGGATAAGAAAATACCTAGTTTTCTCTCGATTTCTGCCACCATTCACTTAATCTTTGCTTGGTAATCTCTACAGTCTTGAAATCCACTCTCCCTTCGCTGTCTCTAAAACCCAATGACTTTATTAAATCTATGTTGTCTTCGGTAGGCATAGGGTGAAGCCCTTTACAGTAGAGTATCAAGTGCTCAGCCGTCTCGTCCTCCTCTCCACAAGCAGTGCACACTGTATCAATTTCCTGGTACCTCACTCTGTATGCTCTGGTTCGCAGAACACCCGTTCTTGCCTCAAACAGCAATGAGCTTCCCCTAGAATTGTCATAAATGCTTTCTTTGGCAATAACTCTTTTGTTTAATCTATAGCTTTCCAGAGCCGTCTTTGTCTGCATTCCCTCTAGCCACCAATCTCTTTCTGTGGCCTTAACTTTCTTCTTAACTGAGACTTGCTCTTCCGTATCTTCGCTATAGCCCAAAAACTTTCCTCTTAATTTCCTAGTGCGCTGTCTCCACTTTGTGTCTACACTCCTCATGTATAAATAGCTGAAAACCTTTCGTGCCCATTGCTCCCCGTCCATTTGCCTCAACCTATCCTCAAATTCTACCTTGCTCACCGCTTCCCTGCTCTCAAATGATGCCCATCCCATGTCTCCTTGTACTCCCTGGTTTGGCGTTTTGCAATGTGCCCCCAAAGCCAGTCTACCTACTCCGCGCTGTTTTATTTCTAGTCTCGCATGCACTTCGGATTTCATGCATAGCACTGCGTTTCCAAAAGTCAAGCCAGGCACCATGACCCCTTTCCAAATCTCTCTGACCACCTCATACCTGTTGTAATTCCAAAGTGCTCTATTTTTCATTACAGCTGCATTTCTGTTGCCCTTACCTATTATATACTTTTCATGGTCTCTGAGATATTCTGCACCATCACATATCCATACTCCTAGATACTTGTATTTACTAGCTCTCTCAACTGTAATATTCTGTATCTTCAGCCTCTCAACTTCATCCTCGTTAAAAATCATGACTGCCGATTTTTCGCTACTGAATTCTAAACCTAATTCCTCTCCTTCCCTACCACAGATGCTCATTAATTCCTGCAACTCTGTCCTGTTGTTAGCCATTAGTACAATATCATCCGCATAACATCAATCCCGGTAAGGATTGCTGAATTTTTTGGCCTAGCTTACTGTAAGAAAGGTTGAACCCAAGCCCACTCTTCTCTAGTCTATCCTCCAATCCTCTCAGATACAACATAAACAGCAAAGGCGATAACGGGCACCCCTGCCTAAGGCCTCGTCTTATCTCTATTTTCCCTGTCGCCTTTCCTTCCCATGTTATAATCACCTTGTTATCTTTGTAAATGTTCCTTAATAGTGCTGTTAGTCCTTCATCTAGGTTTAAGTTCTCCATTATGTCCCACAGGTTTCTTTGGTTCACATTGTCATAGGCACCCTTGATATCCAGAAATGCCAGCCAGAGCCGTCTGTTTTCTTTTTGCGCTATTTCTATACACTGTGTTAGAGAAAATAAATTGTCCTCCAACCTTCTTTGTTTTCGAAACCCGTTCTGTAATTCGCCCAGTATGCCCTCGCAATCTACCCATTCCTCCAGTCTGTTCTTTATAATCTGCATTACCAACCTGGAAATAACCGGTGTCACGGTTATAGGACGATAATTCCTAATATCAGACTTATCTCCCTTTCCCTTATATATCATACTCATCCTACTAAGCCTCCATTCAACTGGAATATTTCCTTTTGTTATCATGGTACTCACTACCTCCCTTAGTTTTGCCTTAGATTTAGGACCCAAATTCTTCACC